TTACCTTACTAATCTAATAATTATAAGATTAAATTATTACCTAGAAAAATCCTATTTTTTAAGAACCTATATAACATGTCCTAAGATAAACTAAAAGTTCTAAAAGAATAGATTAAAAAAAACTTAAAGAAAGGTTTTATTTACTTTAATTTTTTTTTTACTATATTTTTTATTCTATTTATAAAGAAATCTAGAGAAGGCCTATAATTCTATATAAATTATTAAGTCCTAAATATAATTACTATAAAAGATTATTATTTATTATTATTAATAAAAGAGATATTAAATAATCTAAAAAAAATAAAATATTTCTTAAAAATTAATATTATCTCTACTTTTAATAATCTATAAATTAAGAAAGGATAAGAATACTTTATTACCTTTTAAATTTAATTAGGCTTATTTAAATCCTTAATAATATTATTTAGGCTTACTAAAGTCCTAATATTATTCTAGAGATTTATTAATAAAGCCTTATATAATTATCTAGATATCTTTTATATTATATATCTAGATAATATTCTAATTTATAGCTAAATTTATACTAAATATATCTATTATATCTAATAAGTATTAAAATACTTATAAGTAATAAGACTTTATACTAAATTTAGTAAATATAAATTCTTTATATATAAGATAAAGTTCCTAAAACTAATTATAAGTAGAGATAGCTTCTAAATAAATCTTAATAAAGTAAAAATAATTATTAAGTAAAAAATATTAATTTATTTAATTAATATTTAAGTCTTTATTAACTTTAGGAACTTTTATTATTAATTTATTTATAATTTTTTAAAAATTATTAAATTATTAGTTAATCTAATTAAAAAAGATATTAATTTTAACTAGATACTTACTTACTAAAAAATATTTAAATAATTAAAAGCTACTTTTATAAATATTCTAATATTAAAATCTTTTAACTAGTTAAAAAATATAATTCTAGAAATTAATATCTTTAATTATATATTTACTAGAATATTATTATAATATAATAATAAAAATATATTATATTTTATTATATTTTTTCTAAAAAATATTTTATAATAAAATATAATTATAAGATTTATAATAAAAAATTATTAATTAGTATTTATTATTTTAAAAAATAATATTCTAAATTAAAAGAAACTTTATTACTTATAAAAGTTATTATAGATTATTAGAATCTAAAGTATTTTATATTAATTAAATTATTAAATTATTAATAAGCCTGCTAGTCTAAATTTCTATTAAGATTTAACTTCTAAATATATTACTACTCTAGAAAGTTAGGTACTAAGCTTAATATACTAATTAGGAGATTAGAGAACCTATCTAAAGAAAGAAATAAATAATTTCTTTATTAGAGCTAGATTATTCTAAAATCTAAAAATCTACTATCTAAGACTATTACTAATCTAAGATTAAATATTAATAGCTAATACTAAATATACTTTATTAAATAACTTACTACTAATAAATTAATCTCCCTACTACTAATATTATAACTACTATTTAATAGAGCTTATTTATAAGATAAGAAATTCTAATTTATTTTAAATATTTTAAAGAATAATCTACTAAGATATTCTAATATTATACTAGCTAATTATAGATATATTAATCTATATTTAAGATATTAAGACTAACTTTATATATTTAATTATAATAAAATAAAAGTTAAAATACTAAAATTCTATTATAAAAATCTTATTATTAGATATTTTAAAAGAATTAAAATATATAAATTAATATTATATAAATATTTCTAGTCTAGAATCTATAAATATATTAATTAATAAATCTAAAATTATTATCTTTACTATTAAATTACTTTTTTTTAAAAAATAAAGTAAAAAATATTAAGATCTTTACTAATTCCTAAATATATTTAGTAAAATATAAGCATAGACTTTATTATATATTTATTACTAAATAATAGCTATAATACTATCCTAGTTATAGTTAATTATTTAATAAAGATAAAGTATTTCCTCTCTTATACTAGAATAATTAATATTAAAAAAATAGCTAATCTATATTTTAAGTATATTTAAAAACTCTATAATATTCTTAAAATAATTATATTAGATTATAAAGTCTAATTTATTACTATTTTCTAAAAATATCTAATATTTTACTTAAAAATTTATAATCTATTATTTATTATTTATTATTCTAAGATTAATAATTAAATTAAATATATTAATATTATTTTAAAATAATACTTATAAGTATATATATTATACCTATAAGATAATTAGTTTAAATAATTATTAATAATTAAATTTATTATTAATTCTATTTACTCTAAATTTATAAGAATATTACTATTTATAATTAATTATAGATTCTATCTAATATTAAGATTTAAATTAAGCTATCCTACTATTTATCTTATTAAAAAAAATATTAAAAAATTTATTAATATTATATATAAGATTTATAAATTTATTTATATTAAGATTTTATTTACTTAAGCTTATTATAAAGTATAAGCTAATTATTAAAGATAATCTATATATTACTATATTATAGAATAAGAAATCTAACTAGATATCTATAATATTTAAATACTTTACTTATAAAAGAAATTAGACTAGAAGAATTTTAAGCTATATTATATTAAAAGAATTATTAATTTATATACTTATAAATTTAAATTACCTAAAAATATAAGAATTTATCTTATATTTAATATATTTTTACTCTATTCTACTATTAATAATCTTCTATCTAGTTAATATCCTAATCTATTATTATCTATTAAAGTAGAAAAATTAAAAAAATAAGAAGTTAAGGAAGTCCTTAATTCTTAATAAATTTATTAAGGCTATAGTAAATCTAAGCTATAATATACTATTAAATAAATTAAATATAATAAGCTAATTAAAGAGCCTGCTAAATATCTAGAGAATACTTACTAATTAATAAATAATTACTACCTTTATTATCTTAAGAAACCCTAGCCAATTCCTCCCTAGTCTTAATAAAGCTTAACCCTAAGGAGGGGGGTACTATCATAGCATGAAGCTATAGTACTTATCTAGTTAAATTCTGCCTTAACTATCTATTCTTATTCCTATATTTAAGCTATATTGCCCTTAATCCTATTATAGCTCTTCAAGCTATGTCCTGTCTATTACCTAATACCTACTGTTCTGCTGTTCTGTCTGGATTAGCTCCTAGTCAATGAATATCTGAATCCGACTCTGTCCCCTGACAATAAAGTTAGAATTCTATAAATCTATACCTAAGTAATAAAGTTATTATAAAAGAATTACTAGATATAAGTAATATAAAGTTAAATTAGCAAGCTTAAAGCTATTTAGACTTATAAATTTATATTATTACTAAAAAATATAAAGATCTTACTAGGAAAATAGGTATATAATTTAAAGTTAGATATAGATAATAATATATTATAATTTTATATAAGATAGGTTATATATAGAAATTTCTAAAAATTAAATATAGACTTTAATCAAGTCTACTCTCTAGTAATAGTAGATACTTTAGTAAAGCTATTTTTAAGTATAGTTACTTATTTTAATTTAAAATAAGTATAATTTAATATAGTAACTACCTATCTTAATATAATAATTAAGGATTAAAAGATCTATATATACTAATTAATTAGTTTTAATAAGTAAAATAATATAGTATATTTACTACTTTAAGCTCTATATAAATTATAATAATTAGTATTTCTTTAATATAAGAAATTCTATAATATTCTAGTAAAAATTAGTATAAAGGTAATTAATAAAGACCTATATTTCTATTATAATCTAGATTAGTAACTAATACTTATTATTTATATTAATAATATAATAATTACTAGCCTTAATAAAGTAAATATTTAATAATTTATAGATAAACTAAAAAAATATTTTAAATTAAAGTAACTAGGTAAATCTATATAATTCTTAGAATATAATATTTATAGATTATTTAATAATCTAATATTAATATCTTAATATATATATATTTAAAAGATACTCTATAAATAGAATTTTTATAATCTTTAGCTATATTATATACTAATAATTCTAGGATAGAAATTAACTAGAGAGATACTAGAAACTAGTAATATTATTTAAGATACTAGTAATATTATTATAAATACTATATATACTTCTGCAGGTAAAGATAATATTACTTATTACTAGAAATTAACTAGATCTTTAAATTAGATTATTATTTAGACCTAACTAGATATTTAATATATAATAATATAATTACTATAAAGAAATTATAATCTTAATAAGTTAAATTATAATATAATTAAATAAGTTTTTTAATATTTAAAAAAGATCTTAGACTATATAATAATTTTAGGCTATTTAAATAATTTATTATATATATATATTAATATCTCTTATATAGATTATAAAGATAAGAAATTAATAAAAGACTTTATATTTTTTATATTTAGAATATTAATTATATAAAGATTAATAAAGTAATTACTAGTTACTTTAAACTTAATTATTATTAAATTTATTATATAAAATATAATAATAAAGCTAGTTATATAATTATAAAAGCTATATATAATTATTAGATTAGAAAAATTTATAAAAGATACTATACTTTTATATACTAATTTTACTAATATTATTATTTTAATAAAGAAGTTAAATTATATATTTATATTTTACTAGATAGATATTTATTACTTCTTTATTAAAGAAGTAATTAAAAATAGTAGAATTTAATTATAAATAATTAGTAGAGAGGATAATATTACTAATAAGCTAATTAAGGTACTACTAATTATAAAATTTAATAAATTTATTAAGAGATTAGATTTTAGTAGATTAAAAATAGACTCTAAATAGTTTTATAAAATAGATATATTACTAAGGGGGGTATATTAGAGTGCTGTACTTAGTAAATATAACCAGCACTACTATAAAGCAGTATTACTATAAAGAAGAAGATAGCAACACGTGACTACTCTGTGTATTTAAGCCACTATTTCCTTCCAGATCTCCATACTTCTTCCAAGCATCTCTCCTTCTCTCTATTTCCTAGTTAGACCCAATTGAATCCATTTTGGTCAACTTTCTACCGTCATAGTTTGACGACCTCTCATCAGGCTACAATGAAGTCTGAACATATTGCCTAGCACAGCCACCCCCACTCGAAATGAGCATTTCGGTTACAAGACCCCCGGGAGTCGTCAGTAAAGGAACCAAAATCCAACAGCGACAGGTGAGATATATACACAAAAAAAAAAAAAATGGATCAGTCAGTTGGGTTAGAATTTTTGGACCTCCACCCATTTGTCCGTCAGACTGTCCTAGACCGGGTGCGGGGGACGATCTTTGGCGGTGCACTGGGAGATACAATTGGACTGTACACAGGTTGGTTGACTGCATTTCATTTGGAGACAAAGCATGGCTCTGACATCTCTAGAATTTTTATCAAAGGAATCCAGCCTAGCAGCGTACCCCGAGGGCAAGTTCCAGCTAGTTGAACCTGTCACAGAGCTAAAGAATGATGACCATCGAAGTAGCTCTCTCTTTCTTTCTTTCTTTGATATGTGGAGTATCACGTACTTACTTCTTCTAGATAAGTTTATTCAAGTGAGAACAGTGCGTGGATTGAACTTTGGCGGCGCTAATGGGATGTAGACCAGCTGGACAGACGACACTGATCATGCACTCCTCATTGTTCTATCTTATCTCCATGGTAGTGGTAAGAAGCTCGACCCATTGGATGTAGCTAAACGGCTACGCTTTTGGTGTGAGCAGGGGCTACGGTGCCTAGAGAGACCGCCTCTAGGCCTTGGACGAACCGTCGGAAGTGTCAGATTATCACATATGGCCCTTGGGGAGGTTGGTTTTGCTAACTATCGGCTAGGTTGTCTGCAATCGAGGGTTTCTTGAAGATCCAGTAGCAACTGCGTACGGTTACTGGAAGAACTCTGGTTTTACGGTTGCCCCAAATGGATCGTTGATGCGTACTTATCCTCTGGGCATTATATGTCTCGGGAAGACGCTGGATGAGACATTTCAGATCGCTGCCGATTTCTCTCGAATCACACACGCCGATCCAAGGTGTATCGTTTCTTGCTGTCTAGCAACTGCATTAATTCGAGGTCTCATCAGAGGAGAAGTTCGGAACGAAACAGGTGTCAACACGTTGATCGCCTTATCACTTGCGTGGATTGAGAGCTGGATTGAGGGGCAAAACCGGGACAAGGGAGGCGAAGACTCAGACAGGTATCCTCTATTCGAATGTGACGAATTCTACAAACATGTCCGAGTAGAGACCCTGGAGGAACTTCAGCTGGATGATTCACGAACGATGGGATATGTTTACAAAGCCCTGGGGGCCGGAATTTTGCTGCTAAGACTCGCGATACGACAAAAGGACTCACAAGCTTTCCGAGGAAATGCCTTTGAGGAACTCATCACAGCCCTCGTTCTTCAAGGAGGCGATGCGGATACCAATGCGTCTGTGGCCGGGCCTCTGCTGGGAGCTCTGGTTGGGTATAACATGTTGCCTGGAACATGGACATGCGAAATGATGCATGCAAAATGGCTTTTTCAAAAGTGCAATACCCTTGCACAGGTTTCTGGTATCTACTCTTCTTCTTTATTGTACGATGGGAGCAAAGACCCGGACACAGGAATAGAAGGTGGGAAGCCTCCGCTGACTCAAGAAGAGTTATACCAGCGGGATCGTCAGTTTATGGAACAGTACTTGACCAAATCTATGCAAAAGACAACGGGGAAGAAAGCTGCACCCGGGTGGGTGGATAAGCTGTTAGGCAAATGAATAAGTTGAATGCGTTGCAGTGTGAGATACAGAGTTCGCTGGGAATGAACAAATTAGGTCAGATAAGCTGTGGCCTAATTTCAATTATCTTAACCCATTTACTCTGATAATAGATTGTTTATCATTCGCTTAGATAGAGTATGTAATTGAGCGAGCCCCTGTTTTGTGTAAGTGTGAGAAAGCTGAAGATACCTGGTGAAGTGACTCTTGTGTCGGAGTGTGCCGAGGACAAAATCTACGTAGTTTAGAAGTAATGAGCTAGGGACATTGAACACCTTCCAGTAAGTGCTATTCCTCGAAATGCCTGCCAATTGTTCTACTCTTGGAACATGGAGGGCGTGTAAAATAAGGCAGGTGGCTACCGGAGTGATAAACGGCAAGGACAACTATCCATGTCTGAACGCATGAACCATCTACAGGTACCTATATCTTGGATACAAATTCTGAATTCAAAACAGCCACCCATACAAATCCCAATATCTCATCCACTGTCTCATCTAGGCCGTCCTGTGAGATCCTTTTCGGGAACTACAATTCGTCAGTCAGCTCAACTGACCCATCTTCTTTACCAGGCTTTTCTCTACCATATCCATATGCGAAAATACCCTATTTCATCTACAACTTAACAGTCCGGGGCGAGATAAAGAACAATCGTATCCCGCGTATTTTCGCAAAGCATGGGACAACGATACGAAATGGCCCGCATGGCCGGAGACACGATGACAGTCGAGATAGGCGCAACTGCAATCCTAATATTTGGTCTAGGACAACCTGATGCTATCGGATGTGATATATTCGCTTCTGGAATTGCGATTGCGTTTGTATCTTCGTGCGGTGCTATAATTAGAAACCTCCGACCTCTGCTCGCGGCAGAGAACAACGTCGCGGCTTTGGAATCCCTCAACCTACAGCTTAACACCGTGCTCGGGTATTGGCAAGATAATAGGGAGCTCTTCAGCGATATGACCCGCCTTATTGTTCTTGTGGTGTCGGTAGGCGTGCCAGTGGATATGCCCGACTGGGTCGGATGGATTCGGGGAAGACTTTCTACGTTTGGGATCCAAAAACCGATTATTTCATACGAGATACCTGTTGCAGACACTACTGGGGTCCAGTCTAGCCTATTCGTTGATGCAAGGTTAGGGATACCATGGATTTATATTGAGGGGACACCACACCCTTTTAAGATATACATGGGCGTATAAATTTGGACCATCGTGTTGTGTGAGGGCACTGGTCGAAAGCCTTACTCCGCAACCCTCAATAAAACCTACGCAAAGGACGATAACCCATGTCTTTCCTACTATTTTCTTGCTGTTTTCTTACTGTGAGAGCGATATGGATTAACAAGCCTTGGTCTGGGTACCTGTCACGCCTGGGGTAATGAAAGTTTAGAAAATGAGTGGTGCGCTTTCACAGGAGTTTAATACTAGACAAAAGCACAACGATCTATTTTTCGATATCATGAGTTGTAGGGAGTGTAGAGCCCAAAGTTTAGTCCCCCTTTCCAAGCTCGACATCTTCGCCTCCTCCATACCAGAGACGGCCCTTTCGAATGACCAGACCTTTCTCCTGGCCGACGAGCCACTCGCCAGCGTTCATAGTTCCACCATTATCCTGTGGCCAATACTCAGCCTCCAGTCTCTTGTTAATCTCCTCGATCTTATCAATCAGTAGCTTCACCCGAGAATGGCTAACGCTAACCTGAGGTTTTTCTTCCGTACTGTGGTCAGTAAACCCATCTTGGGTGATGAACCGGGCGATGGTGACATGGGCCGAAGGAACACTGTAACGTGAAGCAACTGGGATACCAGCGCTGCGCACCATCTCAAAAATATCTCGACGAAGATGGTGATAGCTATAACTATCCTCTTTGAGGCTCCGTTTCGCGCGGGAGTCCTCAGCCGCCGCTGGCACAAAACTGAGAGCCATTGCTGCAGAGTCGAAGCTGACCATCGGCTTGATGAGGCGCGCTCTGTGATTATAGGTATAATCAGCGATTTCTCCAGTGGATATCTCGGTTGACGAGTTGAGAGTGTCGACAAGAGTTTGGATTTGTTCTTGGGTTAGAGAATGGGCTGCTTCAAGGACCGTCATGTGGAGGTTGTCGAGTGGCATCAGCCACAGTGCTAGAGCAGTATATAAGTCTTCCAAGCTTCTCTGGGTTGAAAAAGGCGGGAAATAGAACAGATATCCTTACTGGGAGCCACGCTTTTCAATTCACTTTGCACAAATCCAATGAGTTCGCGAACGTGCGAAGGGGGTCTGGCCCAAATCACAAGACAGTTGCGAGGATCAACGAATCCCTCTTCTTTTCCAGGGCCTTCAAGACGAATAAGAATCTCGTCTAGGCTCCAACCGTCGAAATCTGCCGCGAGAATATTAGCGGCCTGTTGCGCATTCCGAGTTGCTCGGTGGTTTTCATAGCGAGACTGCAATTGGGCCTAAAAGGATCAGGATTTTCCTAGAACTACTCTTCTGGATTCGTTTACTCACTGGATCACTGTTTGTCTGGGAGATTAAGGGCTGAAATGGATTATCCTCAGATGCGGCGACTGAAGACATCTTGAGTAAGTCGGGAATGCTGCCAATAGCCGCGCTTCAGTTAGTAGCAAGAAAAGCATATCTGGGCAAGTCCGAAGGATTTAAAAGAAGCTGCCAGGGGCTCTTAGGGCCCGCACATCTTACCCGGGAGGAGTAACTTTGTAAAACACGCATAGACGGAGCAGAAATAGATCGTTGTTGACGATTTAATTGGACCAATCTACCTTGGCGCATGGCTGGATACTGGTTTGAGCCAACCGGCGGAGATTGTATGGAGTAACTATACCTAACTACCTAGGTACCTAAGTTGTGTCAGGTTGCTTCTGAATCGCGATTGTGGCACGCCTATTATTAGAATCAATGAATATACATAGCCCTGCGAAGTTCACCCTTAAACCAGGTTATGTTCTGTGTGGGATGCTTCAAGTAGATTATTGGATGATGAACTTACATATGGATAGAATTTGAAAAGATATCGTCACTATATGTGAAGGAGTGAGTGGTACTAGATAAAATAGAACCACTGCTATTGATTTAACACTATCATAAATAATAGGGAACAATATACAGTGATCTCAACAACTAGTAATACAAGGCAGATAATGGTAGAGAACAACACAGTGCCCGGAATAAGCTGCATCAATCAAGGCTAAGCTATAATTCAGACATGACCTAGGATACGTTAGAAGGCGTTCCAGCTCAATAATCGATAAACTTACGACCAAGTGGCTTTGCTCTCTTTGAGATGTCCTTCGCATGGTGCTGCTTGATTTTCGCAAGTCGAGCCCTAACCATACCCCAGCCAGTTAATATCGCATATGGGCATACATGGTCAAAGATACTCACTCTTCCCTCGCTTCCTTTTCCAACTTCTTAACATGATTTCTCGCTTCTTGAACGGCTTTGCGCGACTCATACAGCGCTTTGTCTGCGGCTTTCTCTGCGGCTTCGGCGCGATACACTCGGTCGCGCGCTGAAGTTATAGCCGGGTCTTCTGAGCGGCGACCGCGGAGTAGGCTACTATGGCGGCTGGGAGCACTACTAGCACTGCTAGAAGTGCCACTGTATGAGGAACGAGAGGAATGAGAGGCGCGGTGACCGAATAATCCGGTGCCGTGACGCTCGTTAGTGTCCGCGATGCTATTGCGGGACGAGCGAGAGAGGGAATCTCGATGGAAAAGAGGCATGATTAACAAGAGAGCCTGATAGTAAAGTATGGAAGATGTATAGGTTTGGTATATGGGAAGTGGCCGAAATATTTTCAACTTGAAGGACTACGAGATGCATCTCTTCCGCGGCCTAAACGCATACTATATAGATGGCGACGAACGCTGTGACGTCAGGCCACACCCTTAAAGTAGCGATAATCGAAAATTATCCAAAATATCATCCTGCGTGCTGCTTTCTCACCGTCAGTCTTTCGGAGGCGTCCATCATAGCGGCACAGAATACAGCTTTGGCAAGTCTCAGCCGAGTACTTGTCGAGATAATCCTCAATGAATGATATGACGCAACGAGATCATTGCAAGGCCACGCATGGGTAAAAAGATACCAGGCAAGGTGGCGAACAAGGGCTACGCGACGGAGTGATCTACACCATACAAAGCCGTGTTGATCACAACAGATGGCACTATTGGATGATCCGAGACCAAGTTTGCACCCTAAACACCACTATTTCTATCGTGGACCTATCAAGAAAAGCCTCTGGCGGGTTTGAGAAAGGTCTGTTTTCACTGATCAGTAACAGGTTGATCAACCTAATAATGCCATAGTTCAGCTTAGCTACAGAGGACTTATCCCGTCCATCAGGTCTATCCCTAGAAGAGACAAATATATTCAAATTTACCCATTGTTAAGGCTTTTGATGATGTAACTAAGTGCTTCAGCTTAGAAGGGAATTTGATACTTGTGCATATATCGTATTAACAAGAAAGTACATTGGATGTAGCGAGTACAATAGAAATAGCATATATCTACCGTGTCGAAGGCCCCCAGATTTCCCCAGATTTACCTGATCTGGGGAAAGGCTGGGTGGAGAAGGGATCCGACTGATTTTACTACGCTGACCTAGTTGGATTGTGTAAACATTACTGACGGCAAGCAGTGCAGGCTTTTATTACATTAATATTGCGGATAGCTATCATGAGCCAGGCCTATACCAAACATTTAATATGGCTAATTTGATCCTTCGTGGCAATGTAACATAGAATTCGGGCTAAGTCAGTTATGAGCTGCTATATCGAAGATACTGGAGTATACTGGATAGTACAATCTTATGTTTTAAGTCAGTAGTTTACTTCTCTAGTACCGTATCACTAAGCTACAAGCTGTTACTGTGTTTGAAAGACGTTTGGCATAATGTACATATTTACAGTAATGTTCTGATATGATGAACACTCTTCCAAAGCAAGTACTACATTGGTTTTCTTTGTTCTTACTGTAGGTAGTCTCTAGTAAGAGATAAATAGTCTGATCATTACCAAAAAGTTAATAGAGTAAGCTAGAGTAAAATACATATAGGTATCATAGATAGTCGATATATTATCATGCCTTTTTAGGGGGATTCCGGCACAGTAGCTACCATGTCATTTACAACAGTATACAGATAACACCCTTACTATATACGTAGATTGTAATTAATTAATTTTATTTCCTGTTGATTGCTGACCTATAGTTCCTGGTGATGGTCAGAAAGTGCCAACTTTTTATACTATGACCAGCCACTACATAGTAGCATCTATTTCGATTCACAAAGGATAGTCTAACTTTGACATCTTCCCTAGTAATGAATTCGAAGGACTTCCTGCAATCCTCTACGTTCAATGTTGGCACTAAGGTCTCCGGCTCTTCTAGCAAGCCGCTTTTGTAAAGCCCAATATATTTAAGCCCACCCTCCAGCAGATGTTCGGGCCTCCTCCCTTCTTATCCAGGAAGACATTTCTCTCCTCCATCTTAATAGCTGCTGAATGATTCTCCTACCTAAGTACTCGAGATCATTCCTTTTGTGATGCCATCAATACTGGAGTACATGGAGTGCAAATTTGAAGTACACATCAGATATCAACGATTCTTTCTTCGACGCCTGCGAAATTTAGTGGCCTCATGCTTGAGTTTATAGAATAATGTATTTGAAGTACTCCTACCCATGTATCGTGGAAATGCTTCATAAATTCCCTGCATAGTTGTTAACTAGTTAGATGGGAGGAATTTCTGACTAATGCCAGGCTGTAAGCCGACTAAAGTGGCGCTTGGTTTCCTGATTCTTAATCTCTTCCACATTTCTTGAATTGTGACTGTATTTTTTGGTGCAAATACATATATTCCCAATTCTATAATAGGTCGAAAGTGGTCAACTGTCACCACAGGCAATGGAAATCTCTACATTCTCAATCCGCCCCGCAGATTCCACAGCTAGGGCTTGTGTTCAATGTCGAGAGAGCAAGAAGAAATGCAACAAAAGCTTACCGAAATGTGCGCGGTGTGATAGGGAAGTCCACATACATATAATCTATCTCCACGCGCTCTGTATCGTTACTAACAGACCAAATGCAGACTGGCTTTGGATTGCCAATATAGTGAACAGAATGGAGACAGCCGCCTCCACGCGCCGGCTGAAAGCCTGGAGAGAGAGGATACTAGCTCAAAGCTAGACGAAATCCTTCGTCGCTTGGACAGAATAGAAAGTGCTTGTCAACCGCATGAAAAAGTAGCGACAATAAATCCGTCATTGTTCCAGGAACCAGCAGCATCGTGCCCCGTAGGATCAAGCCTGCCAGACACAGATCCTGCGTCGTCCTCAACGGGAACAAGGTCCCAAACACCTCCGAATTGTCAAATCAACCCTAATTTCTTACGTCCGTCGTATCTGAATCTGATCACTGATATGAATGTGCTCCAAACGCTTGAGAACGAGGGAATATTCCCCCGCCAGGTTACCCAGAAATATCTCTCGACGGTCCACACCTGGATGCCGATGCTGTCATCGGATGACCTCTTTAGGAGATTTGCTGACTTTGAGAATCTCAATTTCTCATCCGAATTCTCGATTTTGATCTTGAGTATGTATACGCTCATCCGGAAGAAGAGCGCCACCGGGACTGAGGCGGAGTCGCCCGTATATCTGATGTGCAAGCATCTGTTCGCAGTCACTTACTCGCTGGCCGGAGTATCTTGGGATCTGTTGCGTGCTGGGGTGTTGTTAGCGTTATATGAACATATCCACGGAATCTCGGAGAAATCAAAAATGACAATTGGGTTATGCATTACGATGTTGTCTTTACTGCTGGAAAAGGAGAACAGGGGGGATGGCACGCAGTTCCCCAAGGAGGAAATGACAAGGCTCTGGTGGAGTATTGCCATTGTTGACAGGTTAGTAGCTTTCTGGTCGTTATTTCGCCCTCCCAGCTGCATTTATCCAGTGCTAACCATAAGCGAATAGATACATCAATCCACTACCGCTCAGTCCCTCTGGAAGATTCCTGATCGACTATGCTGATCCGCTGAGATCGCTCAACACCACTGAATCCGGGACGATGCATTCGGACCCAAGTGCGCAAGCAATTCAATACTCGTCAATTCAAGCACCGTGGAAATCACTCCCAACCGACCATACACTCTCTGGAGAATCGAAAGCAGCTCAATTACTAGGCCAAGTCCAACAATTCATCCACCGCGCTGAGTTTTCTCTTAACATCGGATGCCACGAATACGCATTGTTTCATGAGAAGATATTGACAGTTCTTACGTGTCTGAAGACAGTCGAGTATTGCCCATTCCGCAACGACTCCCATCGGGGTTATTGGACTTCCCTCAGGTAAGATATCATCAGAGGTTTTGAAGCGAAATCTCTCAGAAATTTGTAGGCTGATATTGCTCTCCTTCACAGTGCTGTGCTCTTATTTTGTTGCTTCCTTTACCAGAAAGCGGTTGACGGTGGAGTTGAAGATATTCTCACGATTCTAACCCCATGCATAGTAGAAGCTGTCCAGGTTGCCGACGAGCGAGCCAAAAACTTCACAGAAGCCCGTCTGAATATGACGTTGGATTGTCATGAGGTGACTCCATCCATGATTACGTGCCTCTACCTAGGGGCACTAGGAGAATCTTTACTGGTCCAGAGGGGGTTATTGGATCCTGGAGTTCAGTACCATTGCAAGGGTTTCCTCATTGCATTGAGCGGAGAGTGGGGACTGGCTCGACATCGCGCAGCCTGTCTGAGTAGTCCCTCCCCATTACCAATCTACCAGATGCTACAGCGAGGCTGAGTCTCATTTATCGGTAAAGAGATGGCCGCGGAAATGGTGGTATAAGACGTGTAAGAATTACGTGCACGACCGAGTACCAGCCGTATAGCGCCTATAGCTAAAGCAAAAAAGAAATATTATATACATATGTAAAAAAAAAATATATATATATATATATATGGAGAAACAAGACACTCTCTCAACAAGGCCCTTCCTTAACCATACACGACGAGGAGGGGAATATTAATTAATAATAACCAAAGCCAATAAAAAGGAATCATGAACTAATACCAATCATTCCAGGTGCTCTCGAAATCATGAAATCTTTGCCCTTCATCATTGATACAAGCTTACCCCAGATAGTCCAGCCAAACGCTTGGCCTGTACCCGCGTTCTCACCCACCGGTACAGCCATCATGATACTACCTGCGGCGGCATTGTAAGTCTTCAGCTTTGGGCCGCCGTCAATATCGGCCTTGATGTTTGCTGCGACGACCGGAACTTGTTCGTTGGCTTTGATGAGAGTCCGAGGAGAATGGATGGTAATATCACCCACGGCATAAACCCCCTGTGGACGCTGAGACAGGTTACCGGGCGTGGCAACGCGCAGGTGGGGGTCAACATTCACCCAGCCGTTTACTAGGTATTCCGAGGGAATGAAGCTGCTATTTGGAACTACACCGGTGGTAGCAATGTACGCGTCCGCAGCCATTTCCTTGCCGGTGCTCAGCTTGACAATCCACTTGGTGCCATTCTGCGATGCCCCGATGACTGAAGCTCCCTTGACAATGTTGACGTTTTTCTTGGCGAGGAGCTTCTCCGCTGTCGAACTAGGGCCCTCTTTCAGCATGGGCAGAATGCGGGAGCTAGAGGCGATGACAGTGATGTTTTTGTGGTTGGAGGTATCGCTCAATTCCCCGGCTATCTCAACTCCAAGGGGTCCAGCACCGCCGATTATGATACTTTCTGCCGCGGCAACCGTGTCCTGAGCAGCTTTAATCTGAACCTGGAATGCTCTGGAATCAACCCCGGTGGGTTTAAAGGGCGCGAAGACACCATCTCCCTTGGTCGATTGAGAGGAGCTGCCGGACGCAATGACGAGATAATCATAGCTGATTATGCCGTTAGAGGTCGTGACGACTTTCGACGATGTATCGATTTGGCTAACGGTGTTTTGCACGAACTCAAAGGAGTCCTTCGAAGCCCCTCGAAAGATAGTGGTGATGGGGTAGAGGTATTTGTCGGGGCTAAAGGCTTCGGGTTTGGCAAGAATACGAGGGGCTGCAATATTAAAGTAAAACCTGTCTGATGGGTCGATTATAACAATCTTTACCCCTGGCGAGCTCTTCAGAAGGGCCTTAGCCACCCCAATGCCGGAGTACGAGCCGCCAATGATCACGACTGTCTTCGAGGGCATGGCGCTGTGTCCGTTGCGTGGTGCAAATGTAAAATGAAACTATGAGGTTACCTGCCACCGAGGATGATCAAGAAAGAGAGTCGAAGAAAGTGTTCTACTTTAAATGAACGTAGATTTTCTCCGTACTTTATACTCCAAGAGCTAGCTATACATTATGAGTGCAAGTACATATATAACAAGTGGAATTGTCGGCCGCCGTGTCCGACAGGTACTGGATCATTGCTAACACAACCACACACGGACTGAACCTACAGGAAAGCGTCAAACAATAATTACATATCTCGTAGTTAACTAGCTATAACTAACTAGTCAGATTCAACAAGGCTTACCAAAGGGCACATCTCCTAATCAAGTAATCTGCGGCCGCCAGCGCACGCCCATCCGAATTAGAAATTAAACCGCAATATTCGGAAATCCACTGGTATTTCGCAACTAGCCCTACCTGGATAGCGAATCGGATTCCAATGTCAATACCGACGCTACTCTACTGGGATGGGCCTATAAGATTGTTGCTTCTCTGTTGGCCTAGCATAGTAGTTATGGAGTAATTGTTCTCGTCCCACTTTAATTACTCATCGAGCAACATGGCAAGAACAGGATCGCCCGTCCGTCCGTCACAGCGTGATAAGGACCTCGGATGTATATCCAATGTGAACTCGAACGAGCAGCATTATCTATAAAGGTAATGGATTTCGACGTTCAGCTACCAAGCAATCCGACTGAACGTCGACGTATGCAGAATCGTCTGGCCCAGCGCAAGTTTCGTCGTAAGTGTATCGCACAATCCATAGCCCAAATAAGTTATGATATGATCAGGAAAGGTCCGGTGGCCATGGCTAACTGCTTATTCCACGATTGGAACAGAAAGAAAAAAGCACACCACTGCTAGTGCCCAAAATGGTGTGTCCTTCACCTCGCCAGTTCCTCCCGGCAACCCTCGAGACCACGCAGCCACAAATGCTGCATTTTCAGACATCAATCCAACCGCAATCGAGAGCCTTTTGAGCTCTAGTAGCGACCATAGACCTCAGCTAGATTCCCCAGACATAAATGCATTGGCAAATATCATATACGTGCCGGGCGATCTATCGTCATCGGCACTACATATTCCCTTACCGCAAACCACACATGGCCCCAGTACAAATTCCAGTGTCTCGAATGGAGTTGAGCAAATGCCGTTATCGCATATTTCAACTCCAGTTCCTAGTATACAGTTGGAGTCGTGCTTGACGCAACTACCGCCGGCCAAACCATCTCCAATACACGACACTCTATTCGACCTCATAACATCGGCTCAGAGCGACAAAGGATGGCTGAGCACACTACATATTGCAGCACAGAAGGGTCACGATAGAATTATTGCTGTGCTGCTGAAGCAGGGGAACATGGATCCAAACAAGCAGGATAGTGACGGACGTACACCCCTAGTGCACGCAGTGGTGGAAGGACACGAGCCCGTGGTAAAACTACTACTCGAACATGGAGCTCGGATCGGAATTCCAGACTGTGATGGGCGATCAGCAGTTCATTGGGCTGTGCTTCATCGCCGTGAAGATATTCTGCGAGTATTAATGACTCATCGAGCCGAGCATGAGCCCGATGTGGATATCAATGCCTACGATAATTACGACTGGACACCACTTCATATGGCAGTCAATCGGGGGGTAGAATCGGTTGTGGTGCTCTTGATAGAGTGCGGGGCGAATATGGATGCAATGGCAAAAAAGTGCCCTTTTTCAGGGACTGTGATGCCACTCATTGACCTCGGACCTTGATGGAGATCCAGGCTGAAGCAGGGTGAATATTGTGGAATAAATGTCATCCCCATCACTATCTCACATGTATAGTGCTCTCGAATAATATGTCTTGAAAGGGGTTATCTCGACCCTTGCTGATGGAATCACCAAGGTTCCTCTCTCCCATCATACAGCCACATCTTCCCGCTGTGAGTCTTCAGAGTGGAGGTATCAATCAGCTTCAATAATCCTTGTACACTCTCATCAATCGTGATAGCGGCCTTCTCCAAACCAAACTCTTCTGCTCCACGATTTCCAAGGTCGGTCTGTACCCACCTACTTGACGTTAGACAAGTAAGTCGCTATATTTGGCCTCAGCACTTACCCTGGATCAACAGGAAACGCAGTAAGCCATGGTTCCTCAACGGAAATTGCTTTGGTGTACCAGTGCTGCATGGTTTTTGTTGGCGCATATGCAGCATTTCTCATGGGAATGAAATTTCTGCCCTAGTCAATACGATTTTTTTTCTTTTGTTTCATGTGTAAGATCAGATTACATACTAAAGGACCATTAGCTCGGGATTATGCTTGGAATAAACGAAGTACTTGCCGTTAATAACCCAGCCCCAGACCCCATTGTGACCCATTTCGGATTTTGCGAGGCACGCAGTAACGGCAGAAAAGCCTGGTAAAGTCGAATAAGCCCGTACACATTTGTGTCTATGTGCCTCTGGATTTCTTCCACCAGGACATCAGACACCTTGGGGAAGCTAAACCCTACTGCCGCGTTGGCAATGAGGATATCAATATGATCAATACCCTCGGCAATTAGGCTCGTGACTGCATTGGCAGCGTCTGATGGCGAGAGGGCGTCGATCTTGACCACGCGGAGAGATGTTCCTGTCGCTGTGGGTAGCTTAGTTAGAGCCTGAGAGGTCTCATGAGTCGGGTCACGGTTAGCTGCAATGACTATATGGTTTGGCTTCGCAAGATACAGCTCGAGTAAACCTTTCCCGAGACCTCTATTTGCTCCGGTTATGAGGACGATAGTGGGTGACATGGTGAAATGTATCAATTGGAGAAGATTGAACTGAGTTGAGTGGTGTTGATTAAGTTAGGCCCAACGTCGACAGGAAGCTGTCTTTATAGTTTAGTTCTTAAATTCTTCTGTGCCTCAAATCCAAGAGAGTTGCGATTTGTAAAATGCTTACTTCGGATCATGTATTGTCAGATTCCACTTGCTTATGCTTATGCTTATGCTTATGCTTATTTGTTATCCGCACTAAAAGACGAGCTAGATATCTAGGGCAATCATCCTACTCTTCGTGGGAGAGATCATCAAGGGCACTGAATATTGCTCAAGAAGGGTATGCAAAGGATCGGAGGCATAAAATGGCACGCAGCAGTCGTAGATTTAGTTTCTGTGTCTGCATTTTTCTTCCTTGTAGGCTGCGGAGGATTTCAACGTAACGAAGAGCAAGAGGCTAACTATGCAATGATATTTTATTAGATTGACGGGTAGTTTGTATTCATCCAATAGACCCGTGGCGGGATGTATACGCCAGCCGCCTTAATCTAAGTATACTATTCATCTAGTTTGGAGGGCCATGCACAACTTAGCCTACTGTAGGAGGGTATGATCAGGATTAAACCCCTAATTCATAAAGGCCTTGAAGTGTAGTTTCGTAGTCCTCTGGCTCTCTTCCAAGAATCTCCCATAGAGTCGGCGTCACCACTGCTGTTTCCCCCAATCGAATAGCATCCCATGCTGTAGCCCACTCGCGAGATAGATCTACCCCATGGTGGGTAAGTTTCCCTTCATGCGGGAGCTTCACATATTCATCAACAGATATAGGTCGGATTCGCACCGGCCGACCCACAACCTTTCCGAGAATGTCTACCGTTTCCTGGAGGGAAAACGCGCGTGGCCCCGTAAGCAGCACTGTCTTGTTGATGTATGGAAATTCGGCTGGTACATTCCCCGATTCCACATTAGCATAGGACACAATCAACTTGGCGGTGGCTTCTCCAAGCTCATCCCGTTTCGCCCAAGACACCCCTGGACCTGATCCGTCATGAGGAATGGTGATCTCGTCTGTCGGCGCTTTCAGATCAAACCACGCCGTATAAATGGGGAAAGACTCCGAGTACAGGCCTTCGCGGACTATGGTGTATGTTGTTGGCTCGGGGAGCTGCGCGAGATACTTTTCAGTCGCGAGATGCGCGCCCATGACATGCGCAACACTAGTTTCTCCAAACTCTCCTGCGAAAGCGAGTGATGAATAGAAAATATGTTGGACGCCGCTTTGGCACGCTGCGTCAATGGCGATTCGATGTGCCTAATTTCCATCAGCCTGTCGGTATATATGGAATGGTGCAGGAGAATCTGGGGCATTACGTTCACGCGGTGCTCCATTTCGAAAGATGCATACGAAATCAACATCAGGATATCGACTCCATCAAAGGCATGAGCAAGAGGTGCAGCGTCATCATAGTCCGCATAGCGCACCACGGCTCCCTTCTGTTCTGCAAGAGCCAGCGACCCTGGGTTTCGCGCGATGAGAATCAGTTGCGAGGGAGGTACGAGCCGCAGGAGGTGGTTGACGATGCTGAAGCCGAGACCCCCTGCTGCCGGAAAGACACCTATCTTCGCCATTGCGTCTGGATTCAACCGCATTCGAGTAATCCGTATATTGCGTGACGAGCAGTTTACATATCAACTCTTATTGGCGACTTGTATCCGTCGTCGCTGCGGATTGCTTAGAATCAAGCTCGTTAGTAACTTTCCCTCACGTATTTGAATGGACCTATGATGGGGTTTATGCAATATCTCAGCCTGTACAGCTGTTATGGTTTCTTGGGCTGGAGGTAGTTAGTTAGTATCTTGGTGCATCTTAGAAACCGTTCTAGCATAACGGGCTAGTGATGTCATGGCATCAATACGTCAGAGAGCAATGAATTTCTAACTCAAAAGCTTCATGTGCAATACGCAAAAGTATCGGTCAGTAGTTCAACCAATGAGGTACTATGGCCCCTGAACTCATACAATGTCGTGATGTTCGATGTTCACCTCCTTTCTGGGATAAAGACTGAGAAATAAACCTTCGTATAACGGATGATTGGTCTATTTGAATGAGAGTATATTGGAGGACGTTTATACATCCATTTTAGAAACTTCAAGAAAAGCGCATGGCCTTGGTGTGTGTTCAGGTTCGGCAGAAGGCAGCCAGGGTCGAAACTTATCTGGTTATTTTAGTGATAGACCTAAGTAACCACTAGAATTTATGGCAACCTATTACATATAATTCTTTAAGAATAAGCGCAGGCGTCTCTTGCGTCAATAAGGGAGCATCGAAAGTTGATGCTAAACCTAAACCCTAAGCGGAGAGAACATACTACGCTACTTTGTAGAAATGCCATACTACAAACTGATCAGGGCCTCCACGAGTATAGATTAAGTCCATTCGCACATATCCTCATGGCTATCCACGATCAAAGGCGATGATTTCAGGTTCGGATGTGAGTGAGACCTTTGGGGTTGAAGTGAAGTACGGAGTAGACGACTACTACGCCAGCAAGATACTTTTGAGCCTCGTGGCTGGTCTAATAATGAAATAAAAAATGATAAAAAATCAAAAGACAATGGATACAATATAATTATAGAAGTCTTAACGTAAACGCATACTCTGTACTCCCATGCGTCCGAAATTGTTGTGGATCCCATCCACTGTAGTGACCAGGAGAGCCAGTATGAGGACAGAATTCCTCCCGGAAGCCCACACAAAAATTAACTATCAGGTTAGTTCCTCAACATTTTACACTGGATCCAGTCTGCCGAATAAAAATTTAGAACCAATTCTTGCGCCAGGAGGACGACGGCGTAGGAGTACAACAGATGTCAGAGTATGGCCATGGACTGCTTTGTACGGCGTCTTTTCAAGCTCTCTCATACCAATGAAAAGCAATCCCATATTTAGTCAAGCTAGATATCAGAATTTAGGATCAAGAACACCCTCTGGAGTTTCCTCTGAGGAATTACGCCAAGAATGTCCAAGCAGATCGAATCTTGTTGGGAACTCCTATCCTCATGCATGATTACGGATCAGTCAAGAAATTCATCCGAACGCCACATATGTATTTGTACATAGTACTACGGAGTATATGAAATATTCGGATGGCTGCCCCCTAATCTTGAGTGGATCGTTCAGCCTCAGCTTTTTCGTTCAATCTTTAAAATCTTATCACATATTCTTGATTATTCGGAATAAAACTTGCGGGGGCTGAAGGAAACCCGAATCGTTCGACTCCCTCAGTCGGCAAGTATACATAGTTCAATGGCTACAAAGCCAAGTTTTCCAGGGTTCACTGCACTCTCGGACCAAATTTTTGTTCGGGAAGGAGAACCTGCAGCCGGGGCACAGGCACCCAAAGATCCCAGAGTTATCATCATCTTCGGCTGGGGAGATGCCCAGCCTAAACATGTCACGAAATATGCAGACGGGTTCGGACAACTTTTCCCTGGTAGCAAGCAGATCGCAGTGCTAGCACCGATATACCAAGCATTATGGCGGAGCATGGAGCAGCGAGTAGAGGCGATGAAACCAATCCTCGACGCAACATTTCCGTCTACAAGCTTCCCCCGTGCCGAAGACCATGATGACTCCGTCCTTGTGCAAGTAATGTCGAATACGGGAGGCATTAATTATGCCGCTTTACTGCACGCCTATGAAATCACTTACGGGAAACCGTTCCCACACCGGCTTGTCACCTTCGACTCTACACCCGGAAGTACCGATCTGACGTTCGATAACTTGGGCCGCCTATCCCTTGCGATGGCGCTGGGAACCGCTTCCTGGTTCCCATGGCCCTTCGTGGTGACGCAGTGTATATGGGGTGTTTTCCTCTTCACGGTCAACATCATCGAAAAAATAGTCGGCCAGGAAAGTGCTGCTGTGCAGAGTATCAAAGCTGTTCAGAACCCGACGCTACAATCGAAACAAGCGAAACGACTGTACCTCTACGGCAAGCAAGATAGGATTATTCTCTGGTCTGATATAGAGAAGCATATCGCCGAATCTCGCGTACAGGGATATGAATCAGAATGTTGTTTGTTTGAAGGAAGTGGACATATAGAGCACATGCGAAAACACCCGGAGGCATACTGGGGAGCTATTCAGGTTGCATGGGCAAAGCTGTAGTGAGAATGCGCACTGTATTATAGCTGACAATTTTAGCTAAGATAAAGGAATATACTGTAATACAACTTGAGTCTTTTTGTTTCCAAGTTAGATCTCGACTTTGCCTCTACACATAGCGTTATTTTGGTCAATTCAGATTAATCTATGCGTTCCTAACCCGCAGCATAGTGCAAATTGAATGGTCTAAATCTATCTAGATTCTAATCTTATACTATCTTACAGTAAAGTAGTGTGTACATTATAACTTCCCGGCACCTTGTCTGCCCTTATAGTTACGAGAAGCATCCACCACCAATGCTACTTGCGAGCTCGTCGCCACCAGCTCTCCCTTCTGATCAAGAATCACTACCTCCAGGTCTGCCCGGCTGCCCCGGAGCGACCTGGTTACAATACGCGAGTATAGCCATTCCACCCCTTCGGATGGGATTTTGGTCTTAAGGTCGATGTTCATCGTAACAGTGGGATACCAGAATAGACCCTTCGTAGCCACAGACTCTGGAGCCTTTCCCTGTAGCTCCGGCATTTTTTTCATTCCGCTCAACTCCATTGCAGCCATCCTATCCAGTGCAGCCGGGAACATATCAATGAGAAACAAAAGCGCCTCATTAGACCATCGCGCCACGTTCCCGCCAGGTGTAAATCTCGCCCACTGCTCGACTACCTGCTTTGTGCGGCTTGCCAAAGTTGACGGTGACGGACGACGCGGTCCATAAATTTCCAGGTTTTTCGGCGCAGCCGACTGAGTAACACGCGGGTATCGTGCCCACTGGCCGTCTTCTCCATTCTTTGCCAACGCTTGCAAGTCAACCGATCCATGCGGTAACGAGCCAAAGCTCGGCGCAGGTTCAAGCCCCCAGCTTCCTTTGCAAGCAGGTCCCATCTCCGTCTCTGGCGGACTGATCGTCAGGTATGCGACCACTTTCACCTCGACTCCATCCTTCTTATCGATTCTATCGGACGCTACAGCTCCATCTGGTCGCTGGGAGAGAGTAACGTGAACTGTGCTAATCCTTGCGCCGATCTTCATATCTTGTACTGTGATGAGAGCTGGGCCAATGGCTGTTCGGCGCAAGTACGATATCTGCAATCCAATGGGTTCCGGAGTCGACTTAACGCGCGCCCCATGATGGTTCTTGAAGTGGATCGCCGCGGCTCGGTACAGGATACTTGCTGTGTATCCTCCATGTGGTACTGTCTGAAGATTAGCAATATTTTTTGCTTCTGGAAGAAATTCCGCATACCCTGTCCAATGCACCAGTTCGCGTCCAAATGCGCAGAATATGTCTGCGAGTCTATCGGAGTGACGTGGATCGCCTTTTCAAAGATATTTGAGTGGGAAGGGTCGGCCATGCTTATTGCTATTCCAAACCCCGTTATATCACTACAGCCATATGTAACAGGTGCAGGCAGATCTGTGCCTTAAATAACATTTCCCAGTAGATACACCCAAGTTCAGACTTCAGCCATTCACGGAGCTCTTCCTGTGTCGGGGATTTCACCCGGAGCCATTCCCATTCCCGCCTTAATCTACCAAAATGCCTCTAGATAGGTGGCTCCGCCTCGTTCCGTAGACATGGTTTCGCCTAGCTTCATTGTTCCTCCCAGCACATCCGTCGCACTGGAGATTATTTCGAAGTGGTTGTCCCGAGATACTAGAATTACAGACTGATATTAATATTCCATAGCCCATCCAGTTACGGGCATATTCTCATGATACATAAGCTTAATTCATCTACTGTTGTGAATATTCGTCATCTGCACTGTGTCACACCGCACCAAGCACGATAGTAAGAGCAGCCCATATCCCTCTCTTGACCAATCTATCCACAAATGTGTATAAACATTTGCAAGCGTGATATCTGGGAACCATATGGATTTTGCGGCAGATTTTGGAGCTGTTTCAGTGAGAGGAGGACTGATGCGCCAGTAGCATGGCTCATTGATATCAGCTATAGGACTCTGCTCCCAGCTTTCAAGTCGAGTGTGAATATCCAGAAGAGCCCGAAATATTGACAGTAGTTTGCGAGCACTGGCCTGATACGGATCGGTTACTATCATGTCCATATCTTGGAGCAGTGCCAGCATTTCTAAGACCTGGTTGAGAAGACTCTGCATGGGGGATGGCTTGAAAGCAGAGAAAGGAACTTGAATCCACGGCCTTCGTCTTTAAAAGGCTTGGATTACCTAGCAGTACATTAACCACATATTTTAATCCCATTCAAACAAAACTCACCAGCAGTGGTCGGAATCCAACAAACAGTTTATGAAGAGCACCAGAAGCGCACTCTTCCATCGCACTGGGATTTATCAGCCTTGAGATTCTATGGTAAAACGACATTGCACATACTCCTAACTTCCGTTTCCTACATGTCTGACAAGTTGATCTCTGCTTTACCTTCATTTGAGCCAATGAAAAGCATCGCGATTGACTGTAAAGAGGTGTTCAGCATGGAGAGGAGTTAAAGGCAGTGTTGGCCGAGGAGGGAGTTAATGAAAAAGTACAATGGTTGGTTCCTGGCGAGCCTTCCAAAATTCTATAGTCAAGTATATAATGCTTGCTCAACAGACTTGTCGAAGGAAATATTTCCCACTGTATCCTGATTCCGGAGGCGAGAAAGCTTCGATGCCAAAAACATGCCACATACCGTCTATATGTAGTTCATGGGACTTCAAGCCAAAGGACCCTTTCGTCTATCTATTAAAAAAAAAAAAAAAAAAACTAGCTTCCCAGGGCGGCTTTTAGCGAATCAAGTGTCATAGTATCATCACAAAGCGGCAGCTTGTGCTGAAGCTGATCAGGATCTAGCTCTGGGTAACTGTTCTTTATGGCTTTCATCACATGAATGAATTTGATCTTGTACGCTTTCCCAAGAAAGTGAAGTCCTGTTCATTGTTAGCTAGCGGTACTCAGCTGGGTAGAATAAAAGTGAGCAAAACGAGTGCGACCAACCATCATTAAAATAAGGGGTAAGGGGGTTCTCCGCTGGAAGCTCCTCAAGGCCATAGAGAGGATCTCCTTCCTTCCAGCCGGCGTCGGCCATGATGAGATACCACAGCGGGACTACAGGGACATTCAGTTCCTTTCCGAGCTCGATAGCGGCATCGCAGTGGCCACGAGCCCATCGGGTGTCACGGTCACAAAGCCAGCTGGCCTCCACCACCGATCTGAACTGGTGGTAATTGAAGGGGCCGGGGGCGACGATAACAACTCTAGCTCCAACACCCTGCGCAGTCTGTACGATTTGCCGCATGTTCTCCTTGTATCTTGGGATGGGGACGTGATTTTTTGACTCGGGAGCTATGGAGTCATTCGTCCCAAAGAAGACAATCTACCGTTTAATTAACATCCACGTCTCAGGTTACGCCGGGTCATCCATACCATCAGCTTGACTTTAGCATCTCCGGCATTCTCTTGTTTCATTAAGTGAGGGAGGATTTCCCGCGCATGGTCAGAGTTGTAGCCGCTGAAGCCGCGCTGTACCACATCCATTTTCCGGGCATAAACTGGCATCATATTAGATCATTGTACGAACTAAACATCATCCGAACCATGTTACCATGTTGCACTGCTGACCCAAACCCAAAACTGGACTCTGGGTCATAGGCCGCCTCGGTGATTGAGTCTCCGAAGAGAAGCACTTTGTCAAAAATGAGGGCCATGCTGTCGAGTGAGATATTCAACTAACAGGAAGTTAATATCAATTGACCCGGAGAATTGTCACTATTTATCCCGCTTGGTTCGAGGCGATCATGGCTTAACCGCATTTGACACGGAGCAAGCTTGGGCTTGAAATTAGGCGTGATGGAAGAGACCAGACTATGTAAAAGTAATCTATGTAATGGTGCAGGCAGCCATGCACATCTCCAAGATACCCCCAGCACAGACCGAAGGAAAACTAGAAATTAGCCGACGCCGTATGATACTTATGCCACCAACTCTATTGTTCTGAAGGGATGAAAGAGCTAATTATGCAGCCCACTGTGACCCTCTTGAAACAGTCGTCCCTGTTGGACCGTTCGAGCATGAGGACCCCGGTCATCGAGCCGATCCTTCTTTTCCCAACCTGCTCAAGGATGCAACCAAGGTTTCTGAGTGGAGTTCCGCATTGCGGAACAGAACTGCACGGCGTTCAGATTGTATGCTACTGGAACCTTATAATTGAAGTTCGGGGTGCTCAGTGCTGACAACAGTAGTCCGATCTGTCCAGTGAGGGTCTAGACGAGCTGGCTCTCATGGTAGCACAACGAGGATGTCTTGTTTTCCGCGGGTCGATATAGCGGGCGTAAAGCTGGACAAGATGCCAGGCTGCTGTTGGGCTCAGCATCGTCCAGAGTTCCATCCAGGCGCTTGCCGTGGCTTGCGCGTCGACTTTCGGCTTGGCCTTATGGATCAGGGCATGGTCGGTGCTGCCAAACATGGTATGTTCGGCGGGATCAAAGGAGGAAAGTGGTGAAGGGACGGCGTTCATGAGACGATATCGTATGCCGCTTACTCGGGGCTCGGAGAGTAGCTGTTCATGGTATTGTTCGCGAGTGAGGAGGTGAATATCTGCTACGCCTGTTGAGACAACAGGCACAGTGCCGGCTCCAGCGATAACTAGTCATGTTAGACGGAAACTATACTTCTACATGGCGAACGTACATTTCACATGTGCCTTGAATGATTCGAGGTCGACTCAATCAGCCCCAGTCCCCCGTAAATCGAGTAGGGCACTTACCAAGGTCTTCATTGTCCTTGAAGAAACAAGGAAGAGGCGTGTATATTCCTGTCGGCAAGGGTCTCATGGCGAAGATTCTGGTAACAGAAGTGAGAGATAGTATGAAGTAAATGACTTGTAATAAAGCAAGTCTTCCGATGGAAATTGTCCAAGTGGTTGGCAGAGTGCATTCTTCATAGGTATCTTGGTACAACAAGGAGGGCATATTCCACCGGCTTCGGATTCAGAACAGTGATAGTAGGAGGAAATGAAAATACATCTCCCTGCACCGGCGTAGAATTCCTGCTTCACATACGGGTTTTGACGAACAATCATCCAGCTTGCGTTCTGCCTGGCTATTTCGGCTATCTGGCGCATTCAGACATTTGAATCATCCCCAGGGAATAACTATTGCTCTACGGATGTGGCATCACACCCTGGAGAAAAAAGCTACGTTTATTTTTCAACAAAATAGAGGGAGTCCTACGTTGATGTATCCTAAAAATAATTCGAGCCGAGGGAAGTGCTGTCCTTTCCTTCGCGTCTCTGGTGGAGATGGACTTCAATAGTTTCCCGAGGTCCTCCGTAGATAAATATATGCATGCAGGAGCTCCACTATCACCAGGGGAACTCGGGAATTTATCGAGATCGGCATGGCATGTTCAATAGATGAATCACGAATATCCAAAAAAGCAACCAGTAGTACTATTGAATATATTCCAAATCCTGAATCCTGAACTGTAACCAGGGAGGTACAGGGACCACGCTCCTTGCTATAAATAAATACGTCGCCTACGGGTATATTTTCTGGACAATGGATGAGCCCCCGTCATGAGTCTCAAATTCCTTACTGCACTGGCAGTTCTGGGGTCTGTCAATGCCATTGCCCTTGCTCCCCGAGCCTCGGTTGGCACCGTCAGTGACCAGGACTGGGACACTTTCAACGCCAGTGTCTCCGGCCGCCTTTACAATGGTGAACCGATGTTAGCGCCTTGCTATACCAACTACAACGGCGAACCCCAGGTCCCGAATCTAGAAGAATGTATTGTCGTGCAGGGAAAGAAGGGGGATCCGACCTTTATCACGGGGCAATTTGGAGGCTACATGAATACCCAATGGGGTGGGTGTCAGGCTACTGGGCAGAGCTGCGTGGTGGGATCTCTGGGTCCGGACATTTTGAGCCCAATTCTCAAGCGCTGTGACCAAGGGAGCGTGCCTTACAAGTATGTTGAAGTTCAAAGCGTGGAAGACATACAGGAAACATTGCAGTTTGCCGACAAGAATCACCTACGGCTGGTGATCAAGAACACTGGGCATGATTACGAAGGCAGGAGCTCAGCGCCTGATTCTTTGGCTTTGTGGTAAGTTTCATTGAATCCGATATATATATATATATATATGTGGAGGGGGAAAAAAACTAATCATTCAGGATGCATAAAATGCAACCGCCTATCGAATTAGAAAAGCAATTTATCCCCGACTCATGCTCCGAGACTCGCGGGGATGCGATTACATTCGGAGCCGGCCAGCAATTCGAAGGGATCTACGAATTTACAGAAACGTATGGCTATCGGGTGGTAGGAGGAAGTTCAAGAACAGTGGGTGCAGCTGGAGGTTGGATCACTGGCGGCGGGCACAGCGTTCTCAGCAACGAGCTGGGTGAGTCCAATGCCGATTCAGTTCACAGGAAACATGCTAATGTTCTATCTAGGCCTTGGGGTGGACAATGTCCAACAACTGAAGGCGGTGCTTCCGAACGGAACATATATCACTGCCAACCGCTGCCAGAACCAGGACCTTTTCTTTGCCCTCCGCGGTGGTGGTGGAGGTACGTTCGGCGTGATAACTGAAATGACGACCCTAGTGCACCCAAAACGCCCTATGCAATTTGTTGAAATGGGATTCACGACCCTTGGCGCGGCAGCAACCTCCAAGCTGATGTCAATCCTCGTAGCCAATGCAGAGAAGTGGGCGTCTGAAGGCTGGGGAGGATTCGTTTCTTCCCTAAACCTCGGGACCAGTGTGTTTATGAGCACGGCTCTGCTAAGCCATGAGGAAGCTGTAGAAAGCATGAAGCCTCTCTCGGACTTTGCGACAGATTTCAACCTGGGGATCGTCAATATCACGACTTCGTCGGATTATCTTGCAGGAATGCAGAACTTCTTTGACATTGAGGAGCTCCAGGAAGCTTTGGTTTCGGCTTCGACAATCTCCAGCCGTATTGTCCGGAGGGAGTCATTTGTTGGTGAAGAGAACCAAAAGCAGCTGGCTTCTCTTCTGAATGACTTCGTCACTGTTGATCAGAAGATACTCGAGCCTTCCCTGCAAATTTCGGTGTTGTGTATCACGGCACCAACGCTATATTCCCAGAATATGCCCGAATCAGATCAACCGGGTGGCCCAGGTGCAGCGTCGGTCACACCCGCGTGGAGAGATGGAATCTGGCATGTTTTGCAATATAGATCGTTTGACAGTACCATCACCGATCCTAAGACCGTACAGAGCATTGTGCAGAATGCACATGAAGTGATGAACCCTCTCCGCGAGTTCACCCCTGGCTCTGGGGCTTACATCAACGAGGCGGATCCGTTTGAGCCAGACTCTATAAACTCCTTCTGGGGACAGGAAAATTATGCCAGACTATTGGAGATCAAGAAAGAAATCGATCCAACTAATCTACTTATGGTGCATAATGGGGTTGGTTGGGACGAAACCGACGGACGATTTGCCTGCTTTCCAGATATTGACACGGCAGCATAATCGCTACTGGTGCCAATTATCGTTCCACTAGCTATATATATCACATAACCTAGTGAGAATCTAGTGCCTTTTCTATTCAAGATTATATTTCAGGAGCAAAAGAATATTTCTTCATATGTTTCTTTATTAGACGTTAGCCCAACAGTGAACGTGGGGATATTATTATATTCACTATGTATCAGTTCATCACTTCCACATCCCTTACTCGGGCGATGCACCGTACTAGGCTAGGTACTCTCAAGAATGCACCTGCATAATCCTCAGGGATTTCGGGACACTTCCGTTGGAATCTAGGGATCATTCGCAAGGGGATGAAAAAAAAAAAAAATGAAAAATCGAATACGGATTCCATTTTCTTGAGGAGATCCTGGAATTGAACCTCGGACTCGACACAAGTCACCACCCAACTCCTCCATGAATATTGGTTAACAATGAAAATCCTCGCTTTTCTATTCCTCTCCTTTATCGCCGTCGCCTTCGCGGAAGAGCCAAAGTGCAGGGTGCAGGGCGAAGGCTGCAAGAACGACGTCGCCGGCTATCATTGTTGCGACGGTCTAGCGTGCCCTTCGAAAGAGCAATTCGGCGGCTGGGGTTTGGTGAGCTTGTGATGAGTGACATTGTTTCAGAACACGAGAACTAATATACATATAACTACCCATAGTGCACCTAAGCTGGGGCTGGAAAGGTACTCGACTCGGCCCAGTTCAAAAATGGGACGGATACCCGCCAATTCTTTAAGGGCGGTTACGGTGCCTTGGATAAGGATACTTGTCGGATATATGATGATCCTAGGGGTAGCTCAATGGAAGCAGGTGATCGGATATATTGATGTGTGTGTCTGTTGGGGGGTTGTGTGCTTGCCTAAGGCCTTAATATAGGGTAATAACCCCCCTTTACTTATTAAGTATATCATGAAATACCCCTTTAATTTAATATACCCTCTTAGGTTTAAAGGATTTTATCTAGTTTAAACCTATAACTATATAATTTAAGATACTATTCTTATTCTAGATAGGTTTAAATTATATCTAGTAATAGGTTATCTATTAACTTTAGTCTCTCTACTATCCCTAAATTCTTTATAAATGCCTTAAAGCTTTAGTAGGGTAGTACCTTAATTAACCTATCTATAATTATCTTAATAATAGAATAATATAATACTTTTATTCTTCTTTTCTAGGCTTCTTACTTAATCTAGTAATTATAAATATCTATATAGTATAGCCTTATATTTAGGTAATTAATTTCCTTATTTACTAGTTAAATAATTTATATATTATTATATTAAATATTAATAATTAGATTTTCTAACTTTACCTAGATTTTATCTAGTAAATATTTAATAAAGATTCTTTCTTTTATTATATATAATAATACTAATAATTCTACTTTAATTATAGAGATTATTATAGTTACCTACTTACTAATTTTCTACCTTATTATATTTCTAAATAACTTTATAATATATCCTTATAAGCTTCTCTAGTCCTAATTATCTATAAATAAGGTATTACTATATAATAGATAGTTATCTAAACCTTTAAGTTATAGGATAAGTTTATTTATTCTTTTTAAATATTATAGGTATTAATCTACTTTAATATAGTATTTTTTACTAGGGTTTATAAGATACTAGAATAGCTAGGATACTATAAATATAATATCTAGTTAAGTTATAATTATTATATATATTATAAATCCTATCTTTTATTAATATTATTAAATATATAAGTAAGATACTCTATCTTAATCTTTCTAGAGTACTATTTTTACTAATATAGGAGTAGTATCTAGACCTTTCTTTCTATCTACTAGGTTAGTAATCTTATTAATATATACTAACTAACCTAGCTAGATAAGCTTATTCTCTCTATCTTAAGTAATCTCTATTTCTAGAAATTATTATAGGTTATTTCCTTCTATTATTTTAAACTAGTCCTAAAGTTCTTATATAGTAGCCTATATTTATACTAATAATTTTTAATAATAAGTAAATATAATATTATTTATATAAAAGAATATTAGAATCCTGCCTCTAGTAATATAATATAATTTATATAAAATAGATTTATATCCTAGTAACTTTAAGATCTTTTAGAAAGTTATTTACTATAAATAAAGAAATTATTTAAGTTTATATAGTATTTTCTTTAACTTTAATACTTTACCTAATTTTTAATATTCTAGAAATATTTCTATATATATTTCTTTATTATTATTTATATTAATAAATATATTTATAATATTATATTACTTTAATTCTAGATTAAATCAGGCTACTACTACTAGGAAGATTTAGAGGGATCTTACTACTAGAGTTATAATATATAGGTTCTTTATTAAATCTTCTTATTAATCTTCTTTTACTACTAGGCATGCTTTATATTTAGTTAGGTTACTATTTTAATTACTTTTATATATATATACTTATTTATATTCTAGTACTTTTATATACTTAGGTCTATCTACTTTTACTTATATTTTTATTATTTTATAGCTAGTTAGATAGTCCTGCTCTGCCTTCATGAATTCTTTAGATAGTAAGTAGTTTTTAACTTGGCAGTATATCTTTAGAAGGGTTGATAGCTAATCTAGGTAGGTCCTAATTAGACTCTCTGGTCGCCTATTCTGTCTTTGCATTTCTACCTTGGAGGCTAGTATTCCATCTTGTTGGGTTGGTTGTATTAACCTCCCCGCCATGAATGCTGATTTCCATGCAATTTGGTGGCTTCCATTTGGCTCGGTTTCTTCTTTAGTTTTGGCCATCTCATGTTGGTATCCTTATCCTTATCCGCGGCTTCAAGTGCTGATCTTGACATTTGAACTAGATAATCAAGCGAGTTGAAATTACCTTCTGGAATATCCCCTATTATAGGGTGATTTATATTTGATACTCCCTAGATTAGAATATAAGTTTTAACTTTAATATCCTTAATTATTTATTTAAATTTATTAATTTTAATTATTAGAAAGTTATTCTTTATTACTTAGATAAATATATTTTTATTTTCTAAGAAGAATTCTTTCTTATTAAATATAATATCTCTTATATAGATAATCTTCTTTTTCTTTCTTAGGTTCTATATTTAATAGATATTAGTAGATTTATATCTTACTATATATCTTATAAATACTCTTAGGTTAAATTACTTTTTATACTTTATTATTATAGTTACTTATAATTTAATTATTATAAATACCTTATAATTATATGCTTTTAAGTAAGCTCCTTAGGGTTTCTTATATTCTATTACTACTCTATCTTGGTAGGTAATATAGATATAGAATTAGTTAATTAGTATTTTCTATCCTACCTAATATTTAGGTATTTAATTATATAGGTATATTATTATATAGATATATTTAGGCTATAAAAATATAAGTAATTTTACTCCCTATCTTATTATATATACTTTCTCTTTTATTATACCCCCTAAGTACTCTATACCTCTATTTTAGGCTAGTATATATAGAGTAGAGTAGTCAAGTCTTACTTCTTTAGATTATATAAAGTCTTCTAACTATTCCTTTATCTTACTATTTAACTTAATTATTTAGGGTTTAATATTATATTACCTCTCTAGGAGGGTAAATAGATTAAGTAGGGTATTTTTAATTATCTCTATATATTAGTCTAAGAAGTAATAGTCCTATATAAAACCTAACTACTTATTTATAACTAATAATAGGGCTTAATAATTATCTATTTCTATTTTAAAGTTATAAAAATTAATTACTAACTATAGATCTAGTCCTTCTATAGTAATATAGTCCTTTTAGTTAATTTTTTACTTTATTTTTGCTATACTATAAGTATTATATTCTATTATAGTAGGTCCTCTAATCTTTACCCCCTTAGTATTTTTAACTAGATAATCTAATATCTATAGTCCTGGATATTTAAAGTATAAATATTACTATTTTATATCTCTAATATTAGTAATAGTTTAGAATATTACCTGGCCTATTATATTATATAATTTACTATTATATTTTATTATAAATTAATTATATTTCTTATTAAGATAGGCTATTACTATACCTTTAGATATATAAAATAGATTAGAATTAGGATTATTCTTAAAATAGATACTTATTTAGTTTAGTAATATAAGTAATATTAGATTATATATTATTTCTTTATAATAAGCTATATTTTTAAGAATTATATAGCTATATTTTATATCTTTATTTCTTTAAGTTATAATTTATATATTAATATTTTTATATTTTATAATAAATACTTTTAAATCTCCTACCTATATATAATTATCTTATATTAATTTTATATATTACTTAAATTAATATAAATTATTAAATATATAAATTAATAATCCTAAGTTAAAAATAATAGAATATTATAATAAATATAGTATAATTTTAAATTAAATATTAAATAAAGCTTTAACTTTATTTTTATTTCTATCTTTTATTTAACCTACTTCTTAATTACTTCTTTTTTCTAGTTATTTTAAATTTTATTTATTTTATTCTTACTCCTTTACTACCTTTTTAGCTAGGGCCTTATTTATCTTGAGTTATATATTAACTAGCTTTCTTATTATACTTCTTTTTTTAAAGTCCTTAAGTACCTTTTCCAGGAATAAATAAAAATATTATATTTATTTATATCTTTAAAAATATATATTATATAATTAATATAAGTTCTTAAAAATACTTCTTTTAGAGTCTATTCTTCCTATATTATTATATTTATACTTATATTTTATTCCCTTATCCTATAATAGGAATATTTCTTTATTACTAGTTATATTTATTATATCTTTAGTAATAAATATTAGTCTAAAAGCCCTTCTACTAGTCTTATTATATTACTACAGGAATACATTAATAGTATCATAGAAGTTATTTATTATAATATAGAATAATAATATTCCTGCTAGTATCTCCTTCTTATAGTCTAACTAATAGGATATAGTCTAGAATAGAGCTAGATAATATATTATATTTAAGAAGTCTTCTATCTAGTCTAGTAATAATATTATAATTTTAAGATTTACTTTAATTATCTATTAAATAATAAATTCCTAGTTATTTAATTAACTAACTAGATTACCTTTTAGGGGTCAGATTATCTTTATATAGATATTATAGGCTATATTTTAAATTTATCTCTAATTAACTATTATATATTCTTTTAATTTAAGGTACTACTTCTCTAGAATTTTTATTAGCTTATAATAAAAATAGTAGATCTTTAGAAAAATAATATATTAAACTTAATCTTTTAGTTTCCTAAATTTTATAACCTAATAATTATACTTATCTATTTCTATTTTATAAAGTATTACTTTAGAGTTAAAGTCTTATAATAATATTATAGAATTCCTAGTACTATTTACTAGTAGAGTTTCTCTACTATCCCTAATTAATCTAGTAAGTTATTATAAATAACTCTTGCTACCTTTTATTATTTTCTATAGATTATTATCTCTTGCCTGTACTTTAAATAAGGATTGCTATATTAGCTAGTCTTCCTACTTAGTAAGCCTCACTATATTATCTTTATTATTAGTAGTTAGAGGCATTGCGCTCAGTATTTTACTAATTAATAGGTTTAGTAGGGGTTATTAGTATTTCAATAATTAGTAGGTTTTAATAGGGATTATTAGTATAGATTCACGTGCTTTAAGCAAATATAAGACTCTTAATTATTAGATATATAATGATCTTAAGGGTAGCTCAATAGAAGCAGGTGATCAGATATATTGATGTGTATGTCTATTAGGGGGTTGTGTGCTTGCCTAAGGCCTTAATATAGGGTAATAACCCCCCTTTGCTTACTAAGTACATCACGAGATACCCCTTCAATTCAACAATACTTCGCTGACTATATATATTCACCTGGAGCCATGGATCATCAAGTAAGTCTTTGGCGTTGCTTCGATGTTTCGGGTCCCATGTGAGCATCCGCTTAATAAACGCAATAAACATCTTCTTGTCTTCTCCACTAATTTGGCTTATGGCAGTCTCGAAGCTCAGTGTTGGTATCCTTAATGGCGGATCGAATTTTCCTACTAGAGGATAAGAAAATAAAAGTATTAGTTAAAAGAGTCCTCCGTACTTACCATTAATATCATAGAACATCGACGTTCTTCTACCCTGTGAAAGAAGATCCTTTGGAGGTGGTCCTTACAAAGCTGTAATATAACTAACTAGTTAACTATACAAGATAGCTTTAGTCATTATACTCCCTCAATAAATCAACTGCTGCAAAGAGTGAGCGATTCTCCAGTAGATCCCATAGCTAATCAATTATTAGTGAATGGAAAGAGTTGAGTTCTAATAAGTAAAGTAGCTAACCATCCCCCCTAAATTCCATATATCTGCGCGGTATGTCCAGCCAGCATCAAGAATTACTTCTGGAGCACAAAAGGATTCTACCTGGATAGCACCATAGTGCGGACCATCACTAGAAACAGCAAAACCAAAGTCAGTAATGGTGACGATGCCTTCGAGATCTGTAACTCAGACTCTGCATCTTGCCGTCCTTGCCTGTTGGCCGCATTGATCTTTATCGCAACATAGCGATCTAGTAACCATCGCCATCTAAATTAATTCCCTTGGAACACTCGTTATACCAAGGGGACTTGATCTTTACCTGTAGAGGTCCCTCGCGAGCCACACAGTAGAGCTCGTACCATACCCAAGCTTAGTAGTCAGTTGATACCTGGCATCAATGATCTCTCCTAATCGCGCCGGATAGAATCGCTTGGGGTCGTAGTAAGGGGTTTTCTCTTCTTCAACTAGAATGAGATCGGACGAGTTTCAGAAGATTCAAGATCCGCTGTCTCGAAGGATACATTTTGCTGATGGTTATTGAGAACTAACCATCTGAGCCTTTCATTATGCCCTAGACTAGTACTTGAAAGCAAGAGTAAAATGGAATAATCCTTTATAAACCACCAGAACATCAGTTAGGACATTGCTATTTATATTAGAGACTGTTGCCCCTATTTTACCCCCATTTCGATGTATTTAACCTTCATCCCTGAACGATAAATTATTACATAGTAGCTATTTCACTAGGCGATCTATAAGTCCGGCTGAGCGGACGGGAAGCCATGTTTTCCACTTCCTATAGTTGTATGTGAAAGATGCCTTGAGTCTGGATTCTCTACCAGGCAACTCATGACTTCCAGCACCGGAGAGACCAGAGATGTGACGGGATTCCTCTTCACACGCATTATCACTCCTCGTTCAACCAACCAGCGACCCTTGCGGTTGAATCCTCTCCTCATGCCTGCATGCTGAGATTAAGGTGACAAGGGACAGAGTCGTTAAAGGAAAGACTATTCCGCTGCATGTGCGGACAAACCAGGCGGCCCGCCTACAAATAAGCTTACGGTCACTATCAATCAAATTTAATCTATTATTAGCCACCAGAACGCTCAGTTATTGGTTCTTGGAGAAGCTCCGTGGCAAAGACTACTGATTCATCGACGCTACTTGCAGTTCAAGACTTCAAGTCCCAGGCGAGCTTTCGAGTTCGGGGATTTCCTTGCAAACACTGGGGAAATTCAGCCCAGCTGCCTCGGGTTACATAGTACATAGTCACACAGTCTTCCTGTCTGACACCGCGAGGAAATATCACGGTTCCTTGGTATATGACTGGTCAGAAAAGTGATTATGGTCATCGTCGCTTATTGGGATCGGCACGCATCAGCTTCCCCAGGCCGTGCTAGCAGTAGTTACACTCTACAGACCGCTGTTCGATCTGGAGCTGGCTGAACCCTCCGCAGTTGCGCTGGGTAACCGCCCAGTGGCCAACAGAATCGCCAGGATATTCATGCATCCATCTACAGCGTAACCAATCAGTCCTGTAGAATCAAAGACACCTCACAAACAGCTCGACCTCGCCCTCCGAGCCAGAGCAAACTGATTGGTGGGACATGGTACTCTGTATAGCCCTAATGATCATCACGACTAATAATAACTATCAGTCTCGTCGCCTATACAAGAGAGGCCCAACGCATCCCTAGTTGAACGGGATAATCATTCAAGGCTCTCCTTGCATGGACAGGGTGTAAGACGGCGCCAAATCAAGTCACCCTCTACTCCGCACTCCGTACAGGAATCAGGAAATCATCTTACCAAGCAAGCACCTTGGCCTCTTAGCTAGCAATATATAGCGCACACGTTCAATCTCCGCTTCACCACTTGGCAGTATTCTTTCTAAGCCCAAGGAACTTTCCCTGTGGTGTCGCTCATGCCCGTTCCTGCAGGGTTTGTCCCAATGACCTTTCCTTCCCAGGAATAATTGCCAGTTCTGGTCTGCGTTGCGTTGCATAAGTAGCTCTTCATCTGCATTCCATGAACACATGCTTTGCTGCTTGGATCGGATCCGGTATATAACATTCATTGTAGCAAGCCAACTGCGCCTCCCTCTTGCCTTACATAGTCCCTGATCAGTCTTTCCACGATGGCCTTTCAGGCTCTCAGTCTTGTTGGTCTCATCGGCCTCGCTAATGCCGTATGTCCCTATATGACCGGCGAGCTCTCAGCTCGTGACACCAATCTAGATGCCAGCGAAGATTTTCTGTCCCCGTATTACCTAAATGACCAAGATGCTTTCATGACAAGCGACGTGGGCGGCCCAATCGAAGACCAATTCAGTCTGAAAGCTGGCGAGCGTGGTTCAACTTTGCTTGAGGACTTTATCTTCCGTCAAAAGATCCAACGATTTGACCATGAACGAGTATAGTTCCTCGTTCCTCTAGGTCTTATTTACTGTTCTCCTTGCTGACTTTTTCAGGTTCCCGAACGTGCTGTACATGCTCGGGGTGCAGGAGCTCATGGTGTCTTTACTTCTTACGGTGATTTTTCGAACATCACAGCGGCTTCGTTCCTTGGTGCGAAAGACAAGCAAACTCCCATCTTCGTCCGTTTTTCCACTGTTGCGGGAAGTCGAGGGAGTTCCGATCTGGCTCGCGATGTGCACGGGTTTGCCACGCGGTTCTACACTGATGAGGGCAACTTTGATATTGTCGGCAACAACATCCCCGTCTTCTTCATCCAGGATGCAATCCGATTCCCCGACCTGATTCATGCCGTCAAACCCCGAGGTGATAATGAAATTCCACAGGCTGCCACCGCTCACGACTCCGCGTGGGATTTCTTCAGTCAGCAACCTAGCACAATGCATACCCTCTTCTGGGCCATGGCTGGCCACGGAATCCCTCGATCTTTCCGTCATATCGATGGCTTCGGAGTTCACACCTTCCGGTTCGTCACCGACGCTGGGGCTTCTAAGCTGGTCAAGTTTCACTGGAAGACTCTCCAGGGCAAGGCCAGCTTGGTTTGGGAAGAAGCTCAACAGGTCTCGGGGAAGAACGCAGATTACCAGCGCCAGGACCTTTACGAAGCTATTGAGGCAGAGCGCTACCCTGAGTGGGAGGTACGTGGCCCTGGTGCTAATGATTATGCTTCTAACGCTCATGAAAACAGCTTGCCGTGCAAATTATGGACGAAGAAGACCAGTTGCGCTTTGGTTTTGATCTTCTCGATCCAACTAAAATCGTACCCGAGGAGTATGTTCCTTTGACCAAGCTAGGCAAAATGACCCTCAACCGCAACCCTCGCAACTATTTCGCGGAGACCGAGCAGATCATGGTAGGCCCCTCGATATCTTCTTCCGTGGATGACCCTCTAACGAGGCGAGTGACAGTTTCAACCCGGCCATATTATCCGGGGTATAGATTTCACCGAAGATCCTTTGCTCCAAGGCCGTCTTTTCTCATATCTTGATACACAACTTAACCGCAATGGGGGTCCCAATTTCGAGCAACTCCCAATCAACCAGCCCCGTGTCCCTGTTCACAACAATAACCGTGACGGTGCTGGTATAGTTATCCATCTGTTGTTGCCAGTCTTCCCAGTCTGACGGATTGCACAGGCCAGATGTTTATACCACTTAACCCAAATGCTTACACTCCCAATACCCTCAACCAGGGCGCGCCGAAGCAGGCCAACCAGACTGTTGGCCGTGGTTTCTTCACTGCGCCTGATCGCGCCGCCAGCGGCCATCTCGTCCGTGCCCTCAGCTCTACCTTTGAAGATGTGTGGTCTCAGCCGCGCCTCTTCTTCAACTCCCTCGTGCCAGCTGAGCAACAATTCCTAATCAATGCGATCCGTTTCGAAACGTCCAATGTCGCCAGCTCCATTGTCCGTAGCAACGTTGTCCTGCAACTGAACCGTATCTCGAATGACCTAGCGCGCCGTGTTGCCCGCGTCATCGGGGTGGAAGAGCCTCAGCCAGATCCAACCTTCTACCACCACAACGTCACCACCGATGTTGGCGCCTTTGGCCACAAGTTGCAACGTTTGGATGGCCTCAAAGTCGGAGTCCTTGCCTCCGTCAATGTCTCAGCCTCCATTGAATCCGCGTCTTCGCTCGCAGACCAGATCTCCGATGACGGGGTCGATGTCATCGTTGTTGCTGAACGCCTCGTCAACGGCGTAGATCAAACCTATTCAGCCACCGACGCGATCCAGTTCGATGCTATCATTGTCGCCCCCGGTACAGAGTCCCTGTTTGGGCCTCACTCTGCGACAGCTCCTCCCAATGTCGGCAGTACACTCTACCCTGCTGGACGCCCGCTCCAGATTCTCATCGACGGATTCCGTTTCGGAAAACCTGTTGGTGCCCTGGGCAGTGGCTCCGTGGCTCTGGGAAATTCTGGTATTTCCGAATCCCGCGACGGCGTTTATGTAGCTCAATCCGTTACCGATGCTTTCGTGGGCGATATCAAAGATGGTCTGCGGACCTTCAAGTTCCTGGATCGCTTTCCCGTGGACCAGTAAATAATCAAACATCCCATTTTATTCATTTCCACCTAATCCCCCATTCATTCCTTCATTCATGGCGTTGCCAGCCGGTATAGCAGATAGTCTTCTGGCTTTCTTCGCCCGATGCTGGAATTCCATTCTCAATTCTCTAATAAAGCACTAGGTCCAGATTTTTATCCCATCACGTCACGTTTTCTGTGCAGTTGATGGTTTCTATTTTTACAGTCACACCCCCGAGGGAACTTGCTCAAATAAAATCTAATTCCATTCGCTATTCGGTTCCTTGGTGTTCCTGTCCTTATTGTTCCCTAGTAGTTTATCATAGCACCTCCACCTCTATTCAGTCTCTTCAAAGTAGCCGTATCCCGAGAACTCATTGTCCTTGTCGACTTGGTCTGATCGACTTGGGAACCAGGCCCAAGAATTGCCCATTCAGCCACTGTTGCACCGGTATCATCATGCGCCCCGGAGAGCGCCTGGTTCCCTGAGATCAACAAGGTCGCGTACCGGGAAACAGGGACAGGGACATCCAACTGAATGGTGGTCGTGTTTCCCACGGGAAGAGAAACTTGATTCGAGTCCACGGTCTGCTCAGAATACGGCAGAGATTGCTTGATATTCGTCAGGGATGCCACGATCCTAGCGCCGGGAGGCGTGGCAGTCAGCGCAAGAGCCGGGTTCTGCAGCGGCTGGTCGTGGAAAATCACAGTGGCGTTGACGGGCGGCGCCTGCGCCCACTCAAAGTGGAACCCGGACGCCATCGTCTGCAGATGCCGGCTAGCTGCGCTAAGTTGTACAGTGACAGAGCTCGGATTAGCCGATTTCGGCTGCCACCGGGTGGAAGTTGCGCCGTCAACAATAGAGAGGGGGAATTGGCCTGGTTCAAAATCATCGGGCGAGAAAACAGGGGTACATTGGACTAGATTGCCCGGGATGCTGTTGATCGTTCCAATTTGGCGGTTTTGAACGGTAAGAGGACGTCTGATGGGGAGGGTATATACGGTTGCGTTGGACTCGGGGCCAACGTATACCGGAATAGAAGCATTGGCAAAACGATGATCGGCTGTATCTAAGGGGGGAGCATGCGCCGCTCGTTGGATGACTGTGTGGGTGTAGTTTGACCTAGCCGAGATCGGCCATCCCCGCCAGTAAAAGATCCGATACGTGATATGCGGGATCTGTGGTGGAAGATTGGGTTCAATATGGATCGCCTCGTCAGGGAGGAGTCGGAGACCTAGATAGCCGAAGAGCACGACCTGGTTGGCGCCGCCATGGCCCGTCAAGAAGGGATAGGCTGGGTGAGTGCCACCGTTGATGCTGGCGTCATCGATCATCTGCTCTGAGAGCTGGAAAAAGGGTGCGCGTGCATATGGCGCAAACGAATACTGCTGGTAGGTGTATGCCGAGCATCCGGAAGGAGACACAGCTCCTGCCACAATGGAGAAGATCGCCCAGGTCATTGCGGGACCATCTGCAGACTGTTTATTGGCATACTGCACTTTACGTTAGTGTTGAGCTTTTGGATTTGCTTAGCATAGAAGCAAAACCTCACATAATCCAAGTCAGTTAGAGAGCTCTGAGAAGTATAGTTATCATACACCAGAGGATAAGTGGCAAGCACAACATCAGCCTGCTTCACTACGGCAGTCCCGTTCATTGTCGTATATTCCAGCGTAACCCCATTCTCTCGAAGAATCAAAACGTTGTCCGCAATTTCCGACCATGTCTCGTTCATCTCAAAGCCGAACTGCTGACGGAAAGCATTAGCGTACTCGAGCGTCTCGGAGATCATCGGCATTGTAAAGCCACCAGCATCAACATGGTTTGCATATTCGTCCTAAAGCAAACAGAGTCAGCAAATAGCATCGTTTTGAAAGCTGAAACTTACAGGATCTGTCATATTTGTCAGGGTCCATGAGGTTCCGTTGGGCTCTACAAGGTTGGAGTAGAGCGTGGCCACAGAATCATAGATGGGGAAGTGCTTTTCACGGAAAGTATCAGTGTCGCCGCTAGTCACCCACTGGTAGATCAACGACAGCCCAATATCACCATTAAGATGGTACTGGTAGTCCCAACAAGGACCAGTCCCTGTGCAATTTCCAACCCGGCCACTCGTCCAAGGATAAACAGCTGCAGAAGGCTCCACGTATGTCTTATTCTTTGACCCTGCGAATGTGGTCTTTGCGTTTGCCTTTGCTTGGGCGTATTTCTCAGTACGATAATTCGTAACTCTCTGGGCAGCCTCAGGGTGGGATGCAACCAGTCCTGGCTGCATCCAGACATCAGCATCCCAGAATACCAAACCAGCATACGAGTCGGATACGAGCCCCCCCACCGAGAGACTATCAACGTTAAGGGGTGCGTCAGAAGCCTCACGAATAGCCTTTTTTCCGACTGTATTCTGCAACAGATAATATGGGTTTGTAACCGAGATGATAGCCGAACTAATGATATTTTGATCATCTGGCAGCTTTCCCGTGGATGGGTTCACGAAACGATCAACAGAATTATCAGGCATGATGGAGGCCCACTCCGCAACATGCGATTGTAGACATCGAAGATACCCAGCCGTCAAGGCTTGTGATACTGCCTGTTTAGCTGTCTGCTGCGGGTCGGAAAATGCATCCGTCGAGGCAGCACCAACAAATTTGGTGATTCGAACTTTCTCACTGGCAGAGAACTTCACGTCTACAGCCTGTGCAATTGATGACTCATTTATATTCACATAAGCCTTACCGGTCACAATCCTGCGAGAAGACAAATGGACCGCATCCGAACCAGTGATGTTTGCATATATGTACGCAGTAACGTTCTCAATTCCCCAAGGACGTACTGCCGAATAAATGGCACCGTCGTCCTGCCCAGATGACACGAAATCCGTACGGACTGCGGCGTAGCCGTCTAACACATTGACAATTATCGCCTCCGAGTCTATAGAAGGGATAATCTCCATGTCGACAACCGCCTGGTTAACATTCAACTTATTTGCAAAAATTCGGTATGTGATTTTGTAGGAGCCCTTATCCCCCGCTGCAGGAGTCCATGTATAAGACCACGACAACATTCCTGCTTTGAAATCATAGGTGGAAGAAAAGCCTGTGATAGTTTGGTTGTCCACAGTTGAGTCAAGATACGTTTCGTCACCCAGGTCGATGATGAGGCCGCTCCAGTGAGGAACTCCACTGATAACGCTTTCGCCTCCATATTGATTTATCCAGGGAAAATTAGACCCATTCGTTGTAGGCTGATAGTCGTAAAATCCAGCAATAGTAGCAAATGATTGTCGTCGGGAAAATAATGGCCACCCACTTATCACATCACCATCCACAGGCATATCAAGTTCAAAGAAAGGTCCAATACTGGAAACGCTTATGCCAATATACCCATTGGCGACAGAGCCACGCGACTGATAATGACCAGGATCAGGGGTGGTAGTTGTGAGCAACCAATGATCATCATCCCAGGAGACTCCGGGAAACACAGTCTGATAAGTGTTATTAGAACCCACGAGGGTCTTTTCAATGCCATGGCCGCCACCATGCCGTCTCATGCAACCCGAAAGGCGGAGATTCTTGCTCTGCAAACCGCTTCCTTTCACCAGGAGCTGCTGCAGGAAGGATAGCCACAAAATTATGGTCTTCCTTTGCAATCAGTTACCCAGATAATTAAGACAAAGTTCAGACCACATAAATGGAATGCACACACCGTTACCCTCATTTTGCAATACCTTCTAGACAAATCAGGGACGGACGCAATCTAAGAGGTCAATTCTCCGGTAATAGTGTGTGTTGAAAGAGGTTTCATAAACACTTGCGTGCACGGTCAGATTGTCATTCCAGTTCCAATATATCTCCGTCCTCATATTCGAGATTACCAGGCTGAACGGCAATCCCTCTGGATGCTGGAGGAGGCCCAGACTTAACTAATAATTCCCCGCAAAGCTTAGGGAGTGCCGGAACGCACGATCAATTGAATGCGACCTACTCCGTACATTCCATGGAGTAGTAGTTTGACTCCGCCTCGACCACAATTTGATTGCGGGGTATTCAGCCACAAACAAAAGCAGCAACAATGATTGGAAGCAAGATATATAAATCCGGGCGGAACTACCCTTGTTCATCGCAATTTGATTGACCAAAGCCTATTGACGTCGAACAATGACGACTTTGACTCAAAACGGGTGGATTCAACGAGCAGCTAAAACTCAGAAAAGCCAACGGCGTTGCCTAGTGGTGTGGGGTTTGGTGGAAAGGCTAAAGCAGTTCGGGATTCCACGATTAGTTCGATAATTAAGCGATGAGGAAGTCTTGACTCTTGAGTGAAGGGTTACAAGCCGTGGTGGGCCTGTCCGGCAGCCCAACTGTTCTGCGGATAGGGACGATTGAAACATTGTCGAATTAAGAGGTCCGATACGGAGATGAAATCGGTAGATGAGCAGCTTAATAACCATAGCAATGGTGTTAGTTGGTCAACTAACTATTCTGCATAGTTGGGGATGAGTCTAAATTCGACATCGAGAATCAAGGGATTTGGAAAATTAAGGGAATTGAAGCCTCAGGCAATAACCCAAATCACGCTTCGATCGCCCAACAACCGCATCTCAACTACAATTCCGACAGTAATATCACAGCACCACTTCAAGGTATGCCCCTTCTTCAAATAAAGTCAGGAATATTTACTGACAGCTACATGCTCAGTATCCCTGCCACCAGAGGCTGATCCAATAATTTGTCTCCAAGCCGTCACAATGAGCAGACCATCTCTAGTCGTTGCAATCTCCAAGCCTCGCTGAGGGAACTTCCAACACTGGCTGACTCGGAAGACCTGACCTTCGAGGCAGATGGCGAACATCTCTCTTTTGCCAAAGTGACGTCCAAAGGGAAGCCTTCCGACTTGGATACCTTGATTGAGTCTATATTTGTCGGGAAAATTGGACAACCAGATATCCCCACAATAAGGTAAAATCGCGTGAGCAGGGTCACAGTAGACAACGAGACGCTATAATGGGACTGCCAGGACTATGTATTAGATATACTCGAGGAGTGTTTCTCGATCGGGATGACCGGATTACGCAGAGGCACAGAATTTCTGCGAAACAACTTTCAACAGGTTGAGGGGTAATCAGGTACTTTCTCGACGGGAATTAGCGATACCCCTCCCGAACTCGGGGCTATGAGCCGACAGCGACGCAAGGCTACCTGGGTAGGTTCAGAGATTAATAGTTGACGAGCTGAATTCTACAAAGTTGTCTGCACTTTTAATATATGCTGTCACGAGGTACCTGGCGCGGGGCCTCAGTGAGCTGAGCTGGCATGATGTGATTTGTAGGGGCGTTGCATAACAGCTTCGATTTTACCAAGGAACTGCCTGCCAATTATGTCCGTGCAGTAATATACTGGAGAAAATGTGGGGATAAATGCATCTATTGGTGCCATTAACCTTCTGTCACCATCGAAAACGTCTCCATGCTTCCTTTCTCAGCGCAACTGCTGTATGCCTCGTGCGTTCCATAGCTGACTGGTTTTCAACCGCTCTGCGCAGGAGGAAATGAAGGCACTCTTCCACCGACCCCCAGGCCAGACACTTGAACACCCCCGGCACTGCATCATATTTTCCTTGGCCCTGCTCAGTGGCCACATCTTCTGCTGAGTTGTGCGCCAGCAGTTCACAGCTCACCTCGTCCGCCATCCCTTGCAGTTGGCCCAGCTCAACCGGGATCGTGGGGAGGCCATTTTGGACACGATATCTCGATATAGAATACGCCTTCCGTACACTTTCTGCATTATGAGATGCGACGAATAATCTAACGTCGGGCCAAACGCGCAACGGCGGTGATTCCCCTACCGGAAATTGGCGAGTGAGCAGGCTTTGCGCGATATGGTTGTAATTGTTGTCAGTATCACTCTTGCTATCGTGAATTCGTGTTCTGTAGTCATGTGCAATGTATGCGCCTCGGACGAGCTTGATTCCTAGTGTCCATCCCTCTTTCTGAGCAAGTCGAAGGTGTCGACTCACATTCTCACTTGAGGTCTTAAGGTACGCTTGTATGGTGTTGAAGACCACCACGGTGCCGTGGCGATTGAACTCTCTCATGAGATCAATTGTCCAACTATCGATGGCTGGTTGGAATATCTGCTGCTCTGCATCAATCCAGAGTCGGGAACCTTGGGCTGCCGTCTCCGCACAGATCTCTTTTATGGCTTGCTGAATCCGTGGGGGTGGAGTTGTGTCACCTCGCGTGAGTGCTTCAACAGCCGCAGGACCTGCTCCAGTGAACCTAAGCCGGTTAGGTTTTTGCTCAATTTGCAGGCGATGTGAATTACTTGATCCCAAGATAGTCACCCTTTTCAATCATTCTTAGTGTGCGCAGATTCCCTTCCTTCCACTCATCAACCGCGCGATCGAGCACCTCGTGCTTCGTGGTTTCACATGCCACGTAAGGGTCAATATCCTCGACTTTTGCGATAGATTCTCTAGCGTACCCCAGAATAACGCCCTTGAATCCCAGACCCTTCATGTACTTTACTGACTGACGAACCTCTCTCTCATTTTCACCGGCACAAAAGTGATTATAGATTGTTGTTCGCAGAAGGTATTTCATGGTAGGGTTTTTCGATGGATGAAGCCACGAGGACTCGGATTCGATCACATACTTGAGCAATCCTAGGCAGGGCTTCAAGAGCGGCGACGACATGATTGATGTGAATAGAACCGAGTAAAGCAGGGTCTTGGTGGGGAGAACCGCCAGAGGAGGCTCCTTTGGGGCCGATTGTGGTTGTATAAGGGCATGTTGCGTAGTGGACGAGGTCGATGCATATGCTGAAAGCCTGAGTCCTGGATAAAATAGCAACCTAGCCCTCGTGGGCCAGGAGACTTTTGGATACATCCCTACCACCATTTGAATTCCTACCATTCGACTGACCCGGACAATACTGCCCCAGGCCTCTTATTTATCCTTGAGAGTGAGGGGGTTCCTCTGGCTAAGCCACGTAGGTTCACTGCGGTAGATAGTTACTACATGATTAGCTTCAATCAGACGATGTGGATCACATCCCATGGACCAGCCAGCTGCCTTTTTTTCTATTCCCTCAATCAAGTATTTCGAACAAATTGACTGTGAGCAAACCTCTCGGAGGTGCATCCGACTGCACTCGGGTTAGCCACCCGCGGATATAACAAAAGAACGATACAATCAAGTTCTGGAACTATATCAGCGGAAACAACCGATTATTCTATCTATACCCATGTCTCTTGAGGTATTTTAGCTATCCATGTCTACCTAGGTACGGAGTAGTCATATCTATATCTCTTCTTTACCAATCAGGAGTGAAGGGGGCGACGACTGCATAGAAATAGACATGGGTTCGGGATGTGATCCCGAGCGATAGGAACCAGTGCACCTTGTATTTTTCAGAAGTACAGCAGCAAATCAATGATGGAGTAAATTACATTATAGTAAGTAAGTAGTTAGTTAGTTAGTTAGTTAGTTAGTACTCCGTATAAAAAAAAGCATTCATTTGACCGTCAGCAAAAAAGAAAAAAGAAACAAGGCCCGAGCCGCGGATCGAACGCGGGACCTCTCGCAGATATGCTTGGGTTAAATCCCTAAGCGAGAATCATACCACTAGACCACCCGGGCTTGTGTGTTGGAACGGCTGGAAAATTACTTACATAACCCTAAACATATTACTTGCTTAATTGCTCCTAGGATAGGTTATATGTGCTCGTAAAATCAGTTGCTAGGTAAATCAAGAAATATCAGAGTTTATACTGGATTATCTCTTCGATCTCAAGTCGAGTAGCTTGGTATTCTAATTACTATATGTTGGGTGGGATAGAACACACAGGACAAAATTTCAAATTCTACTATATACCTATATATGTATATATATTGATGTTCGGATTGGGAATCAATGGGTCATCCATCCACATTCCCAGGCGCAAAGCCATGCTGAACACCCGACAATAACTGAAACTGGTACTTTTCCACCGGATTTTAAATTGAGGAAGATAATTATTAACATGAAATACATTTAGGTATTCAGGTAAGAACATTGGGACACTGGGTATACCTAGAATTGGCCTAGATCTCGGTCTCCATAACTAACTATTCTCTGCCCAATGTCTGACAATTTAAAATTTGTTGCGAGTATCTAATTCTGCTTCATGCAGGTATATTCAGACATGTCCAGTCCCAGGCTCAGGTGTTAAGACCGTAAGAAAGAGCATAATCGGTAATGTGGCCAGGTTCAACAGAGGTCGACCAGGTATGGATTTAAAATTATATACCAAGAGCTAATCAATCAACCAATATTATCTAGATACTGATACAGGCGAAGCTCATCTGCTTCGTGGTAGAAGGAGTATCCCAACTATTGACAGCCTGCGACAAGTCCCAGTCCATGTGGACGTAGGGCCAGCATAGTCGGCGAGTACCAATGTTGACCATGTCACCTGCGACATAAGTGTCCATGGCCTTCAGGGGGCTTCCGACTACCTGGCCGTCTCTGTTCACCTGCTGGAAGTACGAGCCTGCAAATGTTCCACGGCAGCCCATAGCATCGAAGTCACAGATGGGGTCCGAAATTTCCTCCCAAGTAAGAAGGGCATTGATCGGTCCGAAGGCTCCAACGTGAACATTAGAGCAATCATTTTCTCCCTTCTTGACCCACTGGACTTGGCTGTCGCCGTCTGCCGCGCCAACCTCGGAGCTAGCCTGTGCACCAACCTTTGTATACTTATCAGAGAGCAGAGCCATAGCGACATTGCGGTTGTTGGTGCGGTTCTTCGCCTGGGTGTATCCACTGCCCATCCAGGTGTTTTCGGTCAGGTCAATAGCGCCACGAGAAGTCCAAGCGAAGACATATTTTGCGGTTTTCCCAAAGCGAGCCAATGAACTGTAGCTACCGGACATGCCACCCATTGGTTCTCCAGAGGCCCCGTTGATTGTGTGCTCATTGGAGATTTTGACGCCGTCGTTCATCATACCCTGGGTCTTGGTATTGAGCCAAATAGCTCCTTGATCTTCGGCACAGATGCTGGCGAATGGAGCTTCATCAGCTGCTTCAAAAGCAATACCGGTGTTATGGCTGCAGCCCCAGGAGCTAGAGGCTCCGGCGATATCGACAAGCTTTCCGTCATTATTCACGTACTGGATGCTATCGCCAAAATGACCCGAGGCCCATCCGGCGTAATCAGTAACGACGAAGTAGGCTCCGTACATGCCAGCGGCCTCAGAGTACACTAGGTCACCATTCATATCAGGAGAGGCAGAAAGGCCATCCGCTGCGTGTACGTCAGGGCCACCTAGCCAAGTTTTCCAGGTCTTGCTTCCGTTCGTATAGCGATAGAGAACAGGGACTGGGGTGTTATCGGGGGGCGCGTTGGTGGTTCCAGAGGGCATAGCCTCATTCGTCAGGAGGGCAAACCCATCGTTGTGGGCAACCAGTCCACCAGCTGTATCGATTAGTTCAAGTTCGCCTTCAGTCTCCAACTAAAGGAGTATGCGGGCATAGCATATCATACCTTCTTTACCACCGGAGACGGTAACAGTAGCCCCAACCGCCTTGAAGGTACTTGGGTCCACCTTCTGAACGTGCACATCGGTCCCACTAGAATCGAGGTAGGCAAGGTACGCAGATTTCTCGTCCGGAGAAACAGCAAACGGGGTACGCCGATGGTGAGGGTAACCGGTCCAGTACGCGTCCTTGACAGGATTGAACGCATTGGTCAGCTGCAGCGTATTGACATGCTTTTCGAATCGAGAATCAGACAAGACAGCAGTAGCACTCTGCACCGCAGAGAGCAACGCAAAACCAAAATGCCAGAAGTGCATGGTGAAACGTCGGCCAGCCGTCAATTATGAAAGAAAGAAAATACACTGTCCGAAGAAAGAAGAAACAAACGCATAGCTGCCGAGTAGCTGGCGACCATCCTGCCGTAATATACGGAGTAGAAAGTTGTGTGACTTCTCCCACCGCAAGGCCAGCAGCTCCAGATTAATGGCATATATTGCGCCAAGCATAACAAACGGGTCTGAGCCTGCAATAATCGGCATATTTCCGCAGCATAATTTAAAAAAAAAAATAAACACGAGGAGGGTGTTTCGAGGGCTAAGAGTCTAGGGAATCAGGATGAAACCTCCAACCCTAACTAAATAGTGGACCGGGTGTTTCAGCAGCGAAATGAGGTGCAGGAGCGCCATGAGACAGGTTCTCCCTTTGCTTCAGATTTTTTTTCCCAAGTAGAATGTGTCTTGCAATAGCCGTAAATCTAGACCTCTGTATGCTATTGTTGGGGCGTTGCCTGACAGCAATTCTTATTTATGTGAAGCACAATCCTCGTCTTCGTTGGTCGTGAATTCGGTTAAAAGGCCCGGGGGTTCTATGTCGCGGAATTATTGTTCTGAAACTAGTAAGAGACTATCGATACACTGCGCTTTAGATACATGAAGTGGCGTATCCCACACGTTCAGTTTCTCGGCGCCTGGTCAAGGCTTTCTTTAATGCCCTTGATGAGTAGAATGTGAGGAAGGTATTGGGGTCAGCAGACGCGCGAAATGATATTGCAGCGAACCCGCAATTTGAATGCTCATTCTAGGCCGACCCCCAGTGGGAATGAATTGAAATGATCAACCCGATCTGATATCGTTCCAACAATGTGGCTGCCTAGGGAGCAGAGGCGAGTTCTGCGAAGCTGAACCCGTTATGTACCGGTTTCTGCCAGTACAGAAGAAACCAAAGAAGGGCTTGGCGGTTATCCAGGATTCACGATACTTTGGGTCGTTTGGAGTTGGGCATGCCGGAACCTCCACCGAGGCGCTTTCGTTGCATTGCTTCCATCTCCTGTTTCATAATTCTTTCTTGCTCCGTCATCTTCTTGGGGGCAGCCAGAACCGGTCCTTTCTTTCCGGCCAGCGGGTTCTTCTTTGCAGCGGAAGCAAAAACATTCTTGGGCTTATTAGCACCCCCTAGTGACATTGTCAACTTCGGGGCCGCCGGAGTTGCACCCTGGGCTGGAGCGGGGGATGCAGCAGCAGAGGATTCCGGTGTTGCCGAAGAAGCCTTCTTATCCTGTTCCTCAGTCGATTGCGTCTCGCCATTTGACTGATTACTTCCCTTCGAGACGAACCCGATATTTAACTTCACCTTCTCACCCTCCTTACGTTGTAGATTCCGGGCCTCGGGGTCGACTTCGTCCTCATTCTCTATGTTCATGCGCGCCCGTTCAACCTGTTCCTGGATCTGTCGTTGCTCACGTTCTTCATCTCCCCTGTCTTGCCGGTCCTTCTTCATGATAGCTTCGCGTCGCCTCATCGCATCCGGGCTCCGATCAATATACGAGACAAATAAACCCTTCTCTGTCTCCTCAACATGGCACAGCCCTTCGCGACCCAGATGCGCAGCAAATTGGGTAAGGCTCTTCCATTTCGTAGCGTTCATGTGAATGTGCTGCAATTCCCGGTATGTCAACATCACCCCTCATGGCCTCCCGGAAAAGAGCAGTAGCCGCCAAACTCACCTCCTTATCCGCAATAACCTGCTGGTAAAACTGATTGATATGGACCTTCTTCTCGCCATGCGTAGACCTCAACGTATTTAGAAAATTATCGATAAACTGCATGCTGTAATCTTCGATATATTTCTTCGGGTCCTCCCCAATAAGCAGCACCTGGCGTACATGACTCTCGCTCTGAACATGGCTGTTATCAGAATACCCCTTAGCTCATCGCATTCAGAACCAGAGGAAAAGAAACCACTCACCATTTAAATCCATTTTCATCGCGCATTTGGCGTTCACAGGCCTGACAGTACCATCGCAACCGACCTAGTCCTTTCTAGAACATGTCAGCATCTTGTCGCTTCAGCCTCCATCATATCCCATCGCCCTGAAAGAAACGCACAGCTTTGAGTTTGTTGCCGATCGCTTTAGTACTCCCTGCTTCAGCGCGTGGCATTGTGGCGATTAAGGTACAGCGACCGCTTCAAGGATATTGAAGCTACTTCGCAGTAAGCAGGCGCTGATGATTGAAGGAGGTGGTTGTTGTGGCGAAGAGGAGGTCAAGCCGAGGCCATCGTGGATTATATAAGCCGAGTCACGTGGTGTTACTCGTCCAGGTCTTAAAAAAAAAAGAAAACGTCAAGGAATTTTTATATGCAATGCCTTGCTATTGAACACCAAGATATCTACTAGTTAAACCAGACTCCATCAGTCCTACCTGCATAATGAAGCAGACTGCTTTTCTAATAAATAATAAAAAACGACGCTCCTCGTGTAGAATACAGAACCATTCAAAAGGAAGTGAGATAAAAAGAGACCAAGGAATTTGAGGAAAAGCACCAAGCTGGAAAGTCAAATATTCGTAGATAGTGACGGAATTAAGGCCTTATTCGTATCACGTTTGCTCCTTTTCAAACGCGGTTCGATATAACAATTACATAACATATTCGTGGATAGCTGAAGGTCCGTTTTCGTTATATTCCACGCGGCTCATGAAGCCCTTGCTGAGACCTTGATCAAGGACAAAAATGACTTTCGACGCAACTTGAGCTCCCAGGAAAGCAGCTTCTTCCATGCCATGGTGGCCACCCCCTGAGCCCGGAAGGCCAGGACTGGAGGCATTTTGCGCCTGGGAGTTGGCTCCGCTCTGTTCTTTCCATTCGGGGAAGTACTCGGGTGGTTTGAGGGTCTTAACCGATGTAGGGGTCTGAGAGTGACCGGTGGAGCGGTGGTGAGAAAGTGAGGGGTCCATTGAAGGAGTTCCTGGGGGCATGTTGGTGACAGCAGGGTTGTTCGAATGGGTAGCAGCAACAAGCAGAGGGTTCACGCCGTGGCCAGCAGGATGGTGCATTGGCCCAGGTTGACCTTGGGGTGCCGGAGTATTTGTGCCTCCGGTGGGAAGTGGTGTGGAGAAGTTGGAGGGGATCTCGGAGGTAAAGATGGTACCTGAAGGCGAGAGAACGAACTTCTGAGTGATGGTGTTAAGTAGGGCCTGGGTGAAACCTATTCAAAATTAGCGAAGAAATAGAACTGCGACTACACAATGGACAAACCCTTGATTTTGCTACCGTTGCCAACGACAATCAACGAATCCCACAGATCGCTTCGTTTTGTCGCGTCAGGCACCGCAAGAATAGTGTGGTGAATCTGCGTAGCGATATCCTCCAGAATACCGCTGGACAAACGATCCCCTGTGTTTTGTTTTGGTGTGGCAACAAGGAATCGCTCAACCCCGACTTCGATATCTCTCGTTCGGCGGATGAATCGCCTAGGTCCGTTGTTCACGTCCTTTTCTGGCTCCAGTCTTACAAACTCTTCAAACTGGAACGCTGCCCTTGCTTTCTTCGAATTCGGAAGACGGACAGGCTTTGCACCCTGATCTGCGGTGCCCTTTTTCGAGGAGGACTTTTCTGCTTTCTCCTTCTCCCGGTTTGCTAAGAATTCGCTGGTATTGCCGCTAATGATAGCGGCTACATCCAGCACATCCTCGTCCTCATCATCTGGGTTGCCACTCTCATTTTGGGATTGAGCACCTTCACCCGGGCCACGGGGAGCAGAGTTGGCTCCTTCCTGAGTTCCTGGAACCTGGCTGGCGCCCTGTCGCGCGGTAGCGGCAGTACCCGGTAAAGGTGTGCCTGGGGGTAAAATCTCGGTGATATTGCTACGCTTAAGCTGCTCGCACATGTCCTTGGTGAATCCTTTTGAACCCAAAAGTTCAATCAACCTCTCGGTCATATAATCGCCACCGCATCCTTCCAATGCAGTGCCTCTCCCATGCTCATTGACGATGAAATCTGCGACCGCGGTCACGTCGACTTTGTCTTTCCCGACATCGATAACAGTCGCAGTAGATATGCCATATCCATAGCAGACAGCGAGTGCGGAGTCCATGAGACAAAATGCGGGTGTCTTGAATTTTTCAAACACAAACTGGGTGATAGTTTCCCGATCGCGCGCAGACCAGACGGGTTGGGAAATCAGCATGATTGGCGTGTGGAATGGTGGGCTAAGTGTGTTGTAGACATGTGTTAGAAGAGCAAAGAAGCAGGGCCAGTCGATAACACGTCCATTCTCCATGGGATAGACCGCTCCTTCATCAGACGCCACATCTTCCTCGTAGAAAATCTCCTCCACCTTGTGCTCCTCGTTTCCTTCCTTAGCTTCCCCGTTCTCTCCATCTCCCGAGGCATCCACCCTCTTGTCTTGTTCCGGATTCTCCTCTTTCAAACCGTTCCCTGTTTTGGCTGTCGCCTCCTGCGTGGTCGGCTCCGCGTCTTTCATGTCCACATCCTCCTTGGGCGCGGTAACACCGTTGGTGGATTTGACCTCCTGCCGCCTCTCGCGGATCTTGTACGGCTCATATTCGCCCTTTTTTTCAGCCGGGAACATTCGTGTGGGGAAACGATATCGAGCGGGCGTGAATGACTCTGGGAGACCCAGTTGCGCCAGGGTCACTTGCGATCCTGGCGCAATTATCTGAACCAAGGCAATTAGCACGGGGAGGCATTCAGGGCGAGGCGCGGGGAATCGGAAGAAATCAGACATACCAGAATATGTTCATCTTTGAACGGTGGCATTCTCGACGACTCAGGATAAAGAGGCGAGGAGACAATAGCACGGTTGCAACGAGAGACTGAGTAGCTCCTCTGTCCCGCGGTGTTTCCAGCCTGCGACCTTTGCGCGCTGGGAGGTTGGGCGGAAGCTCAATCGGGTTAAGCGCCGTCACGATTCGACTCATCCCAGAGTTTTTTTTTTTTTTTTTTTTTTTGGTTGATCGGAGGACTCGTAAAGAAAAATGTTAAGGTGGTCAAAATAATTATCTCGATTGTCCTATTACGACTTAATATTTTACATATATTTAGATATCCATGCGAGGCCTGTAACTGAAGATTGCTTGTTTCATAATCAATATCTAGAGGCGTTCACGGCCGAAAAAATATACATCGATCGACCATACGGCTATAGCTACTCACTCATCCACTGAGCGGAAATCGAAATAGTAATTTACAACTATATAAACTATTTGAATGTTCCTGAGAAATGGAAATTCTAGTCTTCAACATATTCACTACTACTAGAGTTATTCCAAGACACGGTTGAAAAATGTCTAATGTGTAGAATTAAGCCACCAACGGACGACCCATTTTTATATTGATATTAAATATCAGAACCTCCTAAACTCCATTTGTCTCTCCTGAAAGGTAAACTCCGAATCCTAATTGCTCTATGTCCAGCACGAGTCCATTCATATTAACTTTCTTATGCCTGTACCATCACACCTCATTCCGGGGCAGCATGGTACTTCTCCGTAGCAGAGCGGAATAACTCTTGTTGTTGACGAAGCAATTCTTCTTCAGACAGCCCGCTCTGTTCCATCTTGCTCTGCTTCTTTTCTCGTGACTATTGTCCAAGACGTCAGTTTCTGCTTGACTAGCAAGCTACGCCTGGGTAACACACCTTCAGCTGTTCCTTGTGTTCCTCTGCTACTGCAAGGACGTCAGGGATATAATCCCCAAAACCAAGGTCACGTAGAGCCCGCTCCACATGCTCACAGGCAATGGTTTTCTTCGCTTCCTTCTCGCTGATATCATTGGCTTCGGAGGAGATCAAGGTGATAAATTCGACACAGCATTCCATGAGAAGATCTCGCGCATCTTTGGAAAATGTCTGACCAGAGGAAGGGGGTAGAATCTCAGTGATGATTTTCTGGACCGTCGCTAAAGATCAGTCAGCACCTGAAGCGCAAACTACCAGTCCGGGTGTTCGAAATCGAAGCGTAGGGGAAACACAGCAGTCCGGCTCGGGGAAAGGGTAGACAGTCATAGGAACAGTAGCCACGCGACCGCGTTACACACCTTTAGGAAGCGACAGGTCGTCGTTTGCTATCCAAAAATCAAGGTTAGCATGTTGAATGTGCCAAGACATACGCGACAGACTTACAACTGAATTCTCGGTCTGACATGGTGGAATGTGAAGTATTGGCCCGCGGTACACGGTAGCTGGTAGCGAGAGTTGAAGGATAAGATGAGAATCGTATTTATTTCACTGTATCTTGGGTCGTGTTGGGCATCCCCTCCTTTGTTCTGCGGCGGTTCTTCTCTGATCGCAAATAAATCCCGATGCGGACTCGACGCGGAACGGAACAACCAAGGGGCAGAATCCTACCGCCTACGTTCCCTTTTCTTCGGCTGTGATTTTTTTTCAGCTTTGTTTTTCTTCATCCTCGCACAACGTTGCAAAAATCTCGAATGAAAGTTGTCTTGGATGGCACATTGAATGATTTCTTCACTACTTCTGCAACTAACTTCCATGGTATGTGCAATTATATCCCCTACAATTCCTTCCTTACCATGATGAACATCGTTGTCGCCCCTATCAGACCATTCTATGGTGACGTACACTGTCCAAGCCAAACGGACTACTGATATTACCTCCAACTGGAAATTTGTTATTCAATGACTCCTTTGTTCATTGCTGACTTCTGAAGCTTTAGTGAATTTCCAGGAAACTTGTGCTTCGCGGACTTGAGAATGCTGTAGTAGATCAGACCCTCGTTGGAACCGTTCCCTCGTGATAGGTATGATGATAATTTTTCTTTTTGTTTCCCTTTTTTTGTGATGAACAAACTACATTCCATGCTAAGTATGAAGGTGCTATGCACCTAATGCTTCTAAAATGTACCTGCTTTTCATCTTTCGGCTGATCAATTATTTTATCTTGCATTCCATTATATGGGTTTTCTTGCTTCGTCTGTATACTGACTTGACTATACAGTAACTCTTAGTTGTATATTTATGCCTGGAAGGCTTCGAGGAGCGGATCATTCCATCTGTTTCTGTTAGCTTGACCCTAGATATGAAGAATAAGAAATACTTACGAGATAAATTTTCCCGTTAATGAGTTCGGGGCGTCTAGCACCAGCTTGGCCATGACATGGCCCGGCTGCTCGGGCTTAAGAAGCTTTCCGTCTTTATGAACAGTAGTGAACTTGGCATGGACCTGGGGCTCCAGCGTTGTAGAATGATCTTCTCGTAGTTCACGCTGCATTTCCGTATCGACCATGCCCGGCCGAATAGATATGCTGGTGACCTCAGGCTCTTCCTCTCCCAAGCTCAGAGCAAGATGGTTCATCGCAGCTTTCGTGGACCCGTAGAGGCCCCAACCTCGGTAGGCCGACACCGACGCACCGGACGAAGTGAAGATTATCTTTCCCTTGGACTCACGGAGGGCAGGTAGGCCGGCAGTAACCTAGATATGATAGAATCCCTGTTAACACCTAGCCCCCCCCCCAACTTCCTCGGATCTCACGTAGAGAGATAGTAAACGGGAACAGCTAACTTACAAAAGCAACCAGGCTGAAAAAGTTCACGTCGAACCCCTGTTTCCATTGTTGTACATCTGCCTGCGCAACCTTGCCAACTTGGCCTAGAATACCATGATTGAGGACCATTCCATCTAGACGTCCAAAGGACTTGAGGGCTAGATCGACAGCCTTCTGGCCGAGGGAAAAGTCCGATAGATCGCCATTCAGCACGGCAACTTGGCTGCTGTATTGCTCCTTGAGTTTCTGGAGGGGTTCAACGCTGCGGGCAATGACGACAACATTGTGGGATTGTGGTGCAGTGAGGAGGTATTTTGCGATGGCTAGACCGATTCCTATTTATTGAATGCTTTGCTTTAGGATCTTTTAATTGAATTGGTGAAATTGAGGGGGTTAGGTTGGCACGCTACCTCTTGAGGCGCCAGTGACGATGATCGTTTTGCTCGACATGGTCGGCGATTTGAACTGAGTGATTTTGTATCAAGTAGAAAAGAGAGGAGCGGAAAGAGGCGAGCTACTGGTAGGGCGGATTATTCTGCAAGAGCTGTATGGGCGATCAATTGATTGATGCAAAGGCGGGATGGTGAACTTCCCCGCCAACTTCCGGTTACATATTCAGTAGGCGGACTCTGTTCTTTTAGCACATTTTTGTGCATCTTATCACCGCTGGTCCGGCCCCGCCAAACCCCCAACAAGGTCAAAGAATCCGAGTCTGATCATGCGAAGGGCGCGGTACCGGCTTTCTTTACAGGGTTCTGAGGGTTCCAGTCTAGACTCTATCCACAAATGATCGTTTAATAGCACTAATTCTGAAGGGTATATAAACGGTATGGCTCCCTGCATCATTAGGCATTGGCAGCAAGAAACATCTATCCATTAGCGCGGGGCAAGCTCCTTATCCGCGAAAATGCCTACTGTAATTCTGGGAGGAGGCATTATCGGCGCCTCGATCGCCTACCAACTCACTGAAAAGCGGAAATCAAATGAAGAAATCCATATTGTCGAATCCGCATCCACGTTATTCAGCTCTGCGTCTGGATATGCAGCTGGTTTTCTTGCTAAGGACTAGTTTGCGCCATCTCTCCTACCCCTCGGAAAGCTGTCGTTTGATATGCATGGATTGCTGGCTGCTGAACATGGCGGCGACAAGAAATGGGGATATATGAAAGGTACAGCACTGAGTTTGGGATCGACTAACGCAAGCTCCGGAGAGCCTTGTGGTCATGACTGGTTGTTCTCTGGCACAAGCCGCGCAGAGACGGCCACAAGCGAACCTATCCTCACAGAGGGTCCTGGGTGGTTGACAACACAAAAAGAGACTGCATATGAGCAGGTTGGTGACGAAACAACTGTTGCTCAGACGTACGCACTCTCCTGTTTTGACTTGGTGAACTACAAAAAGTGGACTGACATGAACTAGTGACCCATTACGACTATCCCAATTTCTCCTGGACCAGAGTCTCGCTCGTGGTGCTAAACTGCATCAGCCTAGCAAAGCCCTTTCTCTCGTCACAGATAAACAAGGGATTATCACAGGCATCACAATCCTGAATATAAACACTAATGTGCAGTCAACTCTTCCATGTACAAACCTTGTCATTTCTGGCGGTGTTTGGTCTCCTCGTATCTTCCAGAATCTTTTCCCCTCATCTGATTTCTCGCTCCCCATCTATCCCTTGTCAGGGTACTCTCTGGTCCTCCGGTCACCACGTTACACTCTCGAACACGAACGACAGATCCAGAGCCGCAGCCATGCTTTCTTCACCACCCAACCTCCATCCTGCGGCTTCAGCCCCGAGATATTTTCTCGTGAAGGTGGAGAAATCTATATCGCGGGTCTTAATAGCCGCGAGATTCCCGTGCCAGATCGTGTGGACGATGTGCGCAAGTTCATGGACAAGGATGAAATGGACAAGCTGAAGGCTGTGATGGTTCGATTGATGGGAAAACTTCCTCATGGCGTTACGGAATCTACCGATGAATTGACCAATATTGATGACCTAGAAATTCTCCGGGAGGGATTGTGTCACCGTCCTGTCACTGAACGCGGCGTCCCTTTGGTCACTCGGTTGGACGACAAGCTTCTGGGAGCTGGGCTGAAGACAGCTGCGAAGGGTGGTGTGTTCATTGCAGCTGGACATGGACCTTGGGGGATTTCGTTGTCCTTGGGCACAGGCAAGGTGGTTGCGGATATGATCCAAGGGCTGAAACCTGCAGTTGATATCAGTGGATTGGGGATTCAGAGCACAATAGGCTCTAAGCTGTGATCAGTCCCTGGTAATTGCTCTTTGTATATAGAATACGATGTCTCCTTTTTTTTTAATATCATAATTCTGCGTTTGATTTAGCTAATGCATCATAGAACCCTAAATATAGCACTTGAGAGTTATATATCAAAGAATACATAGTTGTTCAGCGATATCCATGTTGTTGGAGCAGAGCCATAGAAACCAATTTGACAAAGAACATCAAAAAAAGGCCTTAAATTGTGGATGAAATCTTGTAACACTGAGTTTCCTATTAGTAAAATGCAAGAGAATCTGCTTGTTTCTTGAAGCTTCGATGTGTTCGTTCCATGGGCGGCGTTGCCTCAGGCCCCAATTATGATAGGGTTAGTCAGCAAATCGCCGCTCGAGCTCTCCAGAATCTTCATCAATTCAAGAAGAGCTGGAGAATCTCCGCCGGAGCAACGATATCTGCTTCTTGCTTATGCATTAGGCCTTTTCTCCTTTTTCACATCCCTTCCATCACCTTTCGAAGAGTGTTTTGCACATTTACATCACACCATCCGAACTTTTCTCTCGACACAATGGCTAACTACCTTGCTTCGATTTTCGGTACGGAGCAGGACAAGGTCAACTGCTCCTTCTACTACAAGATTGGCGCCTGCAGACACGGCGATCGATGCTCGCGCAAACATGTCAAACCTTCATATTCGCAGACTATCCTGATGCCGAACATGTACCAAAATCCCGCCTATGACCCGAAGAGCAAGATGAACCCCAGCCAGCTACAAAACCACTTCGATGCATTCTACGAGGATGTCTGGTGCGAGATGTGCAAATACGGCGAGATAGAGGAGCTCGTTGTTTGCGATAATAATAATGACCGTGAGTGTTGTCTCTTTCTTCTAGCCGAGGTCATGTGTGTTATTTTATTTTGTTCATCCCAGCTAACATGAATGATACCGCTAGACCTGATTGGCAACGTCTACGCCCGATTCAAGTACGAAGAAGATGCACAAGCCGCCTGCGATGCGCTGAACTCGCGATGGTACGCTGCGCGACCCATTTACTGTGAATTATCCCCTGTCACCGATTTCCGGGAAGCCTGCTGTCGGTTAAACAGCGGCGAAGGTTGTGTTCGCGGCGGATTCTGCAACTTCATTCACCGAAAGGATCCCAGCAATGAGCTTGACAGGGAGCTTCGACTGAGCACAAAGAAGTGGTTGAAGGAGCGAGGTAGAGATGCAAGGAGTGTCAGCCGCAGCCCTAGCCCAGAGCCGACGCGGAGGAGGTATTAGACTCTGGTCAATCTGTACTTGGGGATTCCATATGTGTGGCGTTGGGAGAATGTCCTATTTGTATTTTTTTTTTTTTTTTCTACTGTTGTTATGATATCAAAGCTTTACAGTAATGACATTCCTGGATTGTGATAGATTAAGCCTATTGAACTTTCCTCCAAAATTAAATAGAGTGAGAGGAGCAGGAGGAGTACATTTGTGCTGTTTTCCTTTTTGGGCGATTATGACGGTTTGTCTTGGCGTTGGTGGTTTCGCGTCTTGTCGCGTTCTTTGTTCCCCGCAGTCTTTAGTATCCTGCTGCAACTCCTCTGGTATCTGCTCGGAGAAATCAACTACGGCAGCATGGCGAACCGAATTGGCAGGCGTGGCTATAATGATAGCAACCGGGCGTTTCTTCAAGCATTTATGGCCCGGTCAACATTGACTTTTGAAGAATCGAAGCCTATTCTGGCAGCCATTCTTTCAGTGCAAAGTACGAATTTTCACTTGCGCATCTGCCCTAAGCCTTTCTAACCATGTGATGTCTTTATAGATGGCGAAATTGTCTCCCCAGACGATATCACGGAAGACCAGCTTTCCTCCTATGTCGACGCTGCGAACGCCGCAATTTCTCCGTTCGACCTTGAAATTAGAAGTACTGCGCGCCAGATTCCGCTTGACCCCGAAGGTTCCAACAACGGGCTACCTGAACGAGTTTATGCCCTTGTGAACACCACGAGCGATGGCCTCACCCAGCTGGCAACTACATACACCGCGGATGAGATTTCTTTCGTCAAGCGGATTCTTGACCGGATGTTTGACACCAACAACACCAGGATAACGGAATCAATTGTTCTTAGCTCAATCGAGGCGATGCAGCTGGCTAAAGCTCCGAGTGAAGGTAACCGTCGGGAGTCAGGAGCTGCCACGCAGCAGACGCAGGGTGGGGCTGCGCAGTCGCTCACTATGACACAAGCGGAGACTGTGATGAAGCAGCTTGTAGAAGATGGTTGGATGGAAAAAAGCGTGAAGGGATATTATAGTTTGAGCCCGCGCGGCTTGATGGAGCTACGCGGGTGGTTGGTTGCGACATATAATGACGATGATGGCGAGGGCCGGAGGATCAAGAAGATCAAATTCTGCGCTGCCTGCAGAGACATGATCACAGTTGTAAGTCTACCGTCCCCCAGTTACTTGAGTAGTCGCTGTTACTGACTGGTTAGGGACAACGCTGCGGCAACCGCGAATGCTTAGGTCGCCTTCACGATCACTGTACCCGCAATATCTTTCGAATACAAAAGGCTGAGCAATGTCCTGTATGCAGCGCAGCGTGGCCGGGGGATAAATTTGTTGGAGAGCGCGCCATCACATCGACTCAAAATAAACGGCAAAGTGCCGTCCAACGCAGCAGTGGAGCTGGGCCAAGCACGCAATTATCGGAACAGCTTGATGAGGAGGACAGTGATTGAGACGCCACCTGGTCTGGTCCTGATTTCTTATTATGCTATACCACCACTCTATTGAGTACTTGGACAGATATCTGGTCAGTAGCGGAATGCTGCTGTTGAGGGTTGTTGTCTACATTTACTCGGACCACTAGAGGGATCAATTCTTCTCCTGACACAGGATATGTGTGGTCCATCATTTTTTTTTTCTTCTGCCACTTAGAGCACAGCTGAGATACCCCAGGGCTGTGGGAAGCGCAGAATAACTTGCCACTTCCAGCTCAGACGAGCGCCGTTAGTTGAGGAATGGGGTTCTTTGTGTCTCGATCCACCCCTAACATAGAACTATACCTTTTCTATGTTGAGTTGGCGGGAGGATCAAGAGCGAGATGCTCAACACATTACAGATTGAGTATATGAATCGCATGGTAGTTAATTTAGTTACTTTCCATGCGATTTGATCCGATTTGATCCGATTTGATATCCGAAATTGGGTTCCCTGGTTGATCCTTAGTTTGCATCTTAGTTATAGAGTATAGCTATTAGGTTTCATGAAGAGCATTAATTATTAAGTAAAGATTTCTCAGACTCAGAATGAACTACCAGTTCATAGATTATTACTTCCCCATTACTCCATTCCTGCTGTCTCATGCGAAACTCCGAGCCGAAGTTTACGTGGGATGACTATGTACCCTGGTAAAAAAAAAAAAAAAAAAAAAAAAAAAAAAAACTATTAGGGTGCCTCCGAACCCAACCACCGATATCCCAAGCGCGAAGTACTGTTCACAGTATAAGCGTTGTTTTTGCTCTCCAGTACCGCACTTGACGACTCCCCGTTCTGTTCCAATTGCTCCACACACTGGCGGTATACCCTGAAGTCCGCTCCAGTGATCGAGTATTGTCTTGTGATTTGGCGCGCGAAGCCAAATTGGGCCTCGATCCCACTGACATACCCACATAGTCGGAGCGAAATACAGCGGAGCCGGGGGAAGCCAACCAGGAACTCTCGCAGGAGGACCTCCCATCTGCCATGAGAGAGCCGAACATGGGAAAAGAGAACGACTTCCAGGGTTTCTCTGCATTCTATGATGGTCAACAGGGCCGATAGCGGGAGGATGGTGTCGTAGATGTACAAGGAACGCAGGGGGGCTCGGGGGTGTACGAGACCTAGAGGTTTGTGGTTGACGGGGATAGGGTCCATGATGCGACCAAGGCTCTCGAGCACGGCGCTTTCTAGGTGGACTGCATGTCTCAACGCCCAGAGAGCCTGGGGGATGCATGGTTTCTCTGCCATGCACCGAAACTCGAGGTGGAAATGCCGAAGCATGGGCGTGACGTAGAACAGAATAGACCGGTTCAGACCCAACAGGGGAGACGAGCTTATGTGCTTCCGCATGATGAGGGCATCGACGCTGAAGAATGGGAGAAATGGCACGCCTTCCGGCACGTCGTCGTCGGGAACGAGATTGCCGATGGCCTCGAGCGTGCCCTGGCCGGCAGAACGGACCATGATATGGACACGGCGCAGGGACGGGAAATGCTTGAGGACTCGGGGTGGGTTTTGGAGCACCTGAATCAAGATGGATTCCGGACTCGGCAACAGGTGAGTGTAGCTGTCATAGTGGTAGAGGCAGAGGTCAAAAACAAAATGTCGGTTGTCGGACGCAGACAGGTTAGCCAGGCCTGCCGAAATCTGGTTTGGCGTTTGGTTGTCATATCTTATGCAGGCACGAACACTGCGGAAGAGCAAGCGAGAAGCAACCTGGCAAAACGCCTTGTTGACCAGGCGAAGAGTCTTCAGTGTCTCGCAGCCGGATTTGTCAATTTGATGGTCGATGGCATAAATCGTGATCTGGCTCGTTAGGTATCAATCAGAAGGAATCCCTCCTTTCTCACCCCTTACCTGATCTAATATCTCTGTTGGGATCATATTGACCTTCCCATCCTGGTCCTGGCTGGCCATTTTTGCTCTCCTTGTATACAGGAAATAGAAACACAATGGAGCAATGACTAAAAGGATGTGCATGAAAGACACACACACAGTAGCAGTAATTAGAATGAGGACAAATATAAGACAGTGCAAGTCTAAGCGATATCAGACCTAAACCGCGCAAACCCTAACTTCTTTGTGAATAGCATACTAGTCGCAGCAAAGAGAAATTGCATGCCAATCACCAGTGACTTGAAGTTGATTCACCTATTTAATATCATGGATTTTCTGAGTGTTCTTCACTCTTGATATGAAGTATCAACCACCGCAGCTTAGTAGGATGCTACTCGTGTCAGGATATGTGCCGTGATTGACCAAGCTGGCTCTGCAGGATGGTTCGAGACATCATCTAGATCTGTGGACTTGGCTTTGACGGCCTTTTTGATTCTTCGCTCTCGAAGTGCATCGGCTGGAGAGTTATGGGAGTCATTATATGACATCTATAAGAATGGTGCTAGAATACGGACTTAGGGCACGAGTACTTTTATACGCTGTTGGCCAACAAACAATACTAACGGAAATCCCTGATGATATTGCAATTTGACCGACTTTCTCAGGTACATATGCATGTATAGATTTACTAGTCGTCAGATAAGCTCAGGTTTGGATAATTGGCTGGAGACGTGCTGGTTTACATATGTGGTAGGAAACGAGGTGACCGACCACAGGTTTCACAACATACACTATCGAATTTAAATGCATTATTCTATCCTGGGATCTCAATCTCAGCTGCGGATTCTAGCTAGCCCTATGTCAAGCTTACTAGAGCAATGAAGCGGTGGCGCATTATTGGCATGGAGGAAGAGCAACTCTTTACACAGCGCACTTGCGAAGTAGTTAACCTGTGGTATCAGTGACAGTAAAAAATAGTCGAGATCTACGTGGGTGACTATATGATGTCGTCTAGTGGACGTGTATACCCTACATATTCAGGACGTGAAGAAACCCCGGGATAGGATCGGAAACCCCCAAGCAAGGGCGTCTGGACTTCATCCGTGGATCAACCATAGATACTCCGCGGACATCGGCCAGATAAAATCTCCTTCATGAATTAGTCTCGGTTCGTGTGGATCCGCCCAATACATAAATATCTTACGCTAGAAGATCCTCCTCGATTTTCGCATCATTGATCTCTCAATTCAACCCCCAGCGTTGGGGAATCATCATGGACAGCGACGAGGAACAACGCGCAGAGAAGGGGGAAAAGCGGGCAAATCTCGAGCTTGTTCCCTCCAGGCACTCGATTGCGGATACATTCTCTCGGCCGCGTGAAGTCGCCTTCGTCATCACGGTATGCATGTCGCAGTTCATCACGCAGGCCAACATCGGAGCCTGCTTGTCTTCGCTGGACATTGTCGGCGATAGCTTCGGGCTCCATGAACCAGGCCAGCTGTCGTGGTTTTTGGCAGGGTACTCTCTCACCGTAGGAACATTCATCCTCGTCTTCGGCCGCTGCGGAGACACGTTTGGATACCACCGAATGTACCTCATCGGGTTCGTGTGGCTGGCCGGGTGGTCGCTCGTTGCCGGCCTCAGCGTGTACTCCAACTACATGTTGTTCATCGTCGCGCGGGTCCTGCAGGGTCTCGGACCGGCGATGCTCCTCCCCAACGGCCTCGCCCTCCTGGGAGCAACCTACGCCCCCGGGAAAAAGAAAGACATGATCTTCGCCTTGTTTGGTGCAACGGCACCCAACGGCTCCATCATCGGCGCGGTCTTTGCGGCGCTCTTCTCCCAGCTGGCCTGGTGGCCCTGGACATACTGGACCATGACGATCGTCTGCCTCGTCTGCGCGGTGCTGGGCCACTTTGTCATCGCGCCAGTCCGCCACCCGCAATCCACCGACCCCCTCTTCCAGACACTCGACATCCCCGGCGCATTCACCGGCATCACGGGGCTCATCCTCGTCAACATCGCCTGGAACCAGGCGCCCACGGTCTCCTGGGCCGAGCCCTACGTGATTGTGCTCCTCATCCTCGGCACGCTGTTCATCGCTCTGTTCTTCGTCATCGAATTCCGCTACGCCAAGCACCCCCTGATCCCCTTCCATGCATTCTCCGTCGACGTCTCCTTCGTGCTCGCCTGCGTCGCAACCGGCTGGGCCAGCTTCGGCATCTGGATCTTCTACGCCTGGCGCTTCCTCCTCGACACCCGCTCCCTGACGCCGCTGCTTGCCGCCGCGCAGTTCCTCCCGCCGGGGGTGACGGGGCTCATGGCCGCCTTTGTCACGGGGTACTACCTGATGAGCCGCATCCGGCCGGCGTGGATCATGCTGATGGCCCTGACGGCGTTCACGCTGGGGAACATCTTCGTTGCCATCGCGCCCGTGCACCAAACCTACTGGGGGTTGATCTTTGTTTCGTTCCTGGTCACGCCCTGGGGCATGGACATGTCGTTCCCCGCGGCGACGCTGATGCTGTCCAACGCCGTGAAGAGGGAACACCAGGGGCTGGCGGCGTCGCTGGTGACCACCGTGGTGAACTATAGCATCTCGCTGAGCCTGGGGTTTGCAGGCACGATCGAAAGCCAGATCACCTCGGGGGAGGACACGCCGGCGGAACGACTGCGGGGGTACAGGGCCGCGATGTATTTTTCGGTTGGGTTGGGCGGGTTGGGGATGTGTTTGAGCGGGTTGTATATCCTCCGCAGTTATCGGTCGTCTGGTCTTAGTAGCAGTAAGTAGGTAACTAACTCTTGAAATATGCATGATGCGCACAGGGAGGATTTATCCCTGCTTTGGGCAAAGCTGTAGACCAGCAGGGCGAGGACTGCAGTTATAGGAAGAAAGGATGTCCGTTGGTGATTCGATCAGGTCGGTTCATAAACGAAGCCACTGCATCGCCCGTCGTTAAAATAGGCGATTGCATTCGCACTACTTTGATATCAAATCATTAGATCATGAGCATCTTGGAGCTGGTACTTCTCGACAAAGGGTCGAAACGGGAGCAACAGTCTTCAGGTATCAGGCCCGGGAGGAGGAGGAGGAGGAGGAGGCTTGTGATTAAGGGCTGCAGTAACAAACCACTATATATATAGTAGTAGGTAGTTAGTTGACTTCCACATCGTCTTGAAGTACCATCTCCAACTTCCCAAAAATATCCTGTATCTGAAACCTCTCCTTCTCCCAGAAACAAGCCCCCCCATGTAATCCCAAATCCTCCCCTCGCGTCGCAGACCCCAGAAGCTGCTTCGACGGAAACGTCAACGCCACCATCTCCTCCAACGGCTTCATCCGCACCCCCTGCAGAACCTCCCGCAGCTGCGCCGCTGCCTTCCCTCCGCCGTGACCGCCATAGCTCACAATCATCGCTGGCTTGCCCACCCACTCATGGTAGAGATAGTCGATTGCATTTTTCAGACTAGCCGGGTACCCCCAGTTATACTGGGGCGTGACGAAGATAAACGCCGCGAAGGAGGCGATCTCGCGCGACCAGGTTCTGGTGTGGTCGTGGACGTAGTCGTCGGCCGGAGAGCGGATCTGCGATGGAATCCCGGGCTCGTTGTACAGCGGGAGATTCCATTCTGCGAGATCAATCAGGTGGATGTTTGCCCGGGGAGATGTCTGGTGGATGGTGGATTGCACGAAGTGGCTGATTTGGAGGCCAGCGCGGGGAGTGCGTTGGCTGCAGACAACGAGGCCGATTTTGGCGTGCTCCATGACAGCTAAGGCTGTTTGTTGCTTCTGTTTTTCATGTATATATATATGCAGGGGTATCTTCATGGTGGTTCGGGGGGGGGGGGGGGGGGGTTTATAGATTGTCCGCAACCAGGGTCCAGGCTTCGGATATGTCGAATTCGGGGAAATCCCGAGAAGAATCCCGAGCCCTGAAGCCGAAGCCGAAGCCGAAGCACTTTTTGTGCATAATTTCCAGTTCAGGAATGCAGGTGGTTTTCCAGTTGAGATCTTTATAGACTACGAAGTTTCGCCTTCTTAAATGGGACACAGCCTACCGCATACGTTGTGCCTTGACAATATCAAAAACATTGCGTAATTTGCACTCTGCAGTATATGTTGAATGGTCCTCACATTAAAGCTGTATTTGAATCGAAGACAAAGACGAAGACAAAGACGAAAACGGACAAACAAAAGAAAAGAAAAGAAACGACTTGCTAACGCTCAAGAACCGTTGAATTGCTCTGGATCCAGTCATATCGAGTCCGAATCGTCGTGGGCCTCTAAACAGGCATCCGCCATTTTGTCGATCGCATCAGCGCGCTGCTCGACCGTGATCCATCCACGATGCACCAGCCGGTTGAGCGCATCGCCGACCCAATTCTGACAGTTCCAATCGAGGTCCAGGCGGCCGTTGCGGATCGGGGTCCGCGAGACCGTCTCCCGAATCGAGTCCTCGCCGATGGAAGTCGGGATGTCAGTCACCGGCACGACTTGGACTAAATTCCCCAGCGTGGACGGATCGCAGTTCACGTTGTTTGAGAATTGAAAAAGCCCCTGGCATCCAATGATGTGCATGATGCTGCGGGACTGCGACGCGAACTGGAAGTACAGTGCGGTGTGGCGGTATTCGATATAGTCGAGCGGTTCGCCTTTGTAGATAAGGATGAAGAGCTTCTGGGTCATTTTGCATTCATTTTATCGGGGCTGCAGCCGGCGAGTTGCCTGCGCGCTTTGCGGAGGCGGTTTTGGTTAAAGGGGGGGGGGGGGGAGTGAGGATGCGTGCGTCACTGATGATTTGTAACTATTTGTGGTGGCTCGCCTAGTTAGTTAGTGTCTCACTCGGGTTCTCCTTTGACCAGGTGGTCTATAATGGGAGTATTAAAGTTAGATTTCAGAAGATTTAATTATATGTGTTCGGCTAGAAAATAGAAGAAAAATAAACTATGATCGTATCTGCGAAATCTGGGGTATATTTCCCCCGCATCTGGTCACGGACCTCGCCTGGATCGTCGGCTAATCAGTACATGTTGGAAATGCATACCATGAGTCATTCGAATGCCGACAGTCCAGCCGACCGCAACAAGATCAAGTTGAATCCTCGTTATAAATTCCCCTCATCTTCTGGCCATAATTCAATCAGATTGCGATCAACACGAGCTGCAAGTTCAATATGACTACTACTACTACTACTACTACTACTACTACTACTACTACTACTACTACTACTACTACCGCCCCCTTCTTGTCTGCGTTTCCTGATGGTCTCAAGACCTCAGGACAGCATGCACCAGACTACTCTCTTGTCCGTGTCTACAAGGATTTTCCGAAACAGATGACCGGCCCTACAGTTTGGGATGCTGCGGATTACCGCGACCATCCTGAACGTTGGACTCACTCGTTTACCTCCGATGAAGTTGCTGAGATCGGTGCTTCGGCAGATCGCTTCATCGAGGACGGAACGCCCTTGACCGGTATCACAAAGGAGAAATTTCCCCTTCCCAAGCTCTCAGAAAGAATGAACGCTTTACGCAAGGATTTGCTGGAAGGCAAGGGCTTCTTCCGGTTCAGAAACCTCCCCGTCACGGAATGGGGTCTGCACAAATCTGCAGTCGCCTACATGGGTCTAGGCACATACCTAGGATACTTCCTCAGTCAGAACGGAAGGGGACACGTCCTTGGGCACGTCAAAGACCTAGGTGAAGACCCTACCCAAACCCACAGAGTTCGTATCTACCGAACAAACGCCAGGTGAGTACCAGCAGCTCTCTTTCGGGAAATTGCAAACTAACGACTAGCAGACAATACTTTCACACAGACGCCGGTGATATTGTCGGCCTACTGTGTATCGCCAAGTCGCTTTCGGGCGGAGAGTCCGACATCGTCTCAACTCACCATATTTACAACATCCTTCAGAGAGACCACCCTGATGTGGTAAAAACCTTGGTTGAACCGAACTGGTACTTCGACCGCAAGGGCGAGGTGTCCGCCGGACAAGAGCAGTGGATCCGAGGCGCCGTGATGTATCTTGAAAATGAAGCAGAGCGTCCACCACGGGTGTCTGCAAAATTCGACCCCAATAACGTCACATCGCTTTCGCGATTCAACTCCGGTCCAGATGCACGCATCCCACCCCTCTCGGAGAAACAGAAATATGCCATGGAGGTATTAGAGCGTACATGCAAGGAAAACTCTCTTCACATGACCCTAGCTCCTGGGGATATCCAGTTCCTGAGTAATCCACATGTCTTCCACGCGCGAACTGCTTATACAGATTACCCCCGCGGGGCGATGGACGAGAATGGAAAGCCACGCCCACAGAGGCATCTCATGCGATTATGGCTTGCTGTTCCTCAGGGTGAAGGTGGCTGGAAGCTTCCATTTCCTGATGCCGCTAATAAGAAGAGAGGTGGTATCCAAGTAGATGACCGGCCCCCAACTTGCCCACTCGATGCAGAGTAATTACTGCGCAACCCATGTTATATTATTCTATGAAATGAACGGAAAATTTTGTCCCCAACTAACTTGCTCTGGATCAGTATCCTGTAACTGTGTTCCACCTACCCACGGGTGTAGCCCCGTACGTTCCATTCCGGACCCTAGGGCGGTCTCGGCTGGTTGCCAAGCCCAACCCAGATCCGACGTAAAAAACATTAGTTCGTCAGCTCCTGGATTCAGCGTAGGTGGAGACACATCGCTGGGCTGGTGAACGCCGCTAGTTGCGGACGAGGCAATGCGTTCTGGGGCGTGCCTTTCGGGTATCGTCTTTCGAGCCATGCGGTAAATCGAGAGCGGGTTGAGGACGTAGTCTGGGGCACTTTGAGCCGGAATACCCGGGGGACTTTGCCTATTAGCATCCTCCGGGTCTGGAAGATAAGGGTCGTCTGGAATTATGTTTCTGCTAGGACCAACGATTTCGGCTTCGGCACCTAATCGCCGCAACATCGTTTCTGCAGCATTACACTGAGACCGTTAGTGGTAATACACCCCCGCTGTAGGAGAGGTACGAACAAGAGGCTCGGAGACTGCGTTCAAGGCTTGCATGGCTTTTAGTGCCCTAATGTTACTTTGCAAGTAAGGAATTGTCTGCAAAACTAAATCTTTGCTGTCTTGTTCCCGAGGATCGATGAGCTGTGTGAGATAATAGAGCATGATACGAGAGCTGTCATATGTGATGCTTGGAAGCCAGGTATCCGATAAAATATATGAGCCATGTCGCTCTGCTTCTCCTAATATTGCGGCCAAAGCCTTGGCTGCTTCATAGAGATCCCATTGTAGCTTTCGAAGGAATTCGCTCTGTTCCGGGGGAAATTCAATAGCTGAGCGAAGTTTGAACAATGCCGGGGCTCCTAGGCGATAAAGATCACAGAGGGTCTGATGGTGAGCGCAATGAAGGAGCACCAAGGCCCCTAATTGGGAAGAAGCTTTGCGTGCGTAGATGGTCGATGCTGTGAACTGCAAGTTTATCGGGAGTGAGTCATACCAGTCGTTGCATGCTTTATCGAGTATAGCAAACTCGGAATCTGCTAGCCATGGAGATCTAGCGGTATCAAGGTGCTTAATATAGCGCAGCACTTGTTTTCTGACGCGTATGTGTTGGATAAAATACGCCATGAGACCCATATTCTCATCGGGGTTTGGAGGGATGGCCTCTGACGGAAGAAACCCCAAAACCGTACCATTCAAGGTTCTTGTAATACAGGATGTTCCTTCAAGAAACTTACGCTCATTGCAAGGAAGCTGGATCTTCACATCGCTCTCGTCAACCAGCATAAGCTGATCAACTCCACTCCCAAGAAGCGCATCTGTCACAAAGCAACTCCACATGAGCCGACGACGCCCTTCCCTTGCAGTTACAGAAAGGTTATGGCCCGGTTCTTGGCAAAGCACGTCAGTGGAATATTCGAGATTGATTTGCAAAGCTTGAGCCATGCGCGCGGTAAGTCCTCCAAGCATAAATGCCTGCGCAAAATTCCCAACACGTAATGCATAGTCGTAGATTAGCTGTGCTGACATAAGGTTCTCAATCGAGATTTTATCCAGGCTCTCAAGAAGCATCTTGTATGCTGTGTCCGCCCAGTGAGAACCGGCCCGCAAGATAAATTTTCGAGAAAGAGCTTGAGTCATGGTACTGTACTCCAGGGTATAGAATCTAGAATCACGTCAGCAAACCCAAGAAAATGGGGGAGGGCTATTTTACTGGGCACCCAATGCACAGACTATGTGCAAGAGCGTGGTTGGTCTTGAGTTTTGGCTTAATTCCTCATCTACCCTGCGTAAAAATGATGGTCTGTGAATAAACGCAAAGCAACGAATCGGATGGATATGAGTGAAATACTGGTCAACCAGCGCGTTCACCTTGATCTTATCGGGAAGATGGGAAGATGTTATCCTAACCAAACTACCTATCAGTTTCAGGTTCTGTAAGCAAAGGCAATACGATATTTACCAAGATAAATGGGTATGTTCTAGTTCTGGCTCATGTTGTGGTGTGGAACTCGGTTCATCAGGGGTAGGCGTATCAGCTCGCGCTACAGCCGATGCCAGTCGCTGGGTCCATTCAGGTTCGGTATTTTCCCCATACCGACATTGCAGGTGCTTCTCTTGACATCGTGAGCAAGAGGGCCGTTCACCGGAGCATTTGGCTCTAGCTAGGCGACATTCTGGACAGGACTTATAAGTTCGCCTCGCCCGAGTACGGGGATCCGAATGTCGACTAGTAGGGTGTCCATTGTACCCTAAACACGGAAGCTGGAGCCTTTCACAATTCGCACATCCATCTGGGCGCTCATCACATTTGACCTATCACCCAAAATTGGTTAGATATCAACGCGCTCCGCGTGTGTTGGGAGTCGAGGTTACCTTGCGTGCACGACAGGTATTGCATCCTTAGTACGCTGGTCAGAATAATAGCCCATCTCATGTCTCACAGCACTCACCCGACCTCGACCTCCTGTTTCGAAGCTCTGCCCTCTGTGGTGGCTGGTTAGTCTCCATCCCCGAAAGTTATGAAGGTTGTAGGAAAGTTATTTGCGGATCGTCGGCTGCGGGGTCGCTTCACGTGCATGTTTCGCATACCACAGCTTTTGCTCGTTCCAACATCTAACATCTACGAATCGTGTCTTTATTTCTATCTATAATATTTGACGAGATATACGGTCTATCCTTGCAGCCTGCATAGGCGCACAAAAACACAGAGCCTCTACCCAAATAGCCAAGAGTGATGGCGCACCCGTCTCGATCCAAAGGTCAGCATGGTCAGATCACCACCAGGGAAGCTGGAAACGGGGTTTGCAGTGTGAGTGGCATGAACCATTACCGGGGCTTTGCTAACGGCCATATGATTTATGATGTCACATAGCTCTGGCCACTGGATATCGTTCTGGATCTTAATTACGCGACGTAGACTTTTCGATGGCGATTTTGATTTCCACTATCTTGCATGATCGATTGAGTAATCTGTCAAGCTCGCGTTGGTCCTGCATGAGGAAGCCAGGTTCAATTGGCAACGGTTAATCCCGCAGCGACCCCCGTACGCTTCAGTGGATGGGCGATTGGCCTCGAAAATTACCTCATGTCAGGAAATGAACACCCAACGGCGCGGATCCTGCACAACTAGAGATAAGGGTTTTTGTATTCTAGGCCTCGTTTTGAGCTGGTGAATGGTTCCTTTGCAAAATTTAAGATGTAGCGTTGCGACCTAGAGGCGGTTCGACAGGGCGAATCTTACCAGGATTGTCTTGGTGAGCGGGATTAGATCTAATAAGGTTCCTTCGTGGCCATTACCGATTAACGCGGAAGTAGGCTGATCAAGGAACTCTACGCCCTTGCAAGATATTTTCTGATAAAATGCTGATGTGTCCCAAGGCCCTGGGGTAAGCGTTTTGTACTCTCCCAGGTTTCTGCTATACTCGCGCCATCTTGCCTGGGATGAACTCGATTGCGGCGGAGCAAGTGCCAGCCATATATGAGCGCAACCCCCGGTCATCAAGCGATGACTTGAATACTCAATCTCGGCTCTCGTCTTCCCAGCATGATGTCGACGAAGATGATGACCCAGGTTTACGCAAACCTGGCGACTTCAGGAAGAAGCAGGTATGATATGATGATGTAAACCTGGAGAAATGCCCGATGATGGCTGACGTATATAGGTTTTCAAAGGGAAAATGCTTCTTTGGCTTGCCTACCAATCTATTGGAGTTATCTATGGTGACATAGGAACTAGTCCGCTTTATGTGTACTCCTCTACCTTTACTGAACCTCCCTCACGTGAAGACCTCGTCGGGGTGCTCTCGATCATCATCTGGACTTTATTTATGATGGTCACGGTTAAATACATCATCATCATCCTGCACGCAGATAACGAAGGGGAGGGGGGCACATTTAGCACCTATTCTCTGCTCAGTCGCTACGTAAGCGGGGTTTCATGCTTCCTTCAAGGCCTACGCTGACTATCTTTGCCTAGATGAATATCACCAATCGCGATCCTAGAGAAGCATCTTTTATCCTGATGAAGAGATATCCTACTCTCGATCTCGAACGGGCCAGCAAATATGCGCGCCACCGACTAGAGTCAAGCAAGTTTGCAAAGTTTTTGCTGAAGGTGATGGGAATCTTGGCAGTGACTATGGTCATCTCAGATGGAGTCCTCACCCCAGCCCAATCGGTGCTGGGTGCTGTGCAAGGTATCGAGGTGGTCTCTCCACACATATCGAAAGGCACGGTGATTGGGGTAACGGACGCCATACTAGTGGTGCTATTCCTGATCCAGCCCTTGGGGATTACAAAGATCACCTTGGCTTTCTCACCAATTGTTATAGTATGGCTGGGATTCAATGCTGTCTTTGGGATCTACAATCTTGCCAAATACGATGCTGGAGTATTCATTGCTTTCAACCCCGGGTTGGCTTTCGAGTTTCTTTCTCGCCACGGTACACAAGGTTGGAAGACACTTAGCGGCACATTGCTAGCTTTTACTGGTGTTGAAGCTCTCTTTGCGGATCTTGGAGCTTTCAGCAGGAGAGCCATTCAGATCAGCTGGCTTTGCTACACGTTCCCCTGCCTGCTGCTAGCGTATATCGGACAGGCAGCCTATATCAGTGTTCATCCAGAGGCGTACTCAAATCCTTTTTTTAATGCGGCGCCACCAGGCACCATATATCCTTCTTTAGTTATTGCAATTTTGGCGGCCATTGTCGCCTCGCAGGCTATCATAACCGCAACTTTCCAGGTAAGTTTCTTTGAATATAGGTTGAAACATCTCTTTAACTGCTTCCAGCTCCTGAACCAAGTTATGAAGCTTTCGTATTTCCCCCAAATGAAAGTCGTTCACACGTCCAAAATATTCCATAACCAGCTGTATATCCCTCTTGTGAACTGGCTTCTCATGATCGCGACGATCCTTGTGGCTTCAATCTACAATAATGTGCGGCTTCTCCATCAACCGCGAAAACCATTACTAACTTGCAAAGACTACATCCCTCGGAAATGCATACGGTGTCTGCGTCATGTTTGTGACATTCTTCGATACGTGCATGGTCAGCCTCGCAGCGATCTTCGTCTGGCGCATCAACCCCCTCTTCGTCGTGCTGCCTTTCCTCATAATTGGTTCTTTGGACGGTGCATATCTATCCTCGGCGTTGACGAAAGTCCCCCACGGCGCATGGTTTACCCTTGCTCTTGCGACGTTACTAGCCTTGATCTTCCTCCTCTGGCGCTATGGGAAGGAGCAGCAATGGTTCGCAGAAGCAGAGGATCGCTTCCCGACATCACATATCGTCGTCAAGGGCGCAGAAGGGCAGCTCCATCTGACAGATCGCTTCGGAGGAACTACACTAAGCACCACCAAGGGATTAAGCGTCTTCTTTGATAAAGCTGGGGAGACCACGCCCACGGTTTTTAGCCAGTTCGTCCTTAAGCTCACCTCCATCCCCGAGGCGATTGTTTTCTTCCACCTGCGACCACTCGAAAGGCCCTGTGTGCCGTCTGAAGAAAGGTACACGGTCTCTCGACTGGCCATCCCGGATAGTTACCGTCTGGTAGTACGCTACGGCTACAACGACGAGATCATCCCTTCGGATATGGCGGAGGTGATCACGGCACAGATCCGCGAGTATATAGTGCAGCGGGGCGACGACAGAAGAGGTACGATGGAAGGTATCCCTGAAGTTGTCGCAGAAGGCAGTCAGTCTAGCCAACTCAGCCGGAGTAGTCGGTCCCAGAATCGTCTGGAAAGGCTCGACAACGCGTACTCGCGCCGGGTGATATATATCATGGGCAAGGAGGAGATGAAGATCAAACAGGGCACAAACATATTCCGCCGTCTGATTCTCGGCATTTTCCTCTGGCTAAGGGAAAATACGAGGGCGAAGATGGCTTCTCTGGGACTTCCGATTGATAGGATTGTCGAGGTTGGATTTTTGAAGGAGATTTAAGTCTATTCTATAATACTTATCCACACATCGGAATTATTCATAAATAATCAGTATCTTAATAATAATAAAATAAAATAAAATAAACAAGGAAACGAGAAATCCTCAATTCCAAAGTAGGAAATTCTAACGAGCGAGAACTTTACGATTAATATAATCATAGACCAAACTCAAAGAAACTTCACCATCGCCACTTGGGAAACCTTGAAAATCTCTGGCACAAGATTCCTTATGAGCTCACGATCGATCGGACAGGTTTCAGGATACATATGTATATCAATTCTACCCTGTTGAATGAGATGTTGGCCTGGCCCGTAGTTCCTCCAATAAATGCGGCAATCCATTGATCTACCTAGGGAACTAAGACGACGATACTTCTTCGCCGTATAAAACCACTAGGGTCAATTGTTCAATTATGGATGACGATCTAATCATCTCTCGTATCCTCTCCCAGATGCAGTCACTAACTTTCTACCTGTACTCCGTAGAGAACCACTCAGCGGGTCTCAAGGGTAAGCGAGTGCCCACTGACCTAGGGCTTCGATCTTACTGCGAAGGTTACGGTAACTCGCGGAAAGCAGTCAATTGGGGCCTTTTGACTTCAAAGAAAGTATGAGTAGGCGATACATAGTTGGTTATTTAACAGTGGAGCCGGATTCTGTATACGTACGCATCAACCAGCGGCGACGGCAATGGATAGTAGTAGGGTTTATGCGTGGCTACTCTGTCAACCGCGTGGCCAAATTTCATTTTTTTTTATTATTATTATTATTATTTTATTTACTTTATTTATTTTGTTTTTCTTTCACTTACCAGCTCCTTTCCCAATTGCGTGAAGTGTGTGGTGGCTGCGGTTCAGGTACAGATGGGAAAACTCGGACGCTCAAGAACGCCTCACCACTGGCCTTGACCAGAGCAATCAACCATCCACGGTTCTGACTTCGGAAAGCAAAAGGATTTGACAATTCTTGGAGAATTCAGTTGTGGAAAGCAGTCACATTGGCTGCGTCTGGGATTAGTCAGGGGGCTTTTTGTTTTTTTTTTTTTTTCAGAGAACCACATGGCGAAGTCTGGTTTTTGCCCCTGGTCTAGACTTTGCGATCCACGGCTCGGAATCTAGAGTTTTTGTTCTCGGAGTTTTCTTCACATGGTGGACTTGTATGGGATACATTATATTATCCATGAGTGTTGTTAAGAGTCAAAGCACCGTTGAGAGAGAGACTCGGGGTGTCTTGTTAGGGCTTCAGGGTTAGGGCAACAAGACATGTGCAATACGACGTCCGGTTCAGAAGATAGCTCACCACTCTGGATTAACGGATGGTTTCTATGGAATAAAGAATGTATCAGGAAATAATGCGGCGGTGGGTCTATGATATCCATTCCCATTGATTCGTGTAGCAACTTGATACTCCAAACCAATGGTATACTACTTTCTTCGATCCTGCTAATGCCGGTTCTCGATTCAGGTACAGACAGTCCATTGGTGCCAATGTGACGATCCAGAAGTCCACATCAATGGGTCCAATCGTGTTACTCTTTGCTGGCTTTCCAGCTTCTGATTCACTACGGTTCCTACCATTCAATCCATTGATCACAATGCCCACAGAGCTACCATCTCTTCCGCATGTTCGTCCCAGGAGGCCACTCTCGGCCCAAGGGTCATTCATCGCACCTCCATGGATTCAAGACTCGAGTGAAGAATCGGATGACAGCGGCGCAGGATGAAAGTTCGTTCCAAAGGGCTATATATTGGGTAAGAAACCCTCGGGTTGATTCTAGACTTCCAGCATCCCTTTTTCTCTTTCCTGTCCAAACTCAACTCTCTTTTTAGTTGTCGTTGATAGTGCCAACTATACCACATTCTTTTAACCAAGTCTGCTGTCCTGTTACCCAGTGTAACAGATCAAACTTATCCCATTCCTATCGCTTGACGCGACGTTCCATTCCTTTCCTTTTCACATCCCCCCTTCACACACACACACACACACACACACACACACACACACAAAATGCAATTCACCATCTCTCTCCTGCTGCTGGCAGCTCTCACCACCAGCTGCCTCGCTCGGGTGCAGGGCCACGCGAGACGCCAGACGTCCTCATACTCCACCGCTGGCTTTGGTGGCTCTACCTCCGGCTCCGGCTCCGGCAACACCTACGAGGGCAACGTCGGAAACCCCTGGGGCAGCAACATCATCGAAGTCTCCGCCTCCGAGGCGTCGAGCTACCAGTACGTGGCCCAGATCACGGGCCAGAACTCCGAGGACTGGACCATCGTCTTCTTCAACAAGTACGGCCCCGATAACCAGATGGACGGCTGGTACGGCCACTCGGCCCTCACCCTCACCCTGAGCCCCGGCCAGACCCGATACGTTGCCTTTGACGGCAACAGCAACGGCGGCTTCGCTGCGGCGCCGGGCTCGTCGATCCCTACCGACGCCAATGGCGGATACTCCAGCACCTGGGGGGAATTCGACTTCGGCAGCACCGTCAACAACGGCTGGTCGGGCTTCGATGTGTCCGCGATCATGGCCCAGAACGCCGGCCTGACCGTGCAGGGCATGCAGATCTGCGAGTCGGTCAGCGCGGTCTGCTCGAGCATTACTCCCAACGCGGCCTCTGTGAACAACGCCTATACGAGCGCCGAAACGGCTGTGGGGGGGATCGGGGGGAATATCTCTGAGAACCGCGCCATCACGCTCAACGTCGTTATCGACTACCAGGGTTAAATATCTTTTCTCTAGGGAGGAGTCCTTTATTAAAAAAGCTTAAATACTGGTCTTTTTACACATTTCTGTATATGTATCGAATCCTTCGTAAGCCTGCTGCTACCTAAGCTACCTAAGTAAGGATTAACTATCTCAGAAGGCCTCACTATTAGACAATATACTTCTAAATACTCTAAATACTAGTCCTGTTGCCCAATGGAATCAAGCATTTCCTCGCCCGAAAGTTTTCGGACCTGAATCCAGCCTCAGCAACCATTTCCGATCAGGCGCTATACCTAAAACCTGAGAACAGTCTCCGATTGTTTTCGGGGGAGTATACAGATAGTTGATTGATGGCGTCGGGCTGGGAACGGGAATTGACAACAGCTATAAATCACGGCTCGCCTTGGGATGACTTGTCTCTCTCTCTCTCTACAAATCTCAATCTCAAATCTCACAACAACTCAGGGAAAAAAAAAATGGCACTCGTCTGGCTCATTACCGGAACTTCCTCCGGCTTCGGAACCGAGTTCGTCAAAGAGGCTCTAGCCCGCGGCGACAAGGTAATAGCAACCGCTCGCAACGTTGCCAGAATCTCCCACCTCGCAGAGCTCGGGGCCAGTACCCTGGCGCTGGACATCACGGCTCCGCAGCGAGACCTGGACGCCAAAGCAGCGGAAGCGATTGCAATCCACGGCCGGGTGGACGTGCTGGTGAACAACGCGGGCTACGGACACTTTGGCACGCTGGAGGACATGCGGTGAGCAGAGCTTTTTTTTTTTTTTTTTTTTTTTGAACAGGACTGATGGATGGTCCTTAAGAGACGACGAGTATGCGACCCAGTTCGCGACGAACCTGTTCGGCACCCTCAACACCACCCGGGCGTTCTTGCCTCATTTCCGAGCCCGCGCGTCGGCCACGATCGTGACCATGGGCTCCATGGCTTCGTGGCAGACCTGGCCGACGATCGGAGCGTACTCTGCTTCCAAAGCCGCGCTGCGCCGTAAGTAGTCCCCCACCCTACCCTACCCTACCCTAGAAACTTATTCCCGCTTCACGCAATCCCGGGCTTACCGGCTCTATGTCTAGTTGCGACAGACGCCCTGCGCCTGGAAGTGTCGTCGCTGGGCATCCGAACCCTGCTGGTGGAACCGGGCCAATTCCGCACGGAGATCCTCACCGCGCGGAACTCCGTGTTCATGCAGACCGGCGTGCCCGCGTACGAGGCGATCACGCGCGGGGTGTTCGATACGTTTCAAAACGCGGCCGGGAAGGAGAGGGGCGATGCCCGCAAGGGAGCGGCGCGGATCGTTGATATTGTTCGAGGGGAGAACGGGGCCGCTGGGCGCGAGTGGCCGAGGACGGCGGCGGTGCCCCTGGGACAGGATGCAGTGGACCGTATCCGCACAAGCTGCGAGGAGACATTGAGGATGCTGAGCGAGTGGGAGGATGTTGTTACGGGGACGGATCTGGACTCTTGGACCCCGTGATCGATATCTGTCTGTCGTTCAATAGTTAGTTATTATGGAATGGACTCTGTAAGCTCTTAGGCATGGATTGGTTCATCATGCAGACCCGCCCAAGTCCAGTCCATAATCGCAAATCAGAATCAGAATGCCTACCCAGCAGAAATTCACGGACAAAACAGTTGATACAATCATTATTCATTAAAGAAATGGAGATTATACTACAATTTAATGCCGCAGGCTAACCTTCGTTCCGTTCCACGAGCACAGTGTTAATGTGAGGTTCTCCTCCCACGGACCGGGGTCCCGACTCTCCAAAACAGAAAACTGCTGGACAAGACGCGTCGTCACGTAACCGGCCTCCGTGAGTGCATATTGCTGGCCCACACAGATGCGCGGTCCGCCGTTGAATGGGAGATACTCCCATCCCGGACGCAAATCTTCCCATCGCTCCGGTCGGTATTCCTCCACATCGGGGCCAAAGTAGTCGTGGCGACGGTGCATGGCCCACGGGCTATATGCGGCGATCGTGCCCTTAGGGACGAATACGGGAGAGCGCCCATCCGGACCGCCGCCAACGGGGAGAATAGTGTCCCTAATGGCGGTGCGGGAATTCAGAGGGACAACCGGGTGCATGCGGAGTGCTAAATGGGTTAGTTTAGTTTTTTTTTTTTTTTTTTTTTTTTTTTATCAAGAATTAAAGGAAAGAGAGAAGCAAAGAAAACTGAACTCAGACGTACATTCGTTCATGCAGTACTTAAGATAGGTCAGATTGCGGAGTTGCTCGTATGTCGGCGCACGGCCTTCCAAGGTGGCGATTTCCTCGCGCAGTTTGGCCCAGATTCTCGGGTTCTTGGCCAGCATGAAAAACATGTTACTCAGGAGCGAGGCCGTTGTGTCCCGGCCGGCAAGGAGCACGTTCATCAACTCGTCACGGATTCGCTTGCGGTCACCCGTTTGCTGCGCCAACCTATTCAGGAACAGATACTTCTTGCCAGCCTTGGATTCGTCGTCCAGCACTTGCTCCTCGTCGTACTTTTCGCGTACTTTCAGGGCCTTGTCCACGAACTGCTCGACCATCTCGTGGCAGATGCGGTTCGATTCCACATATTTGCGGTCACGGTTGAATATCCTCAGGAGACCAAGACGAGAATTGGTGACGATAGCGTCCTGTGCGTAGTTGAAAGCCGCGGCGAAGTCGGGCTCATGGTGCACAACCGCTGCGGAGAGTCGCTTCTTCAAAGTTTTCACGCTGTGTCCGAAAAGAAATTCCGTGGCCGAGTCGATGGTGAAGCAAAAGAACAGGTCCTGAAGATCAACCGTGGTGCCATCCGTTGGGATCAGCGCGAATAGGTCGGCCATAAGGTCCTCAAAGATTTCGAGATGAGCGACTTGCTCCTTAACAAAGTTGGGCCGGATCATCTGGCGCGATTGGGCCCAGTGCTCGCCATCGCTGGTAAAGATGCCGTGGCCCAGCAGAGGCCCGAAAACGTCAAGACGGTCTCCCATGCTGTAGTCCTTGAACTTGAGAGAGAGAATGGTCTTGACATTCTGCGGCTCGCAGGTAATGATGACAGGAGTTCTGAGTCGCTGGGCGACCAAGGTATTGCCATACTTCCGAAAGCGGCGTTCATTATTCTCGAGGATTTTGCGTTGTTTCGCTATCTTCAAGTTGAGATAGAGGCGATCGAGGGACAAGAAAGGGTCGTATGTCTTCAGATGCGGGGGTGGTTGGCAGCCGTTTGCCTTGGCCAAACGGTAGTGATTCCATTTCCGATAGAGGGATGAGAGGAGGTACCAGGTTATGACAACAACAACACCAGCCAACGCGACGACAGCGCTGCGAAAGGTATCCAGGAGAGCCATGTTGAAATAAAACCGTCGAGCCACGCAAGACCTATGTGGTGCTTACTGGCTATATATACTTGCGTCGCACGCTAAATTCCCAGACAAGATACTAGCGATGCTAAACCATGTGTGGATCAGTCAATCGGATTCGCCGGCGGCCGTATTGTCTATTGAATATTCCATAAGAAAACCTGCCTGTGGCTGGAGCTGGAGCTGAAGTGGAGATGAAGGAAAGGATGTACTCCGACGGCATAGTGATGGGTCTCGTGTTGATGAAACCGAACCAAGGTTAGTTTTTGGTTTCCCCCTACCATCCACCCCTTTCCCTCCTTCTCTTTTTCCTTTATGTTCATCCGAGAAGTGAAAACGATGGATGGTTGGATTCTCGGATGAACTCGAGGAGCCGTACAAATGACGCAGGTGACGGATTCGATCAGCTGGATGACATCAAGGGTACGGATACAAACAGCAACAACCGTGCATGAGGGGAGAGAATTCCTGACGCAACAGCGTCCTCCGATTTGTGAGTTGATGCTATACATTATTTTCCCCCCAGACCCGGCGCTGGCGATTGTGCATCACGTGAGACACCACCCTTAACCGCATCGGGTAATCCAAAGCCGCGGTCGGATCCACGCAGCCGGTGCGGCGGCCTCAGGCATTGGGCTGGATGGATTGTTGCTCCGATTCTCCGATCGATGCCGTACCTCACCATCACCTTGAGTGATCCATCGCTCTTTCAATTATTTGCAATCCTGAAGACAAGGTATATATGCTCTCTGGCTCGCACTGTGTGTGGCCGCAATTGCAGGGGAGCGGATCGAGGGGTCTATTTCTTCCAAGCAGGGAAGTTTCTAGGAAATTCGGGATCTTCCTCCCGACGCCTTCCTACCAGGTGGCAGGTTCATTACCGGGATCGATTCCTGACGAAATCGGAAATCCATCCCATCCTTGCTCCGAGCGCTGGTCGGCCACGCTAAGGATTGGTCTCCTTGTGACTTTCTCCCTCCTCCCAGCTCAAGAGAGCTACGCTGGTTGAGGTCATATGAGGGTGGCTGCGGCCTCAAAGATAGACCTTGAAACAAGGATCATGGCAACGAGAGGTTCGTGGAGGGCTGAAGGCGCTAGAGCCCAAAAGTACTCGCAGGGTTGAGGATTAACCGCGTAATACGGAGTACTCCGTAGTCCGCACGCACAGCACAGCTACCAAATTCACCACTGACCACTTGAAATATGGTTAATTGCGATCTCCAGATTCTATACTATGTACGGAGTACGGAGTAATCTATTATTAAAAACTTACGGCATCTTCTCTACTACTGTGGTTTGTTCTAATACTGCCTGTTCCTCGATTGGGACCCCAGCTGTCTCCAATTCAATCTGGCGCATCGGCCCTTGGAACCAGCGATGAGCCCAGAGAAACCACGTACCCAACGTGCCGACAAGGACGATTCCGACCGCCACAGGTGTATAGTTAAGCGTTTGGTCGGTGACGGGATTCGCAGTCGGAAGGCAAAACACCACCGTAATAAACAGAACCTATAACTTGTGAGTAAACCGCTGCGCCTCGAAGCGTCCAAGCAAGTCAACTCACCCACAGACAAGCAATCACGCCCACGGGCCACGAAAATCGTCCCAGATCAAACGGCCCCTTGGTTAGATTCGCGGGCCAAATCACCGCAATGAGAATCGGCATCGCATAACTGAGATATAATCCGATTGTCGCGATACTGGTCGCTGCCGAGAATGCGACCGAACTTCCTAGCGACGGCAGGGCCAGGCAAAACGCCAGAAATGCAGCCAGCCATACCGTGCGGATGGGGCTTTTGAAGCGCTCGTCGACGTGGTCAAAGAACCGGGGGAGAGCGCCATCGCGCGAAAAGGCAAACATCATGCGGCTGTTACTAGTCAGGCTGAAGAGTCCGCAATGCCAAACGCAGAGAATGATCAAGCTGATCAACGCCAGAGCGCCGGACTCGCCAAAGACATCGACGAAGATCTTAAAGACTGGTTGGCCGTAGTTCTGGTCGGGGTCAATGGTGGCCGCGAAATCTTGTATAGAGAAGAGGAGGCAGAGGAGTAGGAAGAACCCGAAAATCGCGGAGACACCGATAGACATCAGGACGCCAATGGGGGCGTTCCAGTCGGCGCGGTGAGTTTCCTCCGACAGATGTGCAGAAGCATCGAATCCTGTATATATTATTATTATATTTCAATCCACATGTGTGCGTGCATATCTCGCTTCGTGTGAAATGAGTGAGGGTAAGCTACCTGTGATAGTGTATTGACTGAGAAGGATTCCGCAAATAGCGACATACGCTGGAGAGGCTCGATCCGACCAGCCTGGGTCACCGGTGCCCTGAACCGAGGGGTTAGAAAGTCCTCAAAGCCGCCATGCCATACGTGCGAATCCCTTCCTTACATCATAAAAGTGCTGGAACACCTCCGCCGCGGAGCGATGTGTTGGTGCCTTTGCGACGACCGCAATTGCCAAACTACCCACTCCCAAACTGTGCAGCACAATCGACGTATTATTGAGATATCGCAATACATGGACCCCGAATGTATTGACCAACCCGTGACTGGCCAGAATTGCCGCGTAGATCCCGAGAGTCTTGCCTGCTGTGGGTTCGAAATCTGTCTTGATCGTCGCCGCTGTTGCGATGAGGCCTGCGCACCCGAAGCTGATTCCAGTTGTGACCGCAAACTACAAGAAAAAGAAACACCCCCCCCGGATGGTAAGCACTGCAAAAATGAAATACTGTCACTGTGAATGGGGAAAGTACCTGTCCGACAAAATTGAACCACCCTGTTAACCACGATAAAAAGGGACCATACTTGGCTGGAGCTAGCATGGCCGACCAAAAATAGGGACCACCTGAAGTCGGAATCGCCGAGACAATCTCAGCCATACTCAGGCCAACAGAAAAGGTCATTAACGATACAACAATCCAGCCATAAATCATGGTACTGGGTCCGCCTGTGGTGAGTCCATAACTATAGGGGAAAAGGGAGGAGGGGATTAAAATGAATTCGACATCACATGAATTATCAACAGTAGAGGGAAAGCAGACACGCATGCATACCTGAATAACGTCGTGATACCCGTGATGACACTCTTGTTGCATTTTGAAATATTAGAAAATCCCCAGACTCTCGATATGCACGTTTTACCGCGGGGCAATCAATCTCACAATAATCGAAAAAGACACGCCAAAATTGTGCATCAAAGTCCAGTCCCGTTTCAACTCTTGCTTGTATCCTAGCTGGGCCAGGCGGCTCTCATCCTGGATATCGACTGCGGTTTTTGCCTCCGACATGGTTGGGCGTTCGGATGCGAAACTGGAGACGAGATTTCTCCCACGGTCGCTCTGGGGAACAGGGATCAGAAAGAGAGCCCATGCAGCTCTTAAATACATGTCGGACACTGGGCCCGGGATCCAAAAGAGGTATGGGGATGCGAAAAGACCAAGACAACCATCCGAGAAAACACTCGTAAAGTGATAACTGAGCTGATCTTGCAGACCAAACATATCCTTGTATTTGTTATGTGGCGCACATCATAATCTGGGATCCTACAAGGCAATTACCTGAATGGGACCGCGTGAGGAAGAGACACTGGGCAATAAGGGTTAAAAGGGCTGATCTTGATAGCAGAGAGAGACTTATCTGATAACTGTGCTGTATACTATAGGTTGTTGGTGCAGGGGTCTTCCGCCGTCATTTTACACCACCTCAAAGGTAGGTATGTAGGTACATATACAGCCTGGAAGAAACTATAACTAAGAAATTATGCGCATGTACTACTCCAGACTTATATTCACCTGCAAGAGCTATGTAGTGCCTAAATAATCAAATCTACCTAATCTTTATCCTGAATAATTCCAGAATCTTATAGGTAACTCTTATCATAGCGCGGTTATTAAGTTCACCTAGAAAATGGATTGACCGCGGTTACATACATACATACCATCTAAGCCTACCCTACTTTTCCTTGTTGGTTAATTCATGACAGTAACAAGAGAATATAACTTCATCTGTTACCTATATAATAATATTCATGGTTGTCTTGATAGTAAATGCATAGATAGGGTGATGAACGTCGTTCGAGGCCCTATAGATTATGGCACCCAGGTGAGCGCGTCTCCCAGTGAGCCAAAGCTATTCAAGAAGCTATCCTGGTGTTTAGCTGTGGATTACCATGAACGGAGCAAAAACAATATTTCAGCAACTGGTAGCCTACGGTTGGGGTACACATCTTATTGACGGTGGTTGGGGCTGGCTGGTTCTTATACTATACATATATGGTTTTATATAATCAGATTTATTCATCCATAAAAATGAGGGTAGTCAATCCTATACTCATATTCCTGCTTCAGGCTCATCCTGGTATCAGTGCAACGTACTTCCATCCCGTACTTGGCAGGTTTGTCTGGGCCCTATTGCAGGGAGCAACCAAGGTCAGACGCCACATTTAACTAGAAGTAAAATTAAGATCCGATCGGCAGGCTGAGCCGTATACAAAGATGGGTGTCGTGTTTCAGCCTCATGACTCGTTCATTCCAAGGTCGACTTCCGGAGGGCTTCTATTTTTTTTATCTAGAAAATAACGGTCTGTACTGTCGATCACCGTTAGTGTCAAGATAACCTAGAGCAATCAGGTACCCAGTGGAACGGAGCCGGAGACGGGAAAAATGCAAACTGGCAAAAATCCCAAACAATTGGATAGGTACACTGAATCAGACCACTGCAAGAAAATCAGGCCAGGACAAAGGAGGCTGGGTGAGACGCGTCAAAAGTACCTGGTGCCGAGTAACGCCTTGCTGCAGTGCTACCTCAATAGTAGGCACTTTTCTCAGATCTGCCAACATAAGATGAGATGATTTCTTGTGCGTCGGGCTCGTGAGTCATGGGAATGTGTGATAGTTATAGCTAGCGGTACAGCCTTGAGGAACAGCCTAATGTTGTACAAATGGTAGTTTCACTGTGTGGATTTTCAGGCTTTCTAAGTCATGGGCTGAGATATACGGCCTTGCAAGACAATTCTTGGTGGAACAAAATGGGTCCACATCGCCTTACAAGACACCCCAGAGAGTGTGGATATTTTGGGGTAGATATATCTGCCCAGTTTCTAGATGACAATGGTACGATGGATGCCAAGATCGGTAAAAGGTACTTTGGCGAGATTGTGGCGTCTGTGAGAGGTAGTATATTGCTTATTTCTGTTTTTTTCTGCCACCCAAGACCCAATGTTGAGGGTTCTTCACCCGGAGGAAGTATAGCGAGTTCGATTTTGTTCCTTGTTTGACCAGAAAGTGGCGGTGAAACTCCAACATAATTGGACTGCCTGCATATTAGCACAAGGCGCGGATGCTCCCCGATTGGACTGTACCAGTAACTGATGTCATTCTGTCCCGTGTTCATCAAGGGGTAGCAGCTGGAAAGTTCGACGATATCAATATGCACCGGTAGAGGCGCAGACTGCGTCCATAGTTACCTCCCGCAAAAGTGTGTCAGATCAGGGCAGACGATCGATTTACGATGTCAACTCTGCCAGAGATTGGTCAAGTTCGGGATCAAAGAACGATAAGAACTGCTCCGTAGTGATGCACCGAATCCGCCCGGTGACAGGCATAGTTGATTGTTGCCTTGTGGAAAGCAGTCTGATATTCGTCAATAATCCTAGTTCGACTTTAAATATTGCGATACTGACGTTTCGATCTGCGCGAAATTCGGCTAATAATTCTGGGATAGCCTCTGTTGGTTTATTTCGAACCCCTCATCGATGTGAGACCCCGTGGTATCTCTTGTCCACCTATGAAGGTTACTCTTCGAACGGCACATCCTACGACATCGACTCGTGAGGTCACCGTCGTAACCTATCCTGCAGAGGGGTCTCATCCTTTTTTTTTTTTCTCGTTTTCGTTTGTTTGCTGCAATATAGCGGGGGTTGATGAAGATCCTCAGCAGAGTATCGTTGAGGATGGATGATACGGAAATGATTCATCTGTAGAGTAAATAGGCAAGGATGAGAACACAAATACAACGATGAGTGTTACTGCATCATCCCCAGTACAGTGGAAGAAAATGAAACAACGCAGAGAAAGAAAAAGCAAAGAGAGAGAAGAAGTCGTGGGGGAATCCCAGCAGAGCGGGAAAGCAGCGGTAAGGCGCAAGCATTGTATGCGTACATTGTCCACATCTTTCTCTATCGACTCCATCTGTAACCCACCACCTTCTTCTCCTCCTTTTCATTTATTTTTTTTCCAGCCCATCCCTTCGCTCCCCCTAAATTCGCCTATCCGTCTATTCGTCCAAGCCTGATTAAATGATGGCTGCCCAATGCCCCCTCTACCTAGGTTTGCGCTGTTGAGTTGCGGAATACCATCCGCGCTCATGGTCGGAGAGTTGGAAGGCCAATGAAACCAAAACCTTCGATCCCGACGGCCTGTCACACAGCTTAGAGGTCGACGGCATGTGAACTACGTGTTCTCTCTCCCGCAGTGTCCAGTTTTCTGGTTGCGCTCTTGGAAGCCCCTGCCAGAGATTCCCCGGCCAATCGGGGCTCGCGAGACGGCGAGGGAATGTTTCGAAAGTCAATCTCTCGCCGCATATTTCAACGGAGACATTTTCGCCATTGCGGCCGGGGATCATTTCTGCCTACCCAGATGATGTGTGGAGGTTTACTCATCTGGGTAGACGAAAGGGCGGCCATGTGGTTGCTACTGATCAGGTAGATGGTGCCTCGCGTTGGTGGACCGATTGGAGGGGCGGCTGTTTTATTTTATTTTATTTTTTTTTTAATTTTTATTTTTTTTAATTCTTACCTTTTTTTCTTCTATTATTTTTTGTTCCTTTCGGGCAATTGTGACATTCACAGCTCTGGTAAACCGCTGATATATAAGACGAGGCGAGTTTCCCCAACTAAAACTATTCACAACTCGAATACTCTCGGTACTCGGTGCAGTCTTTAAAACTGAAGCGTCTTTTCACTCTCTGCTGTCTTTGCTCCTACAATCGACCAGAAACATTCTCATCCTCATACTACCATGGATAAAAGTGGTGCCTCAGGGACTAGCAAGTCTGCGGCTGCAGACTTAGCACGATATCAAGCCCAGTGGGAGAAGATTCACAATGATACTATTCGACAAATAAAACAAGTCAAAGGTATGGCCCCGTTGTGTATTTATTTCTCTGTGATTCTAACTCGTGATCCAGAACAAGAGGCCCGAAACGCCAAACTGAGAGCAGAAAGGTCCAACCAGTCGCCTCGAGGATAGCGGTGGTGGAACACTAGGGAGAGCAGCAAGGCTTTGAGTTTACAACTTGACAGTCTTGTTTCATTATGCATCTGTTTTGACCTGTCCTGCTGGCATTTTGTCCTTGAGCGTTGTTTTGTGCTTATGATATCCGGACTCTACATTTGTTCCACTAAACATTTCTTTTTTTTTTTTTTTCATGTTACAGTAAACTGGAAATATTTTCCTTTACTCATCTCTAGTATCGATCTGCAATGTATGTCTCCACTCAGCCCCAGAGGCAAGGCCTTTTTATACCAGTAAAATCCATATATATAGATATCCAGGGTCTCCACGATAGATGATATATCGCATTCCACACATTCCTCAAGCGGAACCAGTGTGCTGGAAACCCCTATTACCTATTTGAGCTTCCTACATCCTCTATGCGCTTCCCGGTTAGCCTTCCCGTCTGTGAGATCGATCAATTCTGCTCCACTGCGATCTGATGCAGTTCATTGTAATATGTACCTACCTAGTCCCGGGCCCATTAATGTTCTCAAAATAGATATCTTTCAGTAGCCAATAGATAACCCAATAAATCAGGGTTTGTGAGTTGTGTCGATATATATATTTGGATGTTGTTTAAATGGCCGATGCATTCTAGAACCCGGATTAAAATATTCTATACAGAACTATAGGAATGCGTCAACAGACCTAATCTAGTCTTTTTAAACTAAGTACCTATTCTGTAATATAATTTATTATTATAAGTATACTTATTATTTTCAGGTTTACTATGGTTATGTGTTTGGAATCTGTCTAATTAATTAGTGTCAAGAATCCAAATGTCATGTTACCCTGCATAGAAACCAGTCACGATCACTTTTTTTCTTGTAACAGGTTTTGAACCAGGTCAACAAGCCACAAGTGGAGTACAACCAGGTATATATATACATACATATTACCGCGAGGGAACCCACCTCCATGGATCCAGCCTTGTTCCATCTTGTCCAAGTTTGCTGCTGAGGTTTTATTTCGTCCAATATGACACGGTACCTAATATATCATCACGGTCTCGAAATGTCTCATGATACCTTACTCAAGGCGACCAATCGACCTCTAACTCAGCTTCACCTAGGTATGATTCCATCCTGAGTGCTTTAACCAGCTAATGATGAGTGGAGGATAGGCCGGTCGGGTTGCTTCCGATGAGATCAAATTAACTCGTGCATTCTATACGTCCAGAAGAGCCATATCTACCTTTACATCTCCTCTCCTTGACAGTTACCTGCTTTCTTGCAGGCAGATATCCACAATCTAGGCCCCTGCGACAAGTGAAACACGAATTATGGTCGAACGGACACCGACTGAAATGGAGCGTGGAATTCTACCTGGATTTTGGTGATGAAGCGGTCTGCAATTCGTGACGGAGTACTGATTTCCATCTCGATTCGCCTGCCCCACATTCGCCAGATGAGTGCGAGAACAGCTAACACAACCATCCGGTAATATACATTTTCAAAACAAAAAAAAAAAGAAAGAAAGAAAGAAAGCAAAAATATCTACGATTCCAGCATGACAGCATCTCAGCAGGAATTAAGAGAGTTCTATGTGGGCAAGGATGTCGGGGACGTGCCAAAGCCAGCCATCGTTCTGGATGCAGCGATCATCAAAAGACACTGCGAGGCTATGCTTCGCACGGTGGAGTTGAATGTCGGCTTCAGGGCCCATGTGAAGTCTCACAAGGTGAGATAGCCCATCCCCCCCCCCCTCTTCTTAATAATCAATCAATCCCTAACTAACCCCTCCAGACAACCGAGATTGCGGAAATGCAAGTTGGTGTTGGTGACAACAGTCTCGGAGCCAATTTCATCGCCTCGACGGTCTTGGAGATCGAAACGCTCGTTCCTCTCCTCCGGAAGCTGCATACCGAAGAGGCTCGCAGCGTCAATGTCCTCTATGGCATCCCACTTGTGCCGTCGCAGGTCGCGCCACTGGCCCGGGCTGCGCTTGAAATCGGCGCGGGAAGAGGAACTCTTGCAGTGATGATCGACCACCCGGACCAGGTAGATTACCTCCAGCAGTACTTTGCCCTGACGAATTCCCCCGCGTCTGTGTTTGTCAAAGTCGACACCGGGTATCATCGCGCGGGATTGCCTCCCGCGGCTCTGAACAAGCGCGGCTTGCTGGAGAAGCTAGCGAACGCAGAGAAACTGGGATACGCGTCTCTGCTCGGGTTCTACTCCCACAGTAGTCTGAGCTACGCTGGGACTACGCCCGAGGAAGCAATGGCACATCTGACGCAAGAAATCGAGGGCTGCAAGGAAGCCCTGGAAACCCACTTAGAGCTTCTTCCCGAAAAGAAGGAACTGGTGATCAGCGTCGGGGCAACGCCGCAAGCACTGTCGTCCCAGAATCTCCTACCGGGGGGCGTATCCAGTCCCGAGGCGACGGCGCTAAAGAACTTGCTGCGCAATCCGCTCAACCAGGACCGCGGGGTGCAGGTGAAAATTGAAATCCACGCGGGCGTGTACCCACTGCTCGACATGCAGCAGCTCTCCACGCATGCCCGAAACGGGATCCGAAACCCCGAGGATGAAATCGCTATCTCAGTGCTCGCGGAAGTCTGCAGCATCTATAACGACGGCGAACGAGCTAAGCCCGAGGCGCTCCTTGCAGCGGGGACCCTGGCGTTGGGAAGAGAGCCCTGCGCCGGGTATCCAGGTTGGGGCGTGATTTCGTCCTGGCGACAGTCGGGTGGAACTTCTTCTTCTTCTTCTTCTTCTTCTTCTTCTCGTCTGATCGTCGAGCGAATCAGCCAAGAGCATTCCGTTGTCTCGTGGGAAAACCCCGAGCATCAACCATCTCTGATCCCCCTCCGTATAGGACAAACAGTCAAGATCTACCCGAACCACGCCTGCGTGGCAGCCGCATTCTACGGATTCTACTTTGTCGTCGACTCAGACCAGGATCCGGAAGCAGCAAGAATCGTGGATGTCTGGGTGAGAGCCAGAGGCAGTGATATTACCGAACCGGTCTTACTACCCAGGGTGCAGTAGTTTGCGAGTCGCTTACAGTAACTATCTGGCATTCTTGTTACGAAGGGCAGCACCATCACCAACCTTTCTTTGCGAAGTATATATATATATAGTCGATTAAGACGACGGGCAATTCAAGCTCTATGTACTCTTTATAAAGGTAATGAAAATAGAATGAATATAGAAGTAGCTTCAAAGTGGAACTATGTATCCGAAAACCGAAAAAAAAAAAAAAAAATTTATATCTAATCATGTCATGTCTAATCATCCAAGTCAATTATAGCAGCCTTCCACACCTACGAATTCAGCATCGCTCGAGCTTCCGCCAGTTCCTCCTCCGATGGCATATTCACTATCATCAGGTACAGAACTTTCTGTGGTCATGCATTAGCGGTGGCTCCGCCGCCTCATGATGGTATGGTTTGCTGGGTTAGCACTTACACTTTTCAACAGCTTCTGAATCCCCCCTCCGATTCCGCCAGAAGGTGGCCCCGGCTGGCGCTGTCTGGTCTGTCCGCGTTCGATTTCTACTTCAGCCATCTCCGCTTGGTATCTGTCGTGCGAGGTGGATGCGTTTCGGTGCGTCGACCCAGAAGTTCGTCTGGAGAGAAGAGACTCGACGATATTCCCCGCAGGTAACGAGCCCAGCCGGAGGTTCCCCCCAGGACCCGACTCTTGGAAGCGTCGGTCTCGTCCGTGTCGTCCGCGTTGGTCTGGGAGTACGCTTCGGCCCAGCGCCGCAGGAGGAGCACGTCGGGGGAGGTTATCCGAGGTGAATTTTCCGCCGGTGATGAGGCCTAAGAAGTCGCCGCTGCTGGCTGGGTGGGTGGGATCGGCATAGCGCGAGGTGAATTTGGGTTTGGGCGCCAGGTTCAATGCACTGTCTGGGTTTTCCATTATCTGTACAGCAGGAGCAGCAGCTCAGTTTAATCTGTCTTGCAAGAAAAGAGGGGCGCAAAGGAGCTTACGAATTTGGCTTGCGAACGGCGATCCAGATAGTTGTCGACGAATTCCTTGCGCTTCTTCGTGCCCTTTAGTTTTCCTTCGGCGGCGTTGCTTCCTAGGTCGTCGTCGAGGTCTGGGAAGATCAGAGGTGCCGCTTCGGGGAATGGGAGCTCCCCTGCGGTTTTTCCATCGGAGGATTTCAGCTTATGCTTGAGTTTGTTCGTGAATCCCGGTCCGCCGTGCTCGACAGCGGTAGAGATCGTCGTGTTCAGGTTGAACTGCGTGAATGTGGATGATGACTCCGGGTCCCAGGTCATGACCAGACAGAAGAGACCACGGGGGCGGAAGAATTCCTCGTTGATTTTATCAAAGAAGGTATTCGTCCTAGGAGAACGTCAGCATGAAAAAAAGAAAGAAAGAAAAAACTAATAGCAGACAATTGGGACAGTGGTACAGACTTTCTTCTTCCTTCAACGGCAATCGCAACGTCAGTGCCGATTTGGATGAGAGTCGAAACCACAATTGAAAGCCCACTGGGAAGAAACATCGTCGGAATCGTCGCCAGGTTGAGCGCATATATCCACGGACTAGCCAGGCACGCCCGATTAGATGTCTCCAAGAAATTCAGGAACATGGCCTGGTCAATCCCGAAATCTTCCAGCACGGGCGCATACGCTCTGACGAACCCTCTCTTGCGGGACTTTGGTCGACGCTGCGGAAGAATCACAGGCCAAGGAAGCCGTGGCGCTGCAGATGGTGCGTAGGCCGGGGGAGGGACATTGCGAATGAACTCCTCCGCTAACAGGACCGCATCGTAAGATGGAGCCTCCTCGTTGCTCTGTTCATGGGCGTGTAGTTCGTCCTGGGCCTCGTCCAGCTCCCATACTTGCTCATGTTGATTAGCGATGAAATGTTCGCGTTCACTTTCACGTTGGATCTGTTCTTCTTCTTCTTCTTCTTCTCCTCCTCCTCCTCCTCCTCCTCGTCGTCGTCGTCGTCGTCGTTGCTCTCCCTCAACTAAACGCTCTCTTTGAAGCTGTCCATCCACCCCTTCAACGGATCTTTGGGACTCGCGTTCTTTCTTTTCTCGCTTGCTCGCCTTGTGTGCGGATATACTTTCAGAAGCCAAGCCAATGCCAGCAGCGATGCCTCTGATAGCTTTGCCTCTCAGGTCCATTGCGGTGGCAGCGAAAGAATCTCAAAAGAAGGCAAGTAATAGGGGGGCGGTAGATGAGTTCCACAGATTCTCGACAGCGACGAAAACGACCAGCTTATATACAAATACCCCAACCCAGCTGGAGATGGAACGATTTAATCGCAACTTTAAATAATCCATCTCAACTGGAAAAGGATAGCAGTCAGTAACTTGAAGCTTAGCGTTCGTCAGCCCTCCTCCAAAGCAAATGGGGCAGTGCTGGTATTTCCTGGCTCTGATCTTCATCCACAACGTCCATAGTTCATCTTCATTGGAGAAAGCATCTAGCATTACGGAGTATAGTTGCAGTCTACGGGTCGGATTTGCTTAGCCATGCTTGGTAGTTATTAGGGTTGTGGCTGGAATGCTCCATAAGCAGCGAAGAGCTTACCGGATTTGGCATGCATTTCGGCAAGGCTGAGATACATAAATTGTGAACTAGAATTAATACGTACGGAGTACTCCATACTCTTAACTATATACAGGAATCTAATCTATAGGCTCATTATCTATCGGTATCGTCATATAATCTTTATTCTCATCGCAGCGCTATGCGACTCTGGTCTCCGGTACCTCTGGCATCGTCTTCGGCTGGGGTTCCGAAAAAGACTCGGGCCAAATGAACATCTTCTCTTCCTGCGTTGGGGTAGCGGCCACAAATTTGGGAATCTGGTCATAATTAGTTTTAAGTCTGGTCTTTTAAGTCAAGAAGCGGAACTTACAGCTTGCTTGCTGGAGGCACGTCGCCACATGTTGGCACGAGGATTGAACCGAGCCGGCGTGCCAACACCCCCAGTTTTCTCATGGTCTTCCTTCATAATCTTCTCCACCTCTTTCCGAATATCTGCAAAGCTCTCGAATCCGATGTAGGGGATATTATTTTCTTTGCAGTATTCCTCCAAACGAAGACCCTTTCGGGCGAAGAGCACGTCGGCTTCACGAGCTGCAGGAAGGTCGGAGACTCCGTCACCAATGAAGATGATGAGAGGAACCTGCCCATCAGGACAGTCTTTCAGAGCCAGGGCACGGCCTTCCTGCACAGACAGGGCCTTGTCGTGTCCAAGTTCGTTGTCATGTCTCCAGATTGGCTTCCATTCCGAGCCATCAGGTTTGATCTCTGCATCATTCGCGACGATCTGAATATGGGATGCCTAAACACAGTCAGTCATTGGTCTTGGATTCCCAGGCATCGGGCTTAAAATACCTCTTCTTCTCCGAGGAAATTCTCCAGCACCCGGCTAAGAACCGGCTTCAACCCTGCACTAATAACATTGAAAGTGATGTTATTCTTGATGCAGAATTGGTGAAATTCTTGGAACCCGGGGTCGATCTCCAGAGCCTTCTCCAGCACCTCAAATCCATTCTCGAAGGGGGTATGCAACGAACCCCACATTTCTTCGGAGACGTCGCGAAAGGAGCGCTCGCCAGATTTGATTTGTTCATCGAGAAGTTGACGGTGTGCTGAGCCGCAACCTAGATTATCAAAGAGCACATGGCCGGTGTCTTGCAGGAAAATGGTACCGTCAAAGTCTAATATAGGTCAGCGCAGTCCATTCGTTAATGGCTGGGATTTAACCTATCGCACCTGAGAAACAGACGATCTTTCGTGATGTGTTGGTCATTGTTGGGATTGTGAAGGATATTCGTCCAAGTTCAATGCGTGCGGACAATTGGGATTGTAAAATAGTCTCTGGGCCAAAGGAGACGGCGGGCGTACCCCGAGAATAAAAGAAGGCGAGATAGAGGAATGACGTCGTTCAGTGGTTCCGAACCCGATGATGATGTTATCAGCTAGACCATTACTACATATGCAGTAAGTCCTTTTCCCTGATTTTGGTGGAGCCGCTGGGAAGATAATTTGTTTCAGTGTGCACAGCGGGAGGACTCTGATTGGGAAGTGTTATGGGTCTTGGTCGGCATACCGAGCGGCCCAGGAGGTCGAAGGACCCCACAACTGAATTTATCCTGGTATAGAAGCCAAGAGAAGATGATGGCATTTGGCTAGTAGGAGGAGAAATATCCAGACCATATCCAGCAGGATGGATGGAGCCTTTAGTGCGCAATTTCATCTGAAGTCGAAGGTGCTAGAAGTCGCCCTCCATCTTTCTGCTTCCATCATCCCCTCGACAAATGAATATCCCCTAGGGGTTTCGCAAGGACTTTCGTTCTTGAAGATGCAGAGCGATTTTGGGGTGGGTTATTGAGGAATCGCTTGAAAATATTCAAATTCTCTGTATATATATATCGCGTAGGCGGCTTATCTGTAAAGGGTGCAAGTCAGCGCCAGTCAACAACCCCAGGAATCAAAGACTCACAGGCTCACAGGCTCACAGCTCAGCCTGTGATAATCCGGGGGAAAGCACAAGTGGGAACTGGGAAATACTCCGTAGTCCATCGGAATATTTGACGGTCGAGAAAAGCTCATGTGAGAAAGCTTTCGGAGCCAAAAGTACAGTCCGATCATCCTCTCCTTCGAAGTCATTGGATACTAGTTGGTTAGCCAGGGAACTAAGAGCGGGACAGGCAATTGGACTTGAGCTCAGGAGGCAAGCAATCTGGGGAATCTTCTTGGCCGCAGTCAGAATTGGTCAAAAGAGGTCAAAATGCGGGGGAATCAGGAGGTTGGCTGGATTGATGGCCAAAATACAAAGGATTCTCACGGTCGGTCTGCAAAACATAGACCGGCAAACTTGGAAGCTGAGCAGCTACTGCTTATCTACTTCGACGAGTCCTCGGTCTGGATCAGGGTGTTTCTCTTTCCCTCTCCGAGTCACTCGCATCAATGGACTCCTCAAAGCCCCAGACAGAGATGAGCGAGGATGTCAAGCACGATTCGTTCCACGCGATGACGGGCGACCCAGTGGCCCAACAGATGCTAACCAAACGTCTTCTGTTCAAATTAGACACCAGGTACGCGGTTGTTGCATCATATCATGTCTGATAAAGCATCGTTCTTACAATCGATCAAATAGGATTCTTCCAATTCTCGCGGTGCTTTTCCTATGCTCATTCTTGGACCGGACCAATGTTGGCAATGCGAGCATTCTGGGTCTACAGGATGATATTGGTATCACAGGGCACCAATACAATATCGGGTTGGCGGTTTTCTATCTTTTCTATATCCTGAGGTGAGCATACGGCGCTCTTCCACGGAGTCTCTCGGCTAATACCTGTCTGCACAGTGAAATCCCGAGCAATCTAATCATCAAAAAGGCATCCCCGAAAATCTGGCTTCCGTCCCTGACAATGGTTTGGGGTATCATTACAATGTGTCTGGGCTTTGTGCGTAATTTTGGCAGTTTTGTCGCAGTCCGCGCGATCCTGGGTATTGCCGAGGGAGGGTTGCTCCCTGGAATGGTAAAGTCCTTTGCGTTCTTCAACACTTGGAACCAAATCTAACCCGCCAAGGTATTGTATCTATCATTCTTCTATCGACGAGGGGATTTGGCTCTGCGGATTGGGTTATTCTATACCGCTGCATCATTATCTGGGGCATTTGGAGGTACTTTCAGTCTCGTCTATTCTGTCAATTCAAAACTGACTAGTCCTGAAGGCCTCCTAGCTCGCGGTTTAGCAGAAATCAGCCCCCGGGGTGGACTTGAGGGATGGCGTTGGATTATGATCATTGAAGGGCTTTTGGTAAGTCCATCCATAACAGTTTCCCTTGACAGCGTTAATGCAAACTAGACCTTCGTATGCGGAGGTCTGAGCTTTTTCGGCCTCCCCAATAACCTTGAGACCGCGTCGTTCTTGTCAGAAGAAGAACGCATATATGCTCTTGAAAGACTCAAGCTCGACCACCCATCGCTCCCTCAAGGGTAGGTACACTCCTTCTTTATTACCCTTTTACCTACGTTGAATCTTCACTGGCACTTACCACAGTCGCAATAGAACTCTCACAGATGAACAAGAAGGCTTAAGGTGGTCTGAGGTACGACGGGGTCTTCTCGATCCCCGCATGTGGCTATCAGCCCTCGCGTACTTCGCAATCCTGTCCGGGCTCTACTCCTTCGGGTTATTCGTAGGTGTCTCCTATTCCACCATTCACAGAATGTACTGTAACCAATGTGCACTCAGTTGCCAACTATCATCAACGAGAGTGGATTCGCCTCTAGCGCAAACCAAGTCCAGCTATGGACGGTTATTCCGTATGCCGTGGCAGCTGTTTTAACTGGTACATTCCCCGACAAAATATATCCTAACATCCCTACTCGCATTCTAGTACATATAATAATATATAAGGAAATTTTTTTTATGGGTGTGTATAGTTGTCGTTGCATTCATTTCGGACCGCATGCAACTCAGAGGCATCATTATGCTCTTCACCCTCCCCATCGCTATTACCGGGTACGCCGCGATAGCGAATATCGAGTCAGCGCAGATCAAATACGGAATGACCTTTCTCATGGCGACGGGGATGTACGCCAGCGTTCCTTGTATTTTGGTGTGGAACTCGAATAACTCGGCAGGGCATTATAAGAGAGCCACGACGTCTGCGATGCAGCTGGCGATTGCGAATTGTGGCGGATTTGTTGCAAGTTCGTTTTCTGTTTCCATTTTCATATGTATACCATGAAGGCCCAGTTTGTAAACTAACTCGCTCATTCTCTCTAGCATTTACCTATCCGAGCCAGGATCAACCACAGTATCATCAGGGCCATACAGTGATTATGGGGTTATTGGTTTTTGCATGGTTCATGTATGTGTTTCCGGGGAAAATTCCAAGTCATCCTAGCGACTAATGCAAAGGCTGCGTAACTACAGGATCTTGTTTAACGTGCTTTACTGCGCCAAGATCAACCGGGACAAGCGAAGGGGGAAATATGCCCAGTATGAGGGTTACAATGATGATCGTGATCCCAAGTTCATGATGGTGTTGTAGTCTGGACTTGATATAAGAGCCATCTAGTAGAGTACAAATTGATAAAATAAATCCTTGTCTAACTGTTAATAACTATCTTTATATTTTAGAATAGAATTCCCTCTTTTAAATCATATGCTAAAATTCAAAATTGGACCTATGAAAAACATCCCTGAACCTCACTGGACATGTATCTACCATTCTCTAGTGACGATGGCAGATCCTCCGCTTGAATTTGTTATGTACAGTGACACCTTCCATCGGTATATCCTCTACTGGCTATTTGATTATTCCTTACCTAGCCAACGGGATTTCTACCCCGACAAGTAGAATCGTTTACACGTATCACCCCGGATTACCTGCACTAATATGTCAACTTCTTTAGTGTTTTTCATTTGGCTAAGATGCCCTTTTGAAGTTAGACTAGAATTAAGTAAGTCTGATGAAACTCGGAACCAGGCACCAAAACAGCAGAACCTTATATCGATCTACAGGCATCTAGAACGTCCACCGTATATAACTTCCGTTTGAATTTTCCTCGGGAGGCTCTTCCGCAGAAAAGACATTTCAGCAGTAGTCACCCGGAACATAGGATGGATAGACGTGATTCACATTACACATCGAGTTGACTCCAGGGACAAAAAGCGGCGTAACTGGAACAATTAGCATCATCATCATCATCGTCGTCGTCGTCGTCGTCGCGTATATATCATTCAATCACAAGAGAAAGGGGAGAGAAACAAACCGTCAACAGTCAAATTCTGGCGTGGATGCCTAATCACCGCTTGACTCTGCGGCGGCGGAGTCAACCTGTCCTCACAGTCCAGTTCATCATCGCCCCCTCCGAACTGGTTACTCCCCACCCACACGGCAACATGGCGAATCCGATGGAACCACTCGCCATCACACTCAGGACAGGAATCTTCCAGCCGTAGATACTTCCGTAGATAGGGGGAGTAGATGACCTCACATTGTCTGAATTCGCCCGGAGCAGAGGCAAACGTTACAGGGTCCTGGAAGGTGCCGGTCCCGCCGGCGATATTGCCTCGTCCGCAGTCGAAGGCGATTGCAGCGCCTTGATCGTCGTTGCTAGAGAATCCGAAGAAGGTCTGGGTGACCCGAGTGACAATCCGGCACTGGACTGGCGGTGGCGGGGGGGAGGGAGTGCCAGTTGGGGCTGGGGTTCCTGGTTGTGTTGGGGGAGGTAATGAGGGAGGAGGAGCTGGTCTAGTAGCAGTAGGAAGTCGGCCAAAGGGCGAGATAGAAGTGATTCTAGCGGTAGATACCGGAGGCAATCCAGAAGGGACTCCAGTGAGGGATTCAGGTGGAGGAGCTTGAACTAGAGCGACCATAAGGACTAGGATGAGAGAAAAGAGATGATGCATGGTGGCGGTTGATCCAAGGTGTGATGTGATGTTTGTGTCAAGTGAGCAGAAGTAGTTGGTGGTTTGGTTTCAAATAGAAGAAAGCAGCAGTACACCCCAGAAAGCATCATCATGTCATTCTCATTAACAGGATGCGTCATCTTTACAGTCAGGTCTGGCCCAAGCCGCTCAGGTTGAGATAGTTTGTTTCTTGAGCGGTTACTTCGGAACGGCTCTGTAGAGGGAAGCTTCACATCTGCTGAGGTTGGGGATGAGCAGACCATGGTTTATATCCCACACAGGCATTGTACTGACTGAATATCTTCTCTCTCTCTCTCTCTCTCTCTCTCTCTCTCTTCCTTCTTTTTCTCCTATCCAGAAATTTTTTCGGTTTTGAGCTTCTTCAACTCCGAGTCGGAACAAAATTCCCAAAACGCTAATCTCCGAAAGCAATGAAATTACCATTTTTACAGTACTTACACAGTAATTACTGGTTATTTACTCTTCTCTCCTGATGTAAATATGTATCGCTCGGGAAAAACGGTATCATACGCCGGTGTGAACCCCGAGCTCAAATCTCGAGCGATTCCTTCTTTTTTTAAGGACGTCAATTCCTCCGATTCTCCTCCTCCATTCACCCCTCTGTACTCTGTTCATTGCATATACGACTCTGACAACCTCTCTATCTTATCATTAATTGGCTGTATATATACTACAAGGGCCACGATCTCGCCAGTCAACACCATGACCCAAGAGCCGAATCCTCCGGGATGGTTTGCGTCACTCTCTAGCAAGATCCTTGAGGAGCTGGGCCTCGTATCGCTATGGAACTCTCCGCGAGACGCGAAGCTGCTCTGTGCCCAGCGGTTCGTCCGACTCTTCGCCTACGGAGGCTCAACCCTAATCCTGGCTTCGTATCTTTCTGCACTAAATATCTCCGATGACCGGATCGGCCTGTTCATGACCCTGACTCTGGTCGGAGATGTGGCGATCAGTTTCCTCTTGACGCTTTTTGCCGACGCCATGGGCCGTAGAGCTGTCCTGGCTCTGGGATCGGCCTTGATGGTGGGTAGTGGAGTGGTTTTCGCGCTGGTTGGGGATTACTGGGCTCTTCTGGCGGCGGCAGTGTTTGGGGTTATTAGTCCCAGGTATATATATACACATATGTCTCTTCGGGCTAAATTGAATGCTGAAACTGACAACATGTAGTGGAAATGAAATTGGCCCGTTCCGTGCGGTTGAAGAGTCTACTCTTGCTCATCTCACTCCCAAGGAAATTCTCAGTGATATCTTCGTTTGGTATTCTCTCATCGGCATTGCGGGCACGGCACTTGGCGTGATGACCTGCGGGTGGGCTGTTGATGTGCTTCAGAACCAAAAGCATTGGGAGTATCTCGATGCTTGTCGAGTAATCTTCCTTGCGTACGCTACTATCGGGCTTATCAAGTTTCTTCTCTCCGTGACTCTGAGCAAGAAGGTCGAAGCCGACGTCAAAAAGCCAAAACCTGCGCAGCAGAACGCAGAGAATGATGGGGAAACTCAACCGCTGCTGGGTGACCGGCCCGCCACCAACCAGGAGCCGGAGAGGAAGTCTTTCTTCTCTTTTATTGGGGATAAGGACCTCGCTTCTCTGGTTATCCGGCTTTTTATCCTCTTTGGTCTGGACTCGTTTGCGTCGGGATTGGCTTCATTGTATGTTTCTTGCCCTCTGGATCGGGGGGTTGAGCTAATACGCACAGGTCCTGGATGACATATTTCTTCAAACGCAAGTTCTCCCTTCCAGAGGGCGAACTCGGCTCGATTTTCTTCACGACGAGCATTATCTCCTCCGCTTCCATGCTCGTAGCGTCCTCCATCGCCAAAAGGATCGGAAATATCAGGGTACCTCTCCTTTCCCTTTCCTATTGCTTTAACCAAGTGAGAAAATAAACTAAACTATGATGACAAAAAAAAAAAAAAAAAAAAAAAAAATAGACAATGGTTTTCACCCACCTCCCCTCGGCAGTCTGCCTCGCTTTAATTCCCGTCCCCTCTATCCTCCCGCTCGCCCTAACCTTCCTCGTGTTACGAGCCTGCTCCCAGAGCATGGACAGTGCGCCACGCTCCGCATTCCTAGCGGCTGCTCTCCCGCCAGAAAAACGCACGGCCATTATGGGCTCCATCAACGTGGTCAAAACATCCGCGCAGAGTCTGGGGCCGCTTATTACGGGTATTCTGGCAGAGCGGGGGTACTTTGGCGTGTCGTTCACCCTGGCCGGTATCCTCAAGTGTGTCTATGACATTGGCATATTGCTGAGTTTTGTGGGACTTGAAAAGGGTAGGAGAGCCGGGTCGAATGCTTCGCAGGCTTAGACTTGGTTCACGATGCCCGTTACATTGCAGTAGAGTAAGTTTGTGGATATGGTCATGTTCCTGGTGTTGGATTTATGGATATAGATACATAGATACATACGTACATAGACAAATAGAGAAGTAAATTAAGTGCTAGCAGTATTGAATCATTGGTTTTCTTTTCTTCCATATCTGTAATATACATCATCTGATATATACTTTACTATATCTAGCAGCATTTCTATTGCTATTGCGGTCGTCGTCAAGTACCCTAAAGTAAAGTTCGGTTTCGTTTTAGTCTAGCTGGCTAGGTAAAATACTTTATTTAGGACAGACAGACAGACAGACAGACAGACAAGACAAGACAGGTTTCGAAGATGCATACCATATACTCAACAACTCATTCAACCCTCAGCCTTGATGTGGAGTTTAGTTTATACTAACTAGACTACCCTAGGTACAGTTACATATTATTATCCTTTCGTCTTATGGAGAAGCAATTTAAAATAAATTCAAAATAAAGAAATCCAATCTCAATTGGCCATGTATATATATATATATATATATATATATATATATACATACATACAGCAGTACGAAACATGCGTTAACGAGCCTCTATCGTATAAATTCAATTCAGGGTATATGTATAAATCAACATGATGATGTATCTCAACTGCAAAAAAAAAAAAAGAAAGAAAAGAACATTTCTTCAAGTCTAATATGATATGGACATGAATTTCATTCTTCACATCATCTCGAGCTTCTCAGCAACCTTGAACTTCGCTCCAGTCTTTTGGCGAATCTCTTCAACCTCCACACCCGGCGCAAGCTCAGTTAGGGTAAGTTCCCCCTTGGTACGGTCGACGTGGAATACACACTAGGCTTTGTTAGAGACGATTCTTACTTCTATTACGATGAAGAAGACATACCAGCTCTGTGATAATCATGCTCACACAGTTCGCTCCTGTCAAGGGCAGTGCGCACTCCGAGACGATCTTTGGGGATCCATCCTTTGCAGTGTGGCTGGTCGCGACAACGATCTTGGTTCGGTCCGGGTTGGAGATTAGGTCCATGGCGCCTCCCATGCCCTTGAATACCTTGCCAGGGATCATGTAGTTGGCTAGGTCGCCTTTGGCACTAACTTGCAGGGCCTATGTCGGGTCAACGAACGCTATTTCTTGGGGTTCAGTAACGGGGAATGGAGGACTCACCCCTAAGATCGAGACGTCGACGTGTCCGCCCCGAATCATGCCGAACGATTCAGTGCTGTCAAAGGTAGCAGCGCCTGGGACCAGGGTGACGGTTTCTTTGCCGGCGTTGATGATATCTCTGTAAAATGGTCAGGATGCTTTCTCAAGGCAGGCCAACACACAATCTCCACTTACGGATCAACTTCGTCTTCTGTGGGGTACGGTCCCTAATGGCAACCACAGTCAGCAATAGCTTCTAATTAAAAGAGAGCCTTTTTGGTCTTACCATTCCGAGAATTCCATTTTCTGACTGAATCCAAACTTTAACCCCCTCCGGCAGCATCGAAGCCGCAATTGTAGGGATTCCTAAATACCCATAAGCATAAATCAACCACCAGGAATTCAAACCCCTTACCAACTCCGAGGTTCACATAGTATCCCTGCTTGAGTTCCTTGGCAGCTCTTTTGGCGATCTTATTGCGTTTGACGATAGCCGGATCCTCTGGTGCAGCGGTGGTGCTTTCATCGTTTGGCGTCCGGAGCTTCACGATTTCAATGTGCTTCTCGCTAGTCGCAGGCACAATCCGATCCACGAATATTCCAGGCAAATCAACATCATTAGGGTCAATTGAGCCAACGGGGACAATATTTTCGGCCTCCACAATGGTCAGAGTAGCTGCCTTGGCCATAATCGGACCGAACGCCTTCGTAGTGTAGCTAAGATCACACAATCAGCATCATCTCAGCACAGTAGTGTCTCCGATAAACCTACCGGAAAACGCAATTCCCGGCCTCGTCTGCCTTCCACGCGCGAAGAATGGCGACATCCCCGGTAAGCGCAGTCTCCATCAAGTATGTCTTGTTGTTGAAAACCCGCGTTTCGCGAGGGTTGCCATGCTCCAGAACCTTACCAGATGCATCAAGCCGTACAGGGATCTTTCCATCCTGGATGTAGGTATCTACAAAAGTTAGTTCGCCCACTTCACGGAATATTGCATTGCTGAACATACGAGCTCCAGTAGCCGTGTAAAAAGCAGGGATGCCAGCTCCTCCTGCGCGCAACCGCTCAGCCAAGGTACCCTGGGGACACAGCTCGATAGCAATGTTCCCCGAGAGGTACTTTTTCTCAAGCGCTTTATTTTTCCCAAGGTAGGATATGATTAGTCGATCGACCTGACCAGAATGTGTCAGCGTAGACAGCCCTCCCTTCCCGGCTGCGCCAGCGTTGTTTGAGACGGCCGTTAGAGAGTGGATGTTCTCGACTCCCCGTCGGTGAATCGCAGATATAATGGTATCTAAAAGAAATATGAATTCCGTGCCCCATCCGATACTATAATTAAAGGCAGATTTCGTTTACCTGCAACTCCACAAAGACCAAATCCGGAGCTAAGAATAGTTGACCCACTCTGGAGGTCAGCGACAGCCTCATCTGCATTTTTGAACAATTTTGAAGCTGAACGATCAATTGCTGGAGCTCGGGCCCGGGTAGATTCTCCAGTGCGAGGTGAAGGAGTAGAATATCTTGCCCGAGCTATCGACGCAACCGGGGGCAAGCATGTTCTCTGATACGCGCGGTAAAGTTGCGGGCGAGCAATGCTGGTCGCCTTCCGGGATAAGGCCGAGACCGAAAGTCGGAGTGTTGCCATGATCCACCAATCTTCTATCCTAATCGATATTTTATTGAAGGATAGAGACAATGAGATGGGATGTGGAAATTCCCAAGGGATCAGTTCTTTTTTTAAGAACGCAAGAGGACGGCACCCGTCGGCTCCCGGAGCTAATTCTGGGTACCGACGGTGGAGATCTGCCGGCCAGACGGACACCTCCCATTCGCGATAATTATATGGAGAATGGCTTCTAATAATACGAGTATGACGTATTGCTTGTCTTAGGGGAGAGGGAGGCTAAATTCTAGATTGCCGGCATCCAGCCAGTCCCAACTCATCATATCATCAAGCGGAACGTCAGGGACACTGGTGCCAAACGCTGTGCCAGCCCGGTTTACAGCGTCAATAATCTGGTCATCAGACATGGCAGAGAACTGCAGCGGTTCCGACCAGAATAATGACGGTGTAAAAGACTGAGTTGTTGTTGGAATCGATCCATAGTCATCTAATGTCGAGGGAGGCCGAAGGGTTTCTGTATGCGCGGCAACGCACGGTTCGTTTGGAGGCTGGGAAGTTGAGCCGACAGGAGGGCGTCGAACGAGTTCACGCAGGAATCTCCCATACAATACCGAAGCTCCGTTTCTATGGCTGGGTGTGGCTCCAACGCGCTCCAGAACACCTGCCGTTTCCTCGATCAGGTTTCGGACACTCGGTGCTAAGCTCGATCTGCTATCTGTTGGCATCACGCTGAGGCTGAGCGCAGAACATGCAGCAAAAGAGATCATAATGACAGTGTTGTTCGGCATCGACTTCAATCGTGCCTCGCCTTGGATGGCAGCTCTCATGACATTCAACGCGGAGGAAAGACCAGCAGCGCGAAAGAATCTCTTGACCTCAAGAGGTGCAGTCGGATGATTGATTACACCGCCATATGTAGAAAGCCTAGTATGTGTGACCAAAATCTCCACGTATGGAGGAAGAGCATATGCTTCATCAGTTAGCTTTTTTTTGTTTCCCAGATAACATATCTTCATTAGAACCTACACTGGCCTTCCCCAATTTCAGGCGCCCAGGTCTGGTACCATTGATCGTAGAAGCTTTCTATAGTGATTTTGATTCTATTGTCGTCAACTCTTAGCATGATAATATCACCCTCCTATACTTACGATTGGGCAGCTCCAGATCCGGTGTTGTTTGTCTGATAGCTATCGCAATTCGATTTGACTTGTTTGAAGAGTCCATCCTAATTGACTACGTTAGAGATGATTTACGACTTTTGCTGAAGTGAGGAAAACGTACCAGGTTTCTTCGGAGGACGGCCATGGAATTCATAGCACCGTCACGAGAATCAGCAAATTCGGAAATATGCCACCGATCGCAGTTCTCAATCAGAGCAGTTGGAGGCACCGTATAGCTTCTCCCCCGAGCTAAACATACTCTACATATCAATGTCAACAAGGAGAAGTAAGTTAAACGGACGGTGGACATTTATCATATACTCACCCCCTCTCGAGAACAAAAAGTGCTATCCAGGCTCTCTCTCTTCTTCGTAAAAGCCTTCGACCCCATTCCGAAGCAGGGTCCACATCATCAAATCCATCAATGTGAAGAGCCCTTCTTGCATCGATGCAGTCGGCTTTCGCAAGCCTTCGTGGAAGGCTGCTGTCGAAGCTCGTTGACGGCAACAATATTTTGTTCAGAGACAAGTCCAGGGCAACGGTCAAAGCCATAGCAATGTAGGAACACGTATCGTCATCGCCTAAACAGTCGCCCGGGGCCATCCAGGGAACATTGACCATGAAGCCTAAGACAATCTCAACCGATCTCAGACGCTGTTTAATAATCATGTTTGCTAAGTATTTGCTGTGCCTTGACAGCCTCTTAGACAACGCAGTCGCAGAGGGTAAGAAGAGCGTAGCTGCAGCCATGATAGAGGTGAAAAGAAAAGCCGACTGGGAGCGGACAAACTCCACGGTGTGGATGAGAGGATCAAGGCCCCATCTCGTATGTGCGAGGTTCTGATGAAAACTGGAAACAGTGAGCTAAAAAAAAAAAAAAAAAAAAAAAAAAAAAAAAAAGGCCTCTCCACCGTGGATTAAAATAGGCAAAGCGAACATACAAAGAGAACAGCGACTCGGCCTCATTCAAAGTAACAAACCCAATCTCAATGGGGTCCATCTCCGGACCAATATCCAGACTTGCTCTAACAGGCACAAAGAAAGATTTGGCCGCAGCCGGGGTACCCTTCACACTCACTGACGGCCCCGCTGACGGCTGCGACACGGTCAGGGACGGCCACGTCTGTGTATCGTGGGCATCATTAGGAGATAGCTGGAGATCCGAGGCGCGCGCAAGCAATTGCAGCGGATTCTCCGCGTCATCCAGGGCTAGATTCTCTCCTGGGTTGATATCACGGGGAAACTGTAAGGGATCCGCGTGGTCAGGATCTTCGGAGAAATCTTCAGTCTCGCTCTGAGGATGATGACGCTTCTGGGTCTTGTTAAGCAGCTCTTGCAAACTCGAGATCAGTTTCTGCGCGGCTTCAGGCCCGGAAGTCTCGGTTTTGGGTCTTTTGATAGCCTGCTCTATCTGGTGCAGTGCTTTTTCAAGGCCTTTGCGTTTGCTAGAGACGATGGTTAGCTATGGGTCAATCGATTCCTTCAAACTTTCTCAACATGTGGGGAGGGAGGCCATACTTCTTTACTCCCTTTTGTCTTCCAACATGGTGGTTCGGTACGACACATTCGAGGTTAGCATGTCTGCATTTGTCACATTGCAGTCCTCCTTCGCTGCGATTGCATCTGATTTTGCTCTTTCTACAGTTGAGGCATGCAGCTTGTCGTCCGTGTGGTGCTTGTTGTGGATTGATCTGTGTCGAATCTTCCATTGCCGCTTGGACCTGCCTATCCTATACTTGGGGGTCAACCCTGGCAATCCATAAGTCGTGAGGAGTTGGCGAAATGTGTTTAAGAGGGTGTGCTCGAGGGTGTGCTCTATTAAGGGGATTGTCGGCTCGACTAATAATTAATCCCCGAGTTAAGCAAAGGCGTAAGTAATGTTGCGATAATTGATGGCGAACCAAGGCAGTCAAATTCGTACCCCGGGGGGTATTATGGTGCGGTATGCAATATTAAGATGGAAATAAAGAAAAAAAAAATGACAGGAAGAAAAAAACATACAATGAGATCTTTCTGTATTAAAAATAAAAAAATGCAAAAAGTAAAGCCGAACGCGGGGGTTGAACCCGCAACCTTGAGATTAAGAGTCTCACGCTCTGCCGATTGAGCTAGCCCGGCTGCTTGTTGAAGGCAGGACAAGATAATTGACTACATTAGCCAGGATTTATCTTTGCACCAATTAATTATTCCCACTTCGCTGAATGACTATACAAACATAGTCCTTCAATGCTAAGCATATGATGAATACACCATCTAGACTTGGAAATTGGCATGCTCCCTGGAAAAGAACCGAGGAAGATAGGTGAACCAATGTACAGTAGAAAAGAAGTATAACAACGACGTGACTCGTAATATGCTCACAATACATGGGCAAGCAGTAATAATATATATCCCACAAGTAACCCGCCAAAAAGATTCAATCAAACCCAAGCAGTTTACGCGCTTTCCATAATTCGCCTAAAATGAGGCATTACGCCGAAGGAACAAGAAAGAAAAAAAAAAAAAAAAAAAAAACACCCCAAATAATCGCGAACATCATACGTCGGCCGTGAATCCTCAATAATGACGAGACCAATATATCAATTTGCTGCCCGCAGAGCCCGCAATCTAGCACCCAACCCATCCTCAAGGTCCACATCAACCTTATCTTGTTCTTTGACCTCCTGCTTCGGCACCGCATCCTGATTCAGCGCCATGCGCAGATCCACCCCGGCGTCATCGGCAAGCTGTTCCATGAGACGATCAACCTCAGTCTCGCCCTCCGCCCCGTACTCCTGCATGGCCACACCCTGAGCGACATCCTCGATGGCACTACTGGCGATCTTGAAGTCCTCCGAACGAGCGAGGAAGTTGTTTGCATGGGAAACCAGAGTCTCAAGGTTAACGCTCTTCGACGCAGCGTCCAGGCCGCGCGACGCCAGTGCCAGAGTGCGCGATGTGTCCCGGGTGCTCTGGGCTGCTTTGAGTTCGTTGATAATCACATCTGCCCGAGCGGCCTCCGCTCGAAGAGTGACCTGTCGTCGCTTCTCGCGCACGGCAGAGCCGGCGTGAATCCGGGCTATTTGGAATTCGCGGTTCTTCATCGCCCTATCGGCTTTGGCTTTTTCGGACTTGAATGTCGCTTCCGCCCGGGCGGCTTCTTTCTTTAGGCGGTTTGAATGCAGCTGGATTTGGAATCGAAGTAATTAGACACATAGCTCTGGAAGACCAAGCTCCCCCCCCCCCCAAAAAAAACGGAGCCAAAGAAGACCGCCACTATGGCATGTGATGGTGGAGGGGATTCTCACCTTGACATTGGTGCGCGCTTCGAAGATGGGGTCTTTTCGGACCATTTTGACTTGTGCTCGAAATAGGAAGAGACTGTGAGATCAAGAAGTAAAGGAATAAACGTAGTGAGACTTCAAAAAAGAGAAGAAAAATCTGGTGTGGCCCTTAGGGAGAGTTTCCAGGCTGGAAGAACACGGCGGGTTCTAGAATTAGAGAAGGGGGGGGGGGGGGCTTTGCGTGGCAACGTCATCCCGATAACCGTATCCGGTGCCCCAGTCCAGGCAGGTATCCAAATTACATAGAATCAGCACCAGACACCCGTCTCAGATAATCCGGTCTGTACTAGTTAACAAGAGCACACGAGGTTGTCAAATTTACGTACAAAAAGAACTACCTACGCAAGGATCTAAGAACCAAGGGGGACCGGATTCTACATTGTGTCGGGGGGCGACACCGATTTACGGGAACCAAAAACTTCGCCGATTGAAATGTGGTCAATATTAGAAGAATGCTGATGATGCTAATGTACAACCTATCGCAAGCCCTTTCCCATCAGTAGAGACGTCAACGCCTCACCGGCACTTGCTGAACTCCGTGAACTCCGTGATACTCTGTAAGACTTTAAAACATTACGCCGCCCGCTTGGTAGTGACTTCAAACCAGTCAAGATTCGTCCGCGTCGTTCTGGCTTCTCCAGGAGATCTAGCGTCAACGCCAGGGTTGATAAGGATTCCCAGCTCCATCTAACCCCTGGGACACCGATAGCCGAAAGGTCTCCCTGAGAGAATTCCTGCCTAACAGCCAGCTGCAATGCCCTGCCCGTCGCATCGCGAAGTGGACGCGCCAAGGCCGGGGTGCACGCTAGAAGTCTGGCAAGAACTCTCGTCCGAAAGACAGTTGGGCGGCTCGATGCCTTCGAGGGAGACAGGCTCGGAGTCAAAATTAACCAAAGAATCAAATGGAAATGCTGATAGATCTCCTGAGTCGAGAACATCAAAGGCGAACCCGTCTTCAATGAGTGAAGGATCTGGCTTAGGGGATGAATCACCGTTGAATAGGCGGTGGAAGTCATCGTCAGAAAGAGGAGCTGTAAGCTCATTTGAAGGGTCATGCTTAAGGCTTGCTCCGAGGTCAAACAGGGGGAGGACGTTTCCATCTCCTTCGAGGCCGGCGACTGACACTGCAGGTCACACAACACCGCTGCAGGATGTTGTGCCAGGTCGGAGGCCTCAGCCAGAGTGGAAGGCTTAAGTGTAGGAGAGTAATCGGTAAGGGCGGGAGTAGGGAAAGGAATTCGGTCGAGGGGGAGCTCGTCACGCTCCTGCTTGAAGAGGGTAGGGGTAAGGGTCGGAGATACTGATGCGGGGGAGGAAGCCATTGGGGTGCTGCCACGGGACCCACGGATCTCTGCTGATAGTTGGGCAACCTGTTGGTTCAAACGGTTGTTTTCGGCCTCCATCTGGGAGAGCCGTTGAAGGAGGAACTGGTTCTGTTGTTCCACCTTGATCTTCTCGTTTTCTAGTTTCTCCATTTCCAGCCTCTTGCGCTCACGCGAAGTCTGAGCGGCTGCACGGTTTCGTAGGACACGCTCGATGCGGCGCTGCTCCTTCTCATCTTCGGTCTTGGCTCGTTTTCTGGGGAGCTGTTAGGAGGGGTTGAAATCACGCTATATACAAGGAATGAGTGGCTACATACCGAGGAGGTAAGTTGGTTTTCGGAACTGGTAATTCCTGGCCCCAGGACTTTCTCTTCTTGGCTGGTTTCTTCTCCTCAGTCTTTGTCTCAGCTGTTCCATCCTTAGATTCCAGGGAGGTATCCGCGGGGGAGACAGTCAGAACGGGGATCTCAGCCGCTGGAGAACCAGGCAGCGAGTCCACTGAGGCGAAGTCGTCTTCCATATTTACTAGAGACAACCGATCTTGGATGTAAAATTCTTCTTTTGCGGTGGGGTATTTTTTTTTTCCCGAACAACTTTCAGACACTGATATCTAGATGATAACGACAATGTCCAGTTGAGAGAAGAGGTTTGTGTTGGGAGACTTGACTTGACGGGTCTAGGTCATCAAGACAAGAGGCCACGGTGTCATAACGGGGGAATGGGAAGCCGGGGAAAGGCCAGATTCCAGCCAGCAGTGAATAGTCTTTGGGGCGCAGGTACCAGAGGGTGCGGGGGGGGGGGGGGGGGGCAAGAGTAAAGGACAAGTGTCCATAAAACAGAAGACACAGTAATCGTGCTTGCAAAAGAGAAGAGCTCAGTCTGATGCTGGGGGAATAGTTGACTCTTTAAAAGGCCAGCGTGGTCCCTTTCAACAAAGGGGCGCAGAGCGTGGTCAGCAAGGGAACGGTAACATTACAGGTAAACCCAGAGTTTGTAGGGGAAATCGACGAGTGGAACGGTATGGTACCGGTAATTCAGCCGGCAGCCCCATCATGTTTCGCCCCCCCTGAAACTCGTGGCAGAAGGGAGAGACTCGAGTCGGTCGTGGTGGAATACTTTCGATGCTCTTCTCCATTCCCATTTTTAGCCAGGAAATTGACCCGCTGACGGGTACAACTATGTATAGTTAAGGGGGTCCTGCAGGTTCATTCTGGTCGTTATTCTGTACTCCTGTACAGTACTCTGGTAAAAAACAATGGAATGCAGGCAGATCCATGGAATCGTGGAATGCCTCCAAACCCACTCACTCCGCTGCACTCGAACCCGAATCTTGGACGAGAGCCAGAACATGGCGCACGCTTCGGGGCTGGAATCATACATGGTGTCATTGAGTCCTACTGTTGGACAATGGAATTAGGAGTTATATGGTGCCATATTAATAGGATATTATTGTGCGTGTATTCAGAGACAATTTCTCACCAGGTGGGGTTTCTAGGTTACCCCTTTAGAATGTGAATAAGATCATAATCATAACTAATTATTATATTATTATTATGATTACTCCTTATTACTCCATAGTTACAGTACACGAGGGAAATGATTCAGACTCCACAAGAGTAGCCAAGTGTGAAATAGTTATGGGAATATATGCAAAACATAAACCATCAAGTCATCAAATTAACGCCCATCCTATCCCAGGCTCATGACCCAACCCAGCGGGGAAGAGTCGTGCCGTGAACCGAAAAAAGAAAAAAAAAAAAAAAAAAAAGAAGAACAACCCAGCGCTTTTTTATGTCTTATAATGTAATATCCATCGTGTCGTCTCCTGCATCCAGCGCATGTTGCATCTCAGGATCGGGCACCACCACCCCTCGTCCCCTACCGGCCAGCAGTTCACGTCTCACCTCGGGTCCAATGTCCTTGTGTCCACGAACCAGCAACAAGTCCAGCAGTGCCTCGCGCTGATCTTCGGTGATATCGTTGCGGTACCGTTGGGCAAAGACCAACAGCGACTGATGCCACAGAACGGGGAGCTTATAAGCTTTGCTCGCGGATGGTCCATCGGTCATCATTTCTTCAGAGGGGTCGCTAGCACGGAATCGGAGGAAGTGGAAGACAAGAGCGTCGATCACTTTGTACGGAAGCGCATATTTCTTCTCCAAGAAAATGCGGATGAAGACGTTAACTGCACCGGTGCTCTCTAGCGACCTCATGGACTGCTCGGCGGCCAGGTCGCACAGGCGGAGCAGAGCTGCAGCGGAGTGCAGAACCGGGATGGAGACACGTGCGATGACCGAAGACACAATGTGGGCTTCCCGCAAGGTGCAGGTGCCCGCAGAGACGAGGGGGAACAGGAACCCCTTGAAGAAACACGCAGGTTTATAGAGCGCCTTCTTCAACGCATTGTAGGTATGGACATTAAGCTTCTTGTGCTCGTAGATTTCTTCGCGGACACGGTCCAGCAACACAGTGGAGATAAACTCCTGTGCAACGGCTGGCTTCGATGAAATGAAGATTCTTGTGCCGGCGTAAACAGCGTTGGCGGTCCAGGACTCCGGGCGGGTGATGGAAAGGAGGGTTGGCCAGTTAGGAACGGAAGGAAGAATCTTGAATGGTTTCGGGAGAGGACCAGATTTATAGCGAGAGAGGATCATACCGACTCTGGTTTGAATTAGGATCTGAGGGGAACATCGTAGGCCTCTTGAGCATGACAAGGATACTCACTTTTCGTACACCTCAACGGCCTTGGCTGGGATTTGAACAGCATCCTCGGGCAATCCACCACCTTGGATTATCGGTCCTGTATGTCCAGCCTGTTTGGCTTCGTGCTCCGCAATCTTTTCCAAAATGAGGTCTGCTAAATTGGTGGTTTGGCCGCTGGCCTCGGGTCCGCTAGGATTGAAGATCGGGTCCTCATCGCCTCGAGGAACGAACTTGTGGAACATATCAAGATCATTGGGGTCGACCTCCTGCTTAGGGTATTAGAGCTGTACTCAAATCAATGCATATGATTACCGCGTGCAGTATTTGCGACATACCACTTCCTCGATTTCCTCCTCATCATCCCACTGTTCCTCATTGAACTTTCCATCGTCATCGGAGAAAACGTCTTCATCATCAAATCGAGATTCAAAATCGAATGCGGTGTTCACTTTCTCTCCTGCTCCTCCCAGAGCCGCTTTTCGCTCCTCGGCTTCCTCATCGGCCAATTCCTGCCCAATCTGCAGAATCTTGCGGGAGGTTTTCGCATCCACGAAGCGTTCCCCCTCTTCCTGATCATCCCCTGACTTCGACTTGCGCTTATTCTTGTTGCTGGGTTGTGTTCGTAGGTGGCCTCCAGTCAAAAGATCCTCAGCAAGAGGATTGTGCCGGCGGGCAGCGGCCGCAGCGCGAGAGGACGTAGCTTTTGGCATTTTTAGGGGTTGTTCTTGCGACACAGCTGCTTGGGCTTATAATCGGGACTAGCAGGGTGTCGGCCTCTTCCTTTCTTCACAGATACACCAAGATAACCTGCCCACCAAAGACAAAACTGGAGCGATCAAGCCTCTTGTCCTGATGGGATCCGCAAAATGTGTGTAAATTTGTAGGTCATGTGACAGATAATTTTGTGGTCAACTTTTTTTTTTTTTTTTTTTGCGAGGGCTAAACTCACCGCCTTTTTTATCAATTCACCGCCCTAAGAACCCCGCCTATCCTCGCCGTCAATCAAACAAACACAGCGTTTTTTCTGCCAGAAGTATATCCCCTGACCGCCCTGGGATCGCGCTTCTCTACGCCAGCCTTTCTTCCTCCCCGTTCATCTTGCACGCGATGATGAGCAGATACTGGTGGTTTTCTCTTTTCTTCACCTGAGGATTATGATTCAATCGAATTTCTTCTAATTGGACAAGGGTCTTATATTTATTGGGATTTTCCAGCACTCTCCTGCTGCAGAAGCCTTACATTAGAAGCACATGTGGAAGCAGTCGGAGCTTCCAGCACCACCTGGCTAACGTGCTCCAGTAAGTAAAATAGGCCGTCATTTCATGTCTGTCCTCTCTGGCACTGGATATGATGATGCTTTATATATGATCCTAGCAGTTACCGTCTTTTACCCCTTTTCTTTCCCTACTCATTCGAGGTGTATTTTTCTTCTGGAAGCCAAGGATGCTGGATCGCTAACAGTATATGCTTTATGCTTGCTTACAGACTCCGTTCATATTTCAATTACTATTACAGGATTATCTCCCTTAACTCCAATCTATTCGAATACCGTGGCATCGACTTCCTGCGCCATCAACGTGGACCGCGTGAAACCCTATATGCGCCTTCTCTCTCTCTCTCTCTCGTGATACCTAGCTACTCTGCCAGTCTTTACGGTTACTACAGAACTGAGACTATCTGATACGGTGTGAACAGCTCATTCTGTGTTGCAGAAATTGGCCTCTCAAGGAAGATTATCCCAACAGACTTCGAGCATCGGACTGTTTTTACCCTAATTTTACATAATGGCGTCTGCTCAGGCTCCAGGCTCCTCTGCGCCGTCTTCCAACATCAACTCCCCAATCCTGCCTCCTGGAACTGCTGCTTTCTTCAATGGACCCTTATCAGATGGCAATGCAAGATCATCTCCAGCACCACTAAGCACAACGTCGGCCCAGGATGGCGTGAGGTCGAAGCGCAACAAACGCGACAGTCGAAAGAAGCGAGAGGCCAAGGGGTTAGATCAGGAGAGCCTGCCACCAAAGAAGAAGTCGGTTGTCGTGCATAATACTGCAGTTGCAAGCTCAGACCTGACCATCCTAAGGCCGCTTCTACTTGCGGAGACACGGGCATCGGATCGCTTACCACCTCAACCACGTCAACTGAACTTTGCCGTCCGCAAAATGTCCGGTGTTATCGGCCAGAGTTGGGATTTTTATGAAGTAGTCGATAAACTTACAAATAAGAATGGCTTCCGCTACAGCTATGCGATCGCCGACCCGGGGTTTCCACACATTAAATACCGCCAGACCGATGTCCCTCCTTACCATGCTCGCTTTAGTTTCGAAGATTCCCCGGCTGCTATACTTTTCGACAAGGAAGCTTTGGCGGTCACAACCACTGAACCATGGCATACTGCGCGGGCTAATGTTTGTGCGCGTGAAGGGACCTACTACTATGAGGCTCGGATCATAAGTGGCATTATGAGTGAATCGGAAACAGTATCATCCACCGGGAATTCGTCACCACCGGCAAGGGGTCACGTACGCCTTGGGTTTGCTCGCCGAGAGGCAGACCTGGATGTCAATGTTGGAGTTGACTGCTACGGCTACGGAATCCGTGACGTTAACGGTGAAGTTGTCAACCGCATGCGCTGCGAATACTTCTTCCCCAAAGGCGAATCAATTCGGGAAGGAGATGTCATCGGGATGCTCATCACCCTTCCACCCCTGTCCCTCCACAAGAAAGTTGTTGAAGGAAGCTACGAGCTGGGATCCGACGGCGACGACACGCCATCCACTTCCGAACCACCTTTTGCCACCAATATTATCCGCGACCGCATTCCGTTCCACTACAAATCCGACTTTTGTTGGCAACAATCCAACGTATTCTCCACCAAACAGCTACGGGATTACGCTTTCAATCTCAAAGAAACACCCACATTTGGACCCCCCTCGCCATTAAACGGCGAAGACGCATCCTTGCGCACTCTCCCGCACTCAAGCATCACAATATACAAGAATGGAGTGAAAATGGGCACCCCGTTCAAGGAACTATACGCCTTCCTCGCCCCCGCAAGTCGACTTGCGAACGGAACCAATAATCTGGGCATCGGTGAGCGCGAGAACGCCGACGACGGCTTAATTGGCTACTACCCAGCCGTCAGCTGCTACGGCGGCGGCGCCGTTGAATGTCGCTTCGAGGGCCCCTGGTGGATCGGTCCGCCCTCGCATACGGAAACCGGGGACCCCATCGTCGGGATCGGCGAGCGCTTCAACGAGCAGATCGCCGAGGACATTGTCGCGGACATCGTCGACGAAGTCGAGGCAATGTTTGTCTGGGGTGGTGTCGACGGCGACGTGGTCGGGAACACGGAGATGGATGGCCCAGGCCCAGGCCCAGGAGCAGTCGGAGGCTCCGAGGTACTCAAGGGTGGCGGTGTTGGCGTCGCATATGAGTCGTCGACCCTGGCGCCGAATGGTCCTGGAATCGGCTCTGGACCCGCCGCCGAGAATACTAGTACTGGCGGAGCTGATACTCTCGGCGGCGCGGGCCGGACTTCGTTTGAAGATGCCATGATGAGTGTAGGCGCGACGAGCACGCCGAATGCAGAGGCATCTGCTGCTGCGGAACCAGAAGATACGGTCATGGATGGGGTTTAAGCGTTATAAATGTATGTTATACGAGGTATTAATATCGTTCAGCTGTTGTGCTGGCTTTCATGTATATCAAGGACTATTGTATCACACACACACATAGAGAGAGAGAGAGAGAGAGACTGTATTCATCTAGTCTTTTATACGGCTAATTATACATACAATATACTAGTAATAGTTACATGGCCCATCTGGTTCTTTTTTTTTTTTTTTTCTTTTATCACCACAGACAAGCGGCCAAGTCAGGATTATTCCCCCTTTCCAGCGCCAGATTAAATAAAGGGAAACGGTGTATGTAGGTATTGATACAAAAAAAAAAAAAAAAAAAAAAAAAAACCCCCCCAAAAAATGTCATAGAATACATGCTTTACATCTTACATCCCTCTAAAAGTTCTCCTACTTTGAGCACGAGCTCGTCATCTCCGTACTGGCCGACGATTTGCACACCGGTCAGATCTTCGTTATCCTTGGCCTCGCGGCCGTGATTTCCAGGAACTGGGATTGATATCGCGGGGAGGCCAGCCAGGCTCGCAGGCACAGTGAAAACATCGTTGACGTAGGCATCCAGCGGTGACTTTGTCCGGCTGGCGTGTGTGAGATCCGATATGGTCGGTGGGGGAGACGGGGCAGTCGGGCAGATGAGGACATCTACGCCAGGTTGTTTGGCTCTTCGTTCTACGTCCAAGGTCTGCCGTGATAAGGGGTGCTCTGCTCGGAAAACGGCATTGAAGTCCTGTTGGACGAGACGTCGGATGCGCTGGGCCTGGAGAAAATAATTATCGATGGCTTGGGCACTCAGACTAAATGCACCCAAAAGGATTCGTCTCTGGACTTCTGCGCCAAATCCCTCGCCCCTTGTGTTGGCGTACAGATATCTTTCCGGGCCACTATCCCCCCCGCCTGCACTGCCGGAACCTTCAGAGCGGGTTCCATATCTGACGCCGTCGTATTTGGCGAGGTTCGACGAGGCCTCTGCTGGGGCCAGAATATAGTATGCTGACAGGGCCAGCTTTGTCATCGGAAGGGAGATTGGTTGAATGCTGTGCCCTTGCTCGCGCATGTACTCTAGCGATCGGTGCCAAGCGCGTCGAACCGAGGGAGTCAGCTCGGAGATGTTATATTCAACCGGCACGCCGATTCTGAGAGGCGACGATGTCGAGCGCGAGGCGAGGTGGGGCGGCGATGATATTCGGGATCGAGATGAGGGGGAAAGACTCGTCGGATCGCGTGGGTCATGGTGGTTGAGGATGTCTGCGTCCCAAGCGTGGATTAGCGACGGATGCGCGCGTAGGGGTTATTATATTAGATCATCAAGAGAAGGCATACTGAAGACATCCCCGACTGTGGACGTTGTTTTTGCGAGAATCCCGACAGTGTCCAGGGAGTTTGCATAAGCAACTACCCCCCACCTCGAGATTAATCCGTACGAGGGTTTAAAGCCAACGACCCCAGTGTACGCAGCAGGGAGTCGGATAGAACCGCCCGTATCGGTCCCCAGTGCCCTGACCAATGTGTATTAGCAACCTGAGTCCGAAGTCGAGTATGTAGGGGACGCCATACACATAGCATTGGTCGGTAGCAACGGCCACAGCACTTCCACCAGAACTCCCACCGGCGGAAAGATGATCTAAATCGGCCTGGCGCCGTGCACTTTTCACAGGTCCGAATCGCGAATGAGTAGAATGAGATCCCATTCCAAATTCATCGAGATTGGTCTTTCCAGCCACGACCCCCCCGGCATCTTCCAACTGTCGAACCACTGTCGCGTTGAATGGACTCGTGAAGGTCTCGAGAGATTTTGAAGCGCATGTTGTGGGAAAATCACGGGTGCATATGTTATCTTTGAGAGCAATCAATCGGCCGTCTATTTTTGATTTCGATTTCCCTGTTGAACAGAAACAAAAAGCAGTTAATTATGTAGATATTGGAGCTTGGAATAGTTGAGATTATTCCGTACCCTGATTTCTGCGGAGGTCCGCATCCTGGACCTTCTCTTGCCATTTCCCCACGTCGCGGCGTAACGGGGCTATGAAAGCATTTAGAGCAAGATGGGAGCTCTGGTTAGCGATATATCTCTCTGCTTCGAGCAAGAGGGACATTTAGGCCGCTTGGGGGGTGGATTGGCGAAAGCTGCAGGGTGACTAGAGGAGGAGGAGCGGTTATCTTCTTTTTGTCGGGCCGAGGAATAATAATATACATACATATGTAATCATGAGAAAACGTTCCGCCGACGACGTCATCCGTGCTTTGCTTCCTTCTCACGAACTAACCCCCCTACCTCTTACACAAGATCATCAGTCGATATGTTCTCCCGCTGTGTCGCTCGATCCGCGGTCGGGTCTACGCCGTTTCAGACCTCCGTGGTGAAATCCCGCATCATTTCGCATCATCTGTCCTCGGTTACGACTACGCGTCAATGTTGGGGTCCGATTTCGAATCCGTGGGTTGATGGTCGGAGATATATTTCTGTCTATGGGTACACACAGGCAAAGGCCCTCGTGTATTCGCGTTACGGAGAGCCACAGGATGTTTTACAGTACGGGAGTCCCCCCGGTCCGCGCGTACAGAAAGCCAAGGGAGACAAGCTCATAACGGATCTGATTCTAGGCTTCACAAACATTCGATCTCCGCCCCCAATGGGTCTCAGGTTAATCTCCGTCTGCTCGCGGCGCCTATGAACCCTGCCGATATCAACCAGATCCAGGGAGTGTATCCGAGCAAACCGACCTTCCAGACAACCATTGGCACGCAGGATCCGTCCGCGATTGGTGGAAATGAGGGCGCATTCGAAGTTATCGCCACAGGCCCTGGGGTTCAGGGTCTGGCTCAGGGGGACTGGGTCATTATGAAACGAACGGGCCAGGGTACTTGGCGCACCCATGCCCAGCTGGACGAGTCCCAGTTGATTAAGATCGAGAATAAAGAGGGCTTGACGCCCCTGCAAGTCAGCACCGTCAGCGTAAATCCCGTCACGGCTTACCGGATGATGAAGGACTTTTGTGACTGGGACTGGCTGCGTACTGGCGAGGAGTGGCTCATCCAGAATGGAGCGAACAGCGGCGTGGGACGTGCCGCGATCCAGCTGGGACGGGAATGGGGTATCAAGACGCTCAACGTGGTGCGGGAGAGAAAGACCCCCGAGGAGACCGAGGCCTTGAAGCAGGAGCTCAAAGACCTGGGTGCGACTGCAGTGGTCACCGAGGCGGAGCTGCTTTCCCGCGACTTCCGGAATATGGTCCACGAACTCACCAGGCAGGGTAAGGAGCCGATTAGACTGGCGTTGAACTGTGTGGGGGGGAAGAATGCGACGGCTCTGGCGAAAGCCCTCGCCCCTGGCTCCCATATGGTCACTTACGGCGCCATGTCAAAGCAGCCCGTTGCGTTGCCGTCTGGCCTGTTGATCTTTAAGAACCTCGTGTTTGACGGCTTCTGGGTGAGCAGATGGGGGGACAAGAACCCCCAACTGAAGCAAAACACCATCAGTGACGTCCTCGAATTGACCCGCGCAGGTAAATTCAAGGATATCCCTGTCGATGAGATCAAATGGAGTTGGAATACTGAAGCTCCCGAGCTCATTGCCGCTGTGCAGGAGACCCTGACGGGATACCGTAGTGGGAAGGGTCTGCTCACGTTTGAAGGCGATGATTAAGAGTTGTTCCTACCTGAAAGTGTATTATGCAAATTAATAGCAGAATCACGGGGATGAAAATTCAGCGGGTTGTCTGTCTACAAGGGAATAATAATATATCTAATTGTATGGGTATCTGTCCGAGGTGGGCGATTCGCGATCCAAACGCCATAGTATATGGTTAAAAAAAAGGGGAGAAGGGGGGGGGGGGGGGGGGGGGTTGGGACACCAGATGTAATGATGGAATACATGTTTTGATCATGCGTCGCAGCTCCAGTTATTCTTCACCCAGTCTACAATGAGATCCGTTAAGGTCGTGGACGGCATGTAGATGTCGCTATCCCGAGCGAAATCAACATCCAGTCGAACGAATTTGGCAGCTAGGGACACGTAAGACTCTATAAAATCAACGTAGACCAGGTCTACTGTTGGAGGCGCTACGGATTGCTCATGTCCGATAAGAGGGCTGATGCAATTTGGGACCTGATAGAAGGATATTGGCGAATGAATGGTATCATCGCCATCCATGCCCAAGTCATCAATAGTGGTGTATCCGGGCACCACCTTAGGCTCCGAGAGATCGTCACCGAAAATTGGATCCTGGGTAGTAAGGTATGTTTCGATCATGGACGTGTGATGGTTCCCCACCTGGCCCATGCCGAGGCCCTGTTGATATGCAGCTTGCTCAGGCGAAGCAAGCGTCCAAATCGGCGACGCGCCTGCCTCTGCCTTGGCTGCCAAAATCTGCGGCTGTTTATTCAACACCTCGACAATCAATTGCGCTTGGTCATACGGAACGTCCTTCACATAGCGGAAACCACTCGTAAAGGGAGATACTATGTATGCCGAGTCCCTGGTGAATGGTCCCTTGAACAGATCAAAGCGCAGGGCACCGGTGTTTACGATAGCGACAGCGGGCTTTCCCAACCTGGCACTATCTTTCAACTGGTCCGGAAGCACTTGGGTCTCCAGTAAAGTGTATATGCTATTTTCGCTGGTGTGGGGGACACGAGACATCCAGAAAGTTTGCGGAACACATCCGTAGACTTCGTCGAGCTTGAGGGCATTTCTAGATTGCTGAATAAGGTGAGATACGTTGCGGCCATTCTCCGTAGGGAATGTCTCGTTATCAAGACCAGTGTGGTGGTAGAAGGAAAAGAGATTGTTTTCAATATACTTCCGGTTGAAGGTGGGAGCCGTGGACGCGGGCTCTACTTGTCCGGCCCCAACAGGCAAACCATCAATGGACATGAATCCGATGGTTTCCATAAAACGCCCGCTGGCCAGGCCGTATGCGCTAGAATCGTACCGGGCAGCGTCGCGGATGTGGTAGTGACCACCAAAGAATGCGATTGGCTTGTCCTCATGGAAAGCCCTGATAGCTTTGAAGATGGCGTCGCTTTCTTTGGAATGAACCGGAACATGTCCAAACACCACGAACAGGTCTACTTCCTCGTCCCTGACAGCTTCCTGGAACCAATTTTCGGTGACCGTTTGCTCTACCGGCTGGACGACGGTATTGTTATAGTTCTTGGTGAAGTCAAAAAGGAAACCAAACGCCACTATGCGAATCCCCTGGTTCTTCGTGGTGAATTTCTTAAACCGTGGAGCCAAGGGCACCAGTTCTCCGGTCGTGGGATGAAAGATGTCGATATTGGACGCGAGGTAGTGGCCGCTGAAGTTGGGCACGGTATTCAGAAACTCCGCCTCTGCCGTGTGCTTTTTGTACAGCTCATGATTTCCGGAGCACAGGAGGTCGATGTGTTGTTGTCGCAAGATTTCCGAGACGTAGACGCCTTGAGGGTTTGATGAGTCGTACAGACCGTTTCCTTCTACCCGGTCGCCCGTATCAATCACCAAGAGATCCCAGCCATGGGCGTCAGCCTTCTCACGCATCCGGGTTGCAAATGAGACGTAATCACCCCAATCGGCGGAATAAGAAGGTCTACCATAGAGTTAATTAGCGTATAGTTTTCTCAGCTCATCGATATCATAGAGACAACATACTCCTGCAGATGACCCGCCAGCCAGCCATGAGTATCCGTAGTATGAAGAAAATTAAGCTGACCCCATTTCAAATCGCGTAACGGGACTGCGATGGGATCTGGAGCTGAAGGTTGGACGGCTTGAACGGTGGAGAAGGCAGAGAGGAGAGCGAGGAGGACGAGGGTCGAATTCATGATGTTTGTTGACCAGCAACGATATCGGCAGCAAAAAGCTAGTTTTCAGAGGCCAGTAACGGGAAAAGCATTCTATCAAAGCTGATCTCGACTAAAATAACCAGGAAGCTATACAAATGGGCATCGGAGGAGGGATTCCCGCGGGAATCTCCGCGATCAGAGAGTGTCAGAAGAAGGATCCGGTGAAGCAGTGCTTAGTCATCCCGATCCCAACACTCTCTCGACAGGAACTCACCAAAAAATCGCATCTCCGAACGAGTCTGGGATTCTCTTTTCTGTGAATTTGGCAGCGGAGTCATTTGCGAACATCACTCTTGATCCTCTTGGTATTTTCTACAGCGTGGCCATGGCGTCTCCCCGACTTTTCCGACCCGCAGCTCGTCTGCTTTCTTCGCGCCTGTCTGCGACCCCCATCCGTCCTGCCTTTTCTCAGCCCTGCACACCTTCGATTCTGCGCTTTCGGGGATATGCGACCGAGAACGGTACCAAGGAGGTCACTGTCCGTGATGCTCTGAACGAGGCTCTCGCGGAGGAGCTGGAGAGCAACCCCAAGACCTTTCTCCTGGGTGAGGAGGTTGCGCAGTACAATGGAGCGTAAGGCTTCCCTTCTCGAACAACTGAATCATCATTTCTGGCTGTATCGCGGTGTTAATTATCGCGTGTGTGAAATAGTTACAAAGTCACTCGAGGTCTTTTGGATCGCTTTGGCTCCAAGAGGGTGATTGACACCCCCATTACGGAAGCAGGATTTTGCGGGTTGGCAGTTGGTGCCGCTCTGGCTGGATTGCACCCCATTGTGAGTCTCAAGAGTTAAATACAGAAATTCCTTTACCAAAAATAAGCAGGTGAAAGGAGTGCTGACCAATTGATCTCCAAATAGTGCGAATTCATGACCTTCAACTTCGCCATGCAGGCTATTGATCATGTTATCAACTCTGCCGCCAGAACACACTACATGTCTGGAGGTATCCAGCCTTGTAACATCACCTTCCGTGGTCCTAATGGATTCGCAGCTGGTGTTGCCGCTCAGCACTCCCAGGACTTCTCTGCCTGGTACGGTAGCATTCCCGGTCTGAAGGTCGTTAGCCCTTGGAGTGCTGAGGATGCCAAGGGTCTGTTGAAGGCCGCCATTCGCGACCCTAACCCCGTCGTTTTTCTGGAGAACGAGTACGTATCACATCGAGACCCTTTTTGGGGGGGGGGGGGGGGTTTGAGATTCTTCCTGGACTGGACTAATATCGGATAGACTTATGTACGGCCAGACTTTCCCCATGAGCGAGGCTGCTCAGAAGGATGATTTTGTCCTTCCTCTCGGCAAGGCTAAGATCGAACGCCCCGGAAAGGACCTGACGATTGTCACTCTCTCGCGCTGCGTTGGACTGTCTCTCAACGCTGCTGCTGAGCTGAAGCAGAAGTACGGTGTGGAGGCTGAGGTTATCAACCTCCGCTCCATCAAGCCTCTTGATGTCGAGACCATCATCCAGTCTCTCAAGAAGACTGGCCGCCTGATGTGTGTTGAGTCCGGCTACCCTATGTTTGGCATTTCTTCCGAGATTCTCGCTCTGGCGATGGAGTACGGCTTTGATTATCTGACTGCTCCTGCGGTCCGCGTTACTGGTGCTGAGGTGCCCACCCCTTACGCCCACGGACTGGAGTTGATGAGCTTCCCCCAGGAGGATACTATTGTCAGCCAGGCTGCCAAGCTACTGCGATTGTAAATTTGCTGTTTGTGAGTAGGTAGTTACAAGGGGGTGTTGGGACAGATTTTGAGATGTAATACACCCGACCACACGCAGTACCCTTTTTTTTTTGTTGCCTGCTGTCCTCTTTTTTTTCCCCCCCCGTTCCCGTTTTTAACAGATTTTTCTCGATTCTGTACGATTATACTCAAAGCATCATCAACCTTAGACCAAAAATCCGGAGCACGTTACCAGTCAAGTCTATGCTCGTCTTTCCAGCCATATCTCACTGGCGTTGGTTGTGGGATGATAACTCCAAAAAATATATATTCAATAAAAATACAATTAAAAATCAAAGCCCGAATCGCGTATTATTCGTTAAATAAATAAAAAAAAAAAAAATTGGTCATACTTAATTCGTCCGCATAGGTTTATACAATCCTCAGAAATAAAGAGAAAACAAGCGCCATTTGAGCACACCGATATAACGCCCTTAAGTGTACAGCTCCCATCCATCCCATCAAATCGGTCGTCCCTAATATCCGACCTCGGAGTTTGGATCACGCCGTAGAAGCCTGCACGCCTGCACAGCCAGGAAAGCAGTCGGTCGGTTTTCGAGGATCATAGTATCCCCCACCGACGGTCTCAGCCAGGTACTCTTCTTCGGTGTCGCTTTCGGCCTGGTCTTCCTGCACGGGATGCGAGGGCTGAGCGGCGGCGGCATTAGTCGTATCCTCGCCGTTGATCCCCTCGTCGCCGTCGTTATCGTCGTCGTCGTCGTCGTCTCCGAGCACATTCTTCTTCGTCGGCGCTGCCGCAGAAACCGGACCCTTCACTTTGGTAAAAGAGCTTTTGAACCCTCCCTTCTTGAAGCCCCCGCCGCCGCCGCCACCACCGGTACTGCTACTGGTAGCACCACCGGTACTATTATTTCCGGGTCCTGCGCCGGAGAAGGCCTTGCCTGTATCGAGAACTCTTAGTCCGGCTTCGGCATCGGCCTTTCTCTCCGCCCGTCGTGCTTTCTCGGCTGCATTGGGGTCGCGCGATAACTGCTTGAGATCCTGCAGGCGTTTGCGGTGTTGGTGGTCGTAGGATGAAATGTGGGCTTCGTATTCCGGGTGTCGGGAGTAGGATTTATTGCACAGAGTGCAGGTGAAGGAGCTGAGAGCTGAGCGTGCCGATTCGGTCTATCGTGCAATCAGTGGGTTGGTTTCGCATGAGCGACAGGAGGGAGGGAGGGAGGGGGAATTTGTATCGCACCTTCGGAGCTGGGTTTGCAAATCCTCGCTGTGAGGGTCAAATGGCCCAGTAAGCGACCGGCCGGGGGGGGGGACAGACTGTATTTCGGAGGTGGTGAGAGAAGACTTACCGGCGCCATGTCAGCTCACCAGGAAATCAACCTTGAAAATTGAAGGCGCAAGTTCCAAGTGGAATGATTAGCTTAAATCTGGCAAAAGCGCTGAACGAAGCCTGGCTTGATGGAATATAGCCCAACTGTTTCCCGCAAAGCCAATCAGGGCGTCGAAAGGAAGATGACGATCGAAATAAAAAAAAGAATCCAAGACTTGTTGGGACAAAGATCCGAACTGGACTCGAATTTGCAGGTTCTTTAGCTGTTGGGTAGAGGAGTTAAAAACTCATTTTGAGGCCGAATTAATTGATATAGTTACATACCACGCGACAGTGCCAAAACTTTGCTTTCCAATTGATTTTACTTTTTATTTTTCAATCATGCAGTAACCTCATAGATTTCATACTTTCTGAATATCTGGTTGTTGATCCAAAATTCCCTTCCATCTCGCAATGGCTTCTCTCCCAACGCGAGATGAGATTGACACCAAATCCATCCTCTCTATGCAAGAGCTGGATCCCTCTCCCGTGGCTGAGACATTCCCTGACATAGAACCGGGCGATTACCAGCAGAAACTACAGCCCAAGCCCGAATCGCCGCCGAATAGCTGGGGAGAACGATTTGCGGCGGTTAAATTGGGTCTCCGTGGGCAAAACTGGGACTCCTGGCGTAAGTTGACCCCAGGACTGACTTCACACTTGTGTTGTATAACTAGTTGTTGACCACAGCGGCCAATCCATTCTAGTATCCGCCCTCCAACGATACTCAACTTACCCTCCCAGCTTGTTCGTTGCGCTCCATTTCGCCAATACCTCCCTCATCCCACTGGCGACGCGATCCGTCCCCGAAAGCGAAACGTATCTCCTCCTGACACGACCCATCTACCAGTCTCCCTCCCTCGAACATGCCATCTTGACTCTCCCCGTCCTGGTCCACATCGCCTCCGGAATATGTCTCCGCAATATTCGGTCGTCGCGGCGAGCTCGCCTGTACGGGGCTGAGACCCGCACCCAACGATCGGCCCTGACTTTCTGGCCGCGGATGAGTTTGCAGGCTCGTCTCGGATACGTCTTCACCCCATTACTCGGCACCCATGTCCTCGTCAATCGGGTTGCGCCGCTGATGGTCGACGGGGGCAGTTCGGGGATCGGTCTGGGATATGTGGCGCATGGGATCGCGCGCAGTCCCGTTTTCTGGAACATCTACTACCTCGTTTTTGTCACTGTCGGCGTGTGGCACGTTGTTGGCGGGCTGGCTTCGTGGATGGGGTGGAGGGTCACCACGGCGCAGAAGACGCGCGGCAGCAAAAAGGGCTCCCTCGAAGGCTACCTGGGCTATGGCGAAAGTGATCAGCACATCAAGCGGCGCCGGAGAATGTGGTGGACTGTCAATGGGATTGCTGCGCTGGGGGCTTCTCTCTGGCTTGCTGGCGCGCTTGGAGTGGTTGGACGTGCTGGGCTCGGTTCAGGCTGGGAGGCAACCAACTGGAATAACATCTACAGCCAGGTGCCTGCCATTGGGAGCTGGCTCTGAGACAATATTTGATATTGAACTCGACCGTTTGGACCCTGCGAATTTCCTGTGTGCGGTTAGTTTTGACTCTTTTTCATCATCGGCCCAGATCAGACCTGTCCCTTCATGTGGTTTAACAAGCAACCAGCAGACTCTTTTCAAATCCCTTTTTACCTTTAATGCCGCGCCTCCGAACATAGATAGTCAACCTTTTACAACCAGAATGAATGTGAGGGGACCTGTGAAAATAACACTGAAAATGACCGCTCCTAGGGCCACAAACAGCTGTATTCCCACCTATAATCTAGGATCAGCAGGGTGATAGTACATCCGTAACAATGGCTAGCTGGAGATCCCCTAATTCTGCAGATAGACATAGTACCTAAATTATATCCCTTCTACTTGGGAGTAACCATTGGCCTACATTTCCAGCAGTTGACATTTTCTTGTCTTACAGAAAACCTCCCTACTTCTCATGCAACTATGATAGCAGGACAATAACGTCCTCTTCATTGAATTTTCCCACTCATCCAGTGAGCCAGCCTCTCTGGTAACATAGCACATGCTCACATTATTACGATCAAATCATATATTTCCCTCCTCTAATCTTGCGCAATGTCTCAGCAGCTTCATATATCAGGTGCGTTCCAGCAGGAAACAAGCGAGAAACCGGCTGGTTCATAGATAATAGAAAGCTTCAGCGTCATCCTTCAAATCATCAAGATGATCTTTCGTTATTATAGTTGTAAAGCTAACCTGTTGACTTTCCAGGCTGGGACCAAGACTAGTAAAGTACCTACAGAATAAAGGAAATTGACTAATGCTGCTATCCCTCCAGGATGCCCATCTGTGAGCTCGTCTAAGTAGCTCATGCGCTCATCGCTATTGTGGACTTTTATATCCATGTGTAGTCACAAGTGACATGGTCTCATCAATAAGGATTCTGGTCTTTGGAGCAAAATTCCTCGATACTATATCCACGATACTATATCCAATACTTTGCTGTGGGAGCAAGAAATTGGATGCAGGTATCACTACCAAGAAAGTCTCTAGTAATGTCCATGTCTCAAGAATCATATTGCGAGCGCTGTTCCTAAGGATTATCTTATATCTGACAGACTTTCTTTGGTGCAGAGTCATTCGTGGTGGTGTTGTTGGCAAGGGAAACAAATAAAAGGATAGTGTGACTTCCTAAGTTATAGAGAAATGCGGCATATATAAATAGTGGGGAAAGAGATTAATTCCTGCGTGTTCAAGACTTCAAGTTGATATAAAAGAGAGCATCGAGTCTGGTCTGGCGCTATTCCCATTTAGTTGAGATGTTGGCCTCAGGCCAGAATGAAAAAGAAAGAGAAAAAAAAAAAAGAGTTGATAGTTAGGAGTTAGTTAACTACCTCCCTTTTGAAGCCCTTTTTACACGGCCTTTCGGGCGAAATTATTCCTCTGATGGACATATGAGCTGGGTCCTGAAACTCTCTCGTTTCCCTGCGACTTCTGCCACCTTCAGACCTCTGCCAATTAACCCCCAGGTCTTCGCAGCGCACTTCGAGAAATCCCATCGCTCTCGCCCCGCCTCCGGACAGCATTGCTTAGGACAACCATCGGCGCTACGGACCTTTCACTCGTCGCACATCAAAATGGCGGCTCCTGTTTCTTCCGATCCTGCCGGTCAATTGGTGCAGCATGGTGGTAAGGAATACCACCGCGTCCAGGAAGGACGGGCATACATTTTGAACCCACCAGGTGAAGCTGCAGCGTCCCTTGGGACAAGGAGGGACCTCAAGCCAGATGACGAGTCCCAGACTGTCTTCTATAATCCCATCCAGCAGTTTAATCGGGATTTGAGTGTTCTTGCGATCAGAGCTTACGGAGAGCACGTGCTCGCGCTGAGGAAAGAGAAACTAGAGAAACGCAGACGGAGGGCACAGAGCGGCAAGGGAGGGAGGAATAAGAAGCGCAAGAGAGAGGACGATGATGAAGATACGAAGCAGCAGACGCGTAAAATCGACACCGAGGCTACACGTGTCGTTGAGGGGGAGACTCAACCCCAACCGGCGCCACAACCTCCGGTGGAAGCTGATCCTCCGCATTCGTTCACAATCTTAGATGCGCTGTCCGCGACGGGCCTGCGTGCGCTGCGATACGCCTCTGAGATCCCATTCACCACGCGCGTGGTGGCCAACGACCTCTTAAGCTCCGCGATTCAATCAATGAAAATCAACATCGAGTACAATCAGCTTGAGAAGCTCATTCAGCCTAACAATGGCGATGCCCGTATGTACATGTACAGCCTTCTTAGCCCGGCCGATGCTCGGAAGAATGAATCCAATGTTGGCAAGTTCGACGTGATAGATCTGGACCCTTACGGCACTGCTGCGCCGTTCCTGGACGGAGCTGTCCAAGCTGTCAAGGATGGAGGTCTTCTCTGCGTGACCTGTACTGATGCGGCAGTTTGGGCTTCAAATGGATATCCTGAGAAGGCGTTCGCACTATATGGAGGTGTACCGGCTAAGGGAACCCATTCCCATGAGGCTGGCTTGCGCCTGATCCTGAACAGTCTGGCCACATCCGCAGCTAAATACGGTTGCGCAATTGAGCCCCTCTTATCTCTATCAATCGACTTCTATGCGCGTGTCTTCGTCCGTCTTCACCGATCTCCAGCGGAAACCAAGTTTATCTCAGGCAACACCATGCTCGTTTACAACTGTGACTCTGGCTGCGGGGCTTGGACGACGCAGCCCTTGACTCAGACAAAGCAGCGACTAGACAAGAAGGGCAACCCGTTTTACCACTATGGATTCGCGCAAGGCCCAACCTCCAACACAAGGTGCGAACACTGCGGGTTCAAAACCCACATTGCTGGTCCGATGTGGGCTGGCCCTCTGCACAACCCTCACTTCGTCCAAAAAGTCCTCGACCTTCTCCCGCAAGTGGATAAGGATACCTACAAAACCACCGACAGAATCGAGGGCATGTTGACCACAGCTCTCGAAGAAGATCTCAGCCCCGAAGTCTCCCCAGAAAACCACCCCACCACCACAAGCGCTCCCGGCGCCGCCAGCGATGCCCTAAAACCAGAAATCGACGAACAATCCTCCTCCTCCGCCTCCTCCTCCTCCTCCTCCTCCGCCATCATCCCACGCATGGACCCCTCCCTCCGAGAACTGCACCCATTCTATTTCAGCCTCAGCCAACTCTCCAAGGTCCTCCACGTATGCACCATCCCCGTCGATGCATTCCGCGGCGCCCTCCTTCACCTAGGATACCAATGCACCCGCAGCCACACCAAACCCTACACAACGCGTACCGACGCCCCCTGGTCCGTGATCTGGGAGATCATGCGCGAATGGGTCCGCCAGAAGGAACCCGCCAAGGAAGCATCCTTGAAACCGGGAACCCCAGGCGCAGGAATCATGGCCGCTAAGCGCAAGAACCAACCATTCAGCAGTGCCGACAACAACGACGCACACCACCTGGCCTCCTTAAAAAGCGACCTTCTCGCCGCCGCCGCCGCCGCCGAAACAGGCAAGGATCTATCGGACCTCGTCACGAAAATCGAAGCTGCGCTGTACCGCTCGGGGGCCCGTCGCCACACAACATCAACAATCGAGTCTGGATCTAATAATAGCCAGGCAACACACCACGAGCAGCCCGATTCCCCGGACCAGAACCAGAATCTCGACCCTGCCAACCAATCCGCACCTCTCCAGGTCGTCTTCGACGAGGCTCTAGGACGCGAGGTGCGTCCCAAGAAACGCCTCGTTAGATATCAGCTTAATCCTCGTGCGAACTGGGGGCCTTTGAACCGCGCTTCTGGAGGGACCTAGTTACCTAGTTGGCTATAGCTTCTTTTTATCCAGATGGAGTGTGCCGATGGATAGAGATGTTTTTAGCAATGCAAAAAGATATGTGTATATATATATTTATACATATAGATAACTCTCTCTCTCTCTCTCTTGCTTATTACGCTGATGAATTGCTTTATATGTAGACTGATAACTTATATATACAAAGGGCGTGTGAGGAAAAAAAGGACGAGGGAAGAATAATAGGATGAGGTAAGTTGCCTATCAGTGTAATATATATTGTTTAATATTTTTATGTCAAGTAAATCAAATTAGGAGAAGTGTGTGGGTAATTTACAGATTTTAACAAGGGGCTAATGTAAAAAACGGGCAAGAGCTGCCTTCATTATAAAATCTCAAATAGAAGCTGATCTAACTCGCAGAAGAAATAATAATCTATACTTTGCATACATGGGTTAAAAAAACCTCAATCGTACTGCTCATCAAACATTAAAACTGCGCAACCGCAACCGCCACTGCTTGGGAATCGCTGTGGCTGATGCTGACGCTAACTTGCTTGACGCCAGCCTGACTGGCAGCCTCAGCAGCAGCACCGTGGAGCTAGATACTTAGTTAGCAATCGGCTTCTCTCTCTCTCTCTCTCTCTCCCTCTTTCAGATTTCAGGAAGCGGATAGACTCACCTTCACTACAGGAGCCCCGTTGGCATCACTTTCAATTTCGATGTCCTGGAGAGGAGCTCCGGCACCCTTGCTGCACACACCCAAAGACTTGAAAACTGCCTCCTTGGCACTCCATCTTCCGGCAAATGATGCCTGAGGGCTTGGGGCTTTGCGACAATACTGCTGTTCGTTGGCGGTAAAGTTTCTTTCGATGAAAGTTTCATTCTCAATGTTGATGCTATTGATGGTTTCCACATCAACACCCACTTTCGAGTTTTCGGTGGCATGGGCCTTGGCCAGAGACTCAACCACGGCCTTGGTGGGTTCCGAATCCTTGTCCGCGAGGGCCACAGGCTTAGCGGGGTACTTGAGCTCGGAGGTCTTCTTGTCAACCGTCACACGGTAATCGGGGTTCAAGAAGACCTTGCTCTGAAGGTCATCCTCGTATGGCGCCTTGTCCTTGGCAACGAAAATGCTGTTGTTGATCAACCCGTTGTGGAAGAATCGATAGGCCTTCTTTTGTCTGGTCTCCACCTTCACCTTGTAGGCTTGGAACTGGGCGCGGTCGAGAGTCGCATACAGGTACTTCGGATGAAGACCAATGGCCTGAGTGCCCTTCTGCCCGAATCCGAAGGAGGTAACGGAGAAGGCCTTGATACCATCGGTCTGAATGCTGCGGCTGGGGTAAACGATGTAATCGAACTTCTCCATCACCTTATCCACGTTGTCCGCGTTGCGGTTACCGGGGACCAGGCCGGTCTCCAAGACCTGCAAACATCCGTTGAACATCCAAGCACCGGCGGCACCCTTGGGGTGTCCAGTAAGATATTTCTGGAAAATACCCAACACCGCGTTACCCTTCTTGCGGCCGAGGTGTTTCATTTGCTGGCAAATGACATCGGATTCGTTCTTATCATTGGCAACCGTCGACGTACCATGGAAAGAAGCAACATCAATATCATCAATAGTAAGACCCCAAGTCGCGAGGGCACCACGCAGAGGAGCAATGCGGGAGTCTTGTTTCCAGAAGTTGTTTCCGAGGCTGAATTGAGCATCTTTCTCTTGTCGGGCAGCCTCCCGTCGGATATGCTGGGCGCGTTCCTGCAGGTACTCTGATACATCCGATGCCTCAGAGCTCTGGGCCTTGATAGCCTCGACCTCTTCCTGGAGGTAGAGGAGCTCAGACTCTTGCCATTCTCGGATCTGTTTCTGCCGCAGTTCGAGTTGCCGGCGGCGGTATTTGATGTCCAACAAGGGGGAGGGGAACTTGCCAGGATTCTCCCGGGCAGTAGTAAGAACACCTTGACCGGGGGCAGGCACGGAGCGTCCGATTTTATCGGTGGCGGTGGTGGTCAGGGCGATGATACCGTAAATGGGGACTCCCATATCCAGAGCGAGCTGGGCGCTCATGATCAGTTGCATACCGCATCCCTGGGACTCCATGAAACCCGCACGAGTGGTGGTGGTGGGTCTCGACATCTCTTGGGGAGTACGTCCGTGGGCGAATTCATCTTCAGCATTGCTAGTGGCCTTCATGTTGGCGAATTCGTACGAGCCTTCTTCCTGGAAGCTATCAAAGCCACCAACGAAGCAAACCCGTGCCTTTCCTTCCACAATGGTTTCGTAACCAATGTCAATGGATTCAACGGCCGTAGCGCAGGCACCAACAGGGGTCTTGATGGGGCCGGTGGAGGACAGCAGCAACATGTTGACCCAAGCGCTCATCGTGTTGATGAAGGATTCCTGCAGAATATCCTTCTGGAGCGGCTTGTCCAGGTAACGATCTTTGTACATGCCGCGCAGGGCATTGGTACCTCCAATACCGGAACCGATACAGTTTCCGACCTCGGACAGGTGGACGTACTTATAGAACTCGTAGGGGTCCGTGATACCGGCGGACAGCATAGATTCGGCGGTGCAGACGAGAACGAATAGCGTGACGGGGTCGACCTGCTCGATGATGTCGTCGGGAATACCGTATCTCTTGGCATCCCAGCCCGTGGGGATCTGACCGGCAACGAGACGATCAAACTGAAGGGCCTTGGGGATGAGAAGAGTGGCGCCTTTCCTGAGACGGACGGTAAACTCTCCGGACTCGGGCACTTCAAAGATCTCAACCTTATCCCCATGTTCACGCTTGAATTCTTCCGCGGTTTCCTTGGAGGCCTCAAAGGGTTCAAGATCCTCCTGAATGACCACTTCCTGCAGCAGCTGTTTCTTCTTCGGATCATAGCCCTTGAACAATTCGGGCTCAATAAGTCGAATACCGGAGTGCTCCAGGATGAACTTCTCGTACTTGGGCTTGATATCTTTGTCATCCACTGGCTCGCCGGACTTGGCATCCACCCAGCCGGAGTAAGCCTTGCCTTTGATGGGCCCGTTGTGGTGTTTGATCAGGCCCATAATCCATGCCATCTCCACGCAGCCCTCGAGGGAGAACTTGCCATACGCTTCCATTTCCCAACGAGTGCGGGAGTTACCCCAAGGACCAACTTCGGAGAAACCAGTGACTACAACCACCTTGTCCAGGTTGACCATGCCCTTGAGGTTCTCGTGCAGGGGCTGAACATCCTTTTCCCAGTTGGGGAGGGTGGGGAATTCGAACTTGATATTGGCGCGGGGCTCGGCAATGACCTGCTTGTAAAGCATCTCGCTCGCCTCTCCGTTCACAATCTTATTTTCGATGGCGGTCTCCTTGATGACTGCCTTGCGAACATCGCTGGACTCCATGATCTCCGTGCGAAGCTTCGTCATCAGGTCCTTGAGATCAGGGATGTACTGGAATCCACCATTCAGATCGGCCCACACCGGGTCGAGCTGGCACAGATTAACAATCGCAGGCGCCATCAAGCCAAGAAGGTTAAAGGCCATCTCCTGCTGCGAAAAGGTGCGCACGCCAAGCTTCTCGACCCCTTCCGCAACCATATTATTGCCGCTCATCAAACCCGTACCACGGGTCCAGCCGATGACAGCACCGCAAATGGTGAGGTAGTTGCTCCAGTTTTCAGAGTACCAGCGGTTGAACAGGGTTTCCAACGCCAGCTTCGACTCGGAGTACAGGCCGTCGTTTCCGAAGGTACCATGATTGGGAGAAAGAGGCAGGATAACCTGGGCCGGGCGGGTTTCGAAGCCGTTGGTCTGCTTCTGGGTCTTGATACGACCCAGGAGACGGAGCAAGTTGGTCAGCATGATACGGTGGGCAAGCTCGGATTTCGAGTCAATCGAGTCAATCTCGCGACCATTCTCGGGAATGGCGGCAAATGGGACAACAAAGTCCAAATCCCAGCCCAGCCCCTTCTTTGTATCGTAGATGTAATCGACGAGCGCCTCAACGTCTTGCTTGCTGCCTTGGTTAAAGGGGACAACAACCAGCTGCGAGCCCCGGGCACCGTAGCGGGCATACATGGCCTGGTAGTACTCGGTCACCTCACGCGAGAATCGACTGGTCGTGACGATAACCTTGGCGCCACCGCTGATCAGGCCCTGCAGAACCTCCGCTCCAATAGAACCAGCTCCGGCACCAGTCATCAAAACGTTCTTGCCCTGGAAGGTAAGGCCAGACCGTGCTGCGGACTCCAACACATCCAGGTAGATGCCGGTAAGTTTCTTATTGTAATCCCAGCCGTGCTCGCTCTTCTTCTTGAGATGCAAGAATGGAATGGTTTCCACCTTGCCCACACGGGGGCTGCCATTGCGTTTGACGTTGTTGCGACCCGACTTCTTACCGGCTGTTCCGTTCTCCTGGGGGATGATTTGATTTTCATTCATGCTCAGCGCACGAATGACATCCTTGTAAAGGGCGTTGAATTGCAATTGCGACGACTTGGACAGCCGATGTTGGCGGCGGATCAGTTTGTAAACGCTCTTGAGATCATTCTGCACCTTGGTCCGATTGCTGTATTCGGAGATGGGCCCGCCTTCGGCCATTTGTCGCACATAATGCTCAAGCTTGCGGACACTGGCGCGAGGAGCCTCCTGGTACTCGACGTTTCCACGGTTGTCCACGGTGGTCTGGGGGCCAGTGGGGATAGCTACATCCTTGTAAACAGGAGCAACGCCGAGGACTTCCTTACAGTTCTCGATGAGCTGCTCACCAAGCTCCTTCGCCAGCTGGTAAGTCTCCCCCCGCTCGGTGGGGCAGTTATCAATGTGATATTGCATAAACTCGAGCAGCAGAGGGTTGGACCGGTTCATGATGCGGATACATTGACTGACAATTTCACGGTCCACGACCTTCAATCGTCCGAAAATGATATCGTAGTACATGCTCAGAGCATCTTGGCGCGCCCAGTTCCATGACGAGTCATAGACGCGAGCCTTCAGGGCGTCAAAGGCCGGCTCAATACCGGAGGCATAGATATCGCCATGCTCTGCCTGCCAAAGATCCAGCTGCGCCTGCAAAGTTTGCTGCGTTTCCTGGGAAGTGATAAACGCCTTCTGGCCCGCACGCAGATCCACCTTGAGATACCGGGCAATGAGTTCCAGCTGCTGCTTGAATAAGGCGCGCTGGTCCTTTGTCAGGGCATCGATGGCCGCGGGGTCCATGAGCATTCCTCCCGCCGCGGCTCCACTGTCGCCACCGGCTGCGGGTGCAGACAGATTGATTCCAGCGCTGGCGGCATATTTGTTCACGACGTCATCCAGATAGGCCTTCGCATCGGGTTCGGATCCGATACGGGCCGCCGGTTCCATTGTCAGGGCGAGAAGGAGGACACCATCCTGTCGACCAGGGCCCAACCCCCATCTTGTTTCCAGGTATTTGCGCACCGCAGTGATATTGAACCCTCCCGGCATCTTGGATGACACCAAACGAGCAATGAGCGACGAGGACTGCTTGCCCAATTGGCCATTGAATGTAGCTTGCATAGAGGCACCCAGTTCATCCAGAGGGGTGTCCTCGGGCTTCTCGGGTGTGGAGCCAAATTCCTTGCCCAGATCTCCAAGAATTTCATTTTGCAGGGTGGATTTACCTAGATTGGGAGTGAACCATGTTAGTTTACTGCATGTATCAAGATTGGAAAAAAAAAAAAAAAAAAAAAAAAAAAAAAAAAAAACCATTGGTTCTGTATGTACGTACCTCCAACGAGATCCTTAATAGCCTTGTTCAATGGTACATCAGACAGGGCCTTCTTGAGCTTCTGAGCCACCAGTGTTCTTAAAATATCCAAAGCTGTGACTTGAGCGTCGTCAACAGGAGCGGCAGGTCCAGCACTAGGGGCCGCAGGGGCAGCGGCAACGGCAGCGGCGGCAGCAGGAGCAGCGGCAGCCGGTGTAGCAGAGGCAGCAGGCTGGGCGGGAGCCTCGGGCTCTTCCTCTACAGGATCTACATCATAGTAGATCTCCTTGGCATCTTTATTATAACAGAGAATTTGACGTTGTACGGATGTGGCGGCATCATAGGCTTCGTATTTCGAGGCGAGTGTACGTTTGGCCATGCCACCCAATGTATCTGCTGGACCAATTTCGACAATGCGCTCTGTTCGTTTCTCGGCGAGGATGACATCTTGTGTTTCGATCCACCTTACTGGGGAGGCAAACTGGTAGGCCAGAAGCTCGACCAGCAAGGTGTGAGCCAGCTCTTGTTCAATTTCGGGACGCATGATTGAAGAAGGGACGGGGTATCAGCGGGAACGAAGCCCAATCGCAGGAAGATTCGAGAATAGCTTATGAAGAAGAAAACGGAAGAAGAAAAGACTGGCTCGCGGGGTCTTGGTTCGAGTGATGATTTGGATAGACTAAATGAGCAAGTACCGGTGTAAGTAAAGAACGAGACCTTTTTTTTTTTTTTCTTTTTTTCTTTTTCTTTTTTTTTTTCAGTTGATAGGAATTCAATCTTTCCAAACACAATGGGTTGTTTGACAGTCCCCCAGGGAATAGAAATCATTAAGAGAAAAGGCAAGGATTTACTTACAGAATACTAGAAGAGGGTACAGAAAATTCACTCGGACATGTAGTCAGGAGAGCGTGGTAGGGAGAATTTTGCAATGATCTAATCAAGTATCCAAGAAGAAGAAGAAGAAAAAAAGGGTGGGAATTAGATAAAAAAAAAAAGGATGTAAAAGAGGAGGGAGGAAAGAGAATGGAAGGTGAATGAGAAAGAAGAAAATGTATTACAGGCAAGAGGATCCAAAGTCTTGATAGTGAGGAGTCATTAAGAATGATGGAGATGATGATGTCTGTCTGTCTCTTTTCTCTCTCTGTATTGAACCACACAAGACTGAAATGAAATCTTACGGGTGAGCTTTTGGTGAGTGTTGGGGTAAAAAAAGGTACTACTACTAGTAAACTGTCCCGAAACCCTGTGTGGCACGTTTTGTGTGTTTTCTCCGTTTTTCCTGTTGAGCTGGTAATTTTCAGCTTTTCTGGTACTACTAGTACTTACTAGTGTACTACAGAGTAGTCCTCGAGTATATCTCTAGAGAATATATTATATTATATTATTTTATATATATATATATATATATATATATATATAAAATAGATGAAGAAGATTGAATGGTTAAAATGGCTTGATTTCTCATAAAGCCTACCAGTACCTACACCTGAACTTAGTACTGTAGAAGCTCTAAAAGATATAAGTTTCGGCCGGTACCTGGTATCGGTAATACCATGTATGGAAATACAAGAGATACTTTCTCTTCAATATACAGAGTCGACTAGTAGAACTGCAAGTCTGGAGAGAATATTGGATGGAGAATCAGATGAACAATTGAATAACTAACTTCCTATAATCTCTTTCTTACTTGTCTACTAGAATAAGTTGCCGTCGTACGGTCATATTACAACGGTCCAGCCCAACCATTTCCGACCTTTGGGGAGATCGCACGATGCACTAGACCAAATCAAGCCCGGTTTTATTCAACCGGCCGAAATGTATGGGATTTTCTCTTCCATCCAACTGGTTCAACATCTTCAACTTTATATCGTCTTGGAAGAGGTTCAATTCTTCTGGTCGAGATTCCATTCCATCCATCCATCCATCTCCATCTCCAATTCTCTTTCATCTCTTTTCTTCTTCTCCCCTTCCTGTATCTTTCTTGTCTACCCTTTTTTTTTTTTTTTTTCCCTCGTATACCACTTTTGAAACATCCCTCTTCCTCTTCTTCCCCTCCACAACATCATTACTGAATCTCATGTCAGTCTATTGATTGCCGGAATAAATACTTTTTATTTTAATAATAGGTATGATCTTAACTGGAACTGTCTTTTCCTTGCGGGTCCCCCCATTCCATACGTGTATATATATCAACCCTGGGAGAGCAGATACCCATTCTATCATACCCTCTTTTCTCTTCTTTCTTTTCTTTCTTTCCTTTTCTTTTCCTACCTACTAATATATATATCCTCTTAGAATCCCTTAGCAATCTCTCTCTCTCTCTCTCTCTCTCCCTCTCCCTCCTCCGATTGCAATTCCTATAACCGTCCTCGGGAAGGAAAAAGAAAAAGAAAAATTTTTTTTTTTTATAGAAATAGACTACGAGACTACGAGAAGATGTACGGAACTTCAACAGGCCCTCAGACGGGCATTAATACCCCTCGCTCATCGCAGTCCTTGAGACCTCTTATCCTGACTCACGGCTCCCTCGAATTCTCTTTCCTGGTGCCTACTTCCTTTCACTTTCACGCCTCACAATTGAAAGACACCTTCACAACCTCTCTCCCCCAACCCACAGATGAACTTGCTCAGGATGATGAGCCTTCCTCAGTAGCCGAGCTCGTCGCTCGCTATATCTCCCATGTCGCTCATGAGGTGGAGGAGGGCGAGGACGACGCACATGGAACCAACTTGGAGGTTTTGAAGCTGGCCCTCAACGAGTTTGAACGCGCCTTTCTGCGCGGAAATGATGTACACGCCGTCGCTGCCACCCTTCCCGGCATTACGGCCAAGAAGGACCTGGTGGTTGGGGCCTACTATGCCGGAAGAGCTGCTGCTGGTCGACCCACCAAGCCCTATGAGTCCGCCCTCTTCAGGGCCGCCGCCGATGAGAAAGCCAAAATCTACTCGGTCTTTGGCGGCCAGGGAAACATTGAGGAGTACTTTGACGAACTGAGAGAAGTCTACAATACCTACCCATCCTTTGTGGATGATCTGATCTCCTCCTCCGCAGAGTTGTTGCAATCCCTTTCCCATGAGCCCGAGGCCATCAAACTCTACCCCAAGGGACTGAATGTGATGCAATGGCTGCAGGACCCCGACACTCAGCCTGACACCGATTATCTCGTATCGGCCCCCGTCAGTCTGCCGTTGATCGGTTTGGTGCAGCTGGCCCACTTCGTGGTGACCTGCAAAGTATTGGGGAAAACCCCGGGTGAGCTCCTGGAGCGCTTCAGCGGAACCACGGGTCACTCCCAGGGCATCGTTACCGCCGCGGCTATCGCCTCCGCAACCACTTGGGAAAGCTTCAAGCAGGCTGCCGCCAATGCCTTGACCATGCTCTTCTGGATCGGGTTGCGCAGCCAGCAGGCCTACCCTCGCACCTCGATTGCGCCCTCCGTCCTGCAGGACTCCATCGAGAACGGTGAAGGAACCCCCACGCCCATGTTGTCCATCCGCGACCTCCCCAAGTCTGCCGTCCAGGAGCACATCGACATGACCAACCAGCATCTGCCCGAGGATCGTCATATCTCCATCTCCCTCGTGAACAGTGCCCGGAATTTCGTCGTCACCGGTCCCCCGATCTCCCTTTACGGTCTGAATCTCCGCCTGCGTAAGGTCAAGGCCCCCACGGGCCTGGATCAGAACCGTGTGCCGTTTACCCAGCGCAAGGTGCGGTTCGTGAACCGGTTCTTGCCCATCACCGCGCCGTTCCATAGCCAGTACTTGTACTCGGCCTATGACCGGATTATGGAGGATCTGGAGGATGTCGAAATCTCCTCCAAGTCCCTCGTCATCCCCGTGTACGGCACCAAGTCCGGCAATGACCTCAGGGAAACGGGCGACGAAAACATTGTTCCGGCCCTGGTTCGCATGATCACGCATGACCCCGTGAACTGGGAACAAGCCACCGTTTTCCCCGGAGCGACCCATATCCTGGATTTTGGCCCCGGTGGCATCTCCGGCCTTGGAGTCCTGACCAACCGCAACAAGGACGGCACGGGTGTCCGTGTCATCCTCGCGGGCGCTATGGACGGCACCAACGCAGAGGTCGGATACAAGCCGGAGCTGTTTGATCGTGACGAGCACTCCGTCAACTACGCCATCGACTGGGTGAAGGAATACGGACCACGTCTAGTGAAGAACGCTACCGGCGAGACCTTTGTGGATACCAAAATGAGCCGCCTGTTAGGAATTGCCCCGGTCATGGTTGCTGGAATGACCCCAACCACCGTCCCCTGGGACTTTATCGCCGCCACCATGAATGCCGGCTACCATATTGAACTGGCGGGTGGTGGTTATTACAACGCCAAGACCATGACGGAGGCGATCACCAAGATCGAAAAGGCTATTCCGCCAGGCCGGGGAATTACGATCAACCTGATTTACGTCAACCCCCGCGCGATGGGCTGGCAGATCCCCCTCATTGGCAAGCTCAGGGCCGACGGTGTCCCAATTGAAGGTCTCACCATTGGTGCGGGAGTGCCATCGATCGAGGTGGCCAATGAGTATATTGAGACACTCGGGATCAAACATATCGCCTTCAAGCCCGGCTCGGTGGATGCTATTCAGCAGGTCATCAACATTGCCAAGGCTAACCCTACCTTCCCCATCCTGCTCCAGTGGACCGGTGGCCGCGGCGGTGGACACCATTCGTTTGAAGACTTCCACCAGCCCATTTTGCAGATGTACAGCCGTATCAGGCGCTGCGACAACATTGTTCTGGTGGCCGGCAGCGGCTTTGGTGGCTCGGACGATACCTACCCTTACCTTTCTGGACACTGGTCATCCCGATTCGGCTACCCACCAATGCCTTTCGATGGATGCATGTTCGGAAGTCGCATCATGATCGCCAAGGAAGCCCATACATCTAAGAACGCTAAGCAGGCCATTGCTGACGCCCCCGGCCTTGATGACAAGGACTGGGAGAAGACCTACAAGGGCGCGGCGGGCGGCGTCGTCACCGTCATGTCGGAGATGGGAGAGCCCATTCACAAGTTGGCCACCCGAGGTGTTTTGTTCTGGCATGAGATGGATCAAAAGATTTTCAAGCTCGACCGGGCCAAACGTGTGCCGGAGCTCAAGAAGCAGAGAAACTACATCATCCAGAAACTGAACGATGACTTCCAGAAGGTTTGGTTCGGCCGCAACGCCGCCGGAGAAACGGTTGATCTCGAGGATATGACCTACGCCGAGGTTGTCCATCGCATGGTAGACTTGATGTATGTCAAGCATGAGACCCGATGGATTGATGAGTCCCTGAAGAAGTTGACCGGCGATTTCATCCGCCGCGTCGAGGAACGCTTCACCACGCGCGAAGGACAAGCATCCTTGCTTCAGAACTACTCCGAGCTCAACACGCCATACCCAGCCGTGGATACTATCCTCGCCGCCTATCCCGAAGCCGCCACTCAGTTGATCAATGCTCAGGACGTCCAACACTTCCTGCTACTCTGCCAGCGACGGGGACAGAAGCCCGTCCCCTTCGTTCCTTCCTTGGATGAAAACTTCGAATACTGGTTCAAGAAGGATTCTCTGTGGCAAAGTGAGGATCTGGAAGCGGTTGTGGGCCAAGATGTTGGAAGGACCTGTATCTTGCACGGCCCCATGGCGGCCAAATTCTCCAACGTTATTGACGAGCCGGTTGGCGATATCCTGAGTGGTATTCAGCAGGGTCACATTCAGAGCCTGATCAAGGATGTGTACAACGGCGACGAGGCGAAGATCCCCGTCATCGAATACTTTGGCGGGCGTCTCGGTGAACCGGACAGCGAGCTCGAAATTGATGGTCTCACGATTTCTCAGGATGCGACCAAGATCAGCTACCGGCTGTCGTCATCGCCGTCGACCGACTTGCCTGACATCACTCGCTGGTCTCGCCTGCTCGCTGGTCCATCGTGCTCCTGGCGGCACGCCTTCTTCCTGGCCGATGTCTTTGTTCAAGGCCATCGCTTCCAGACCAATCCAATGAAGCGGATCGTGGCGCCAACCCCGGGAATGTATGTGGAGGTGGTGAACCCCGAGGATCCGTCCAAGACCGTCATCAGCGTCAGAGAGCCTTATCAGTCCGGCAAGCTTGTTAGGACCGTTGAGGTCAAGTTGAACGAGAAGAACCAGATCAGCCTGACCATGTTTGAGGGGAGAACTGCCGAGGCCGCTGTGGTGCCTCTCACTTTCCTCTTCACGTACCATCCAGAGGCTGGATACGCCCCAATCAGAGAGGTTATGGACAGCCGCAACGATCGTATCAAGGAGTTCTACTATCGGGTCTGGTTTGGCAACAAGGATGTTCCGTTTGACACCCCCACCACCGCCACTTTCAGCGGTGGTCGCGAAACTATTACGTCTCAGGCGGTCGCTGACTTTGTTCATGCGGTGGGCAACACGGGCGAAGCTTTCGTCGACCGTCCTGGCAAAGAAGTTTTTGCCCCCATGGATTTCGCCATTGTCGCCGGGTGGAAAGCCATTATCAAGCCAATTTTCCCCCGCACCATTGATGGTGACTTGCTGAAGCTGGTCCATCTGTCGAACGCCTTTAAGATGGTGCCCGGTGCTCAGCCCCTCCAGGTTGGTGATGTTCTGGACACTACGGCTCAGATTAATTCGATCATCAACGAAGATTCCGGAAAAATCGTCGAGGTGTGCGGCACGATCGAACGGGAGGGCAAGCCTATCATGCATGTGACCAGCCAGTTCTTGTACCGGGGCGCGTACACCGACTTTGAGAACACCTTCCAGCGCAAGGATGAGGTTCCGATGCAAGTCCATCTTGCATCGAGCCGAGATGTGGCGATCCTTCGCTCCAAGGAGTGGTTCCGCTTTGATCGAGATGATGTTGAGCTACTGGGCCAAACCTTGACCTTCCGTCTCCAGAGTCTCAATCGATTCAAGAATAAGTCCGTGTTCAGCCAAGTTCAAACCATTGGTCAGGTGCTTCTCGAGCTCCCCACCAAGGAAATTATCCAGGTGGCGTCGGTGGACTACGAAGCCGGCACCTCCCACGGCAACCCCGTAATTGACTATCTGCAACGGAATGGAACCTCCATCGAGCAGCCTGTCTATTTCGAGAACCCCATTCCTCTCAGCGGCAAGACCCCACTGACTCTCCGTGCCCCTGCTTCCAACGAGACTTACGCCCGCGTTTCCGGCGATTACAACCCGATTCACGTTTCGCGAGTCTTCTCCAGCTATGCAAACCTGCCCGGGACTATCACTCACGGCATGTACACCAGTGCGGCCGTTCGCAGTTTGGTGGAAACCTGGGCGGCGGAGAACAACATTGGCCGCGTTCGTGGCTTCCACGTGTCTCTTGTCGACATGGTTTTGCCGAACGACATGATTACTGTCAAGCTTCAACATGTTGGTATGATTGCTGGTCGTAAGATCATCAAGGTCGAAGCCAGCAACAGGGAAACCGAGGACAAGGTCCTTCTCGGTGAAGCAGAGGTCGAGCAGCCCGTCACTTCCTACGTTTTCACTGGCCAGGGCTCCCAGGAGCAGGGTATGGGCATGGAGCTTTATGCCAATAGCCCCGTCGCTCGGGAGGTTTGGGATCGTGCAGATCGTCACTTCATTGAGAACTACGGCCTTTCCATCATTGACATTGTCAAGAACAACCCGAAGGAACTCACTGTTTACTTTGGTGGACCTCGTGGCAAGGCTATTCGTCAAAACTACATGTCGATGACCTTCGAATCTGTCAACGCAGATGGATCCATCAAGTCTGAGAAGATCTTCAAGGAGGTTGATGAGAACACAACCTCTTACACCTACCGCTCGCCCACGGGTCTTCTTTCCGCCACCCAGTTCACCCAACCTGCCCTCACTTTGATGGAGAAGGCAAGCTTTGAAGACATGCGTTCCAAGGGTCTTGTCCAGAGAGACAGCAGCTTCGCCGGTCACTCGCTAGGTGAATACTCTGCGCTGGCTGCCTTGGCCGATGTCATGCCTATTGAGAGCTTGGTGTCCGTGGTCTTCTATCGTGGTCTGACAATGCAAGTGGCTGTGGAGCGTGACGAGCAGGGCCGCTCCAACTACTCCATGTGTGCCGTCAACCCAAGCCGAATCTCCAAGACTTTCAACGAACAAGCCTTGCAATATGTTGTCGAGAATATCACCGAGCAGACCGGCTGGCTTTTGGAGATTGTCAACTACAATGTTGCAAACATGCAATACGTTGCTGCTGGTGATGTACGTTTTATAATCCCTTCTTCCCCCCTCCCTCACTTTTGTATTGCTTTCTTTCTAACAGCTCACCAGCTTCGTGCACTTGACTGCCTTACCAACTTGCTCAACTTCCTTAAAGCCCAGAACATCGATATTCCTGCTCTCATGCAGAGCATGTCTCTGGAGGACCTCAAGGCTCACCTGGTCAACATCATTCACGAGTGCGTGAAGCAAACCGAAGCTAAGCCCAAGCCCATTAACCTTGAGCGTGGATTTGCTACGATTCCCCTCAAGGGAATCGATGTGCCCTTCCACAGCACTTTCCTCCGCTCCGGCGTGAAGCCGTTCCGTTCTTTCTTGCTGAAGAAGATCAATAAAACCACCATTGATCCCAGCAAGCTGGTCGGCAAGTACATTCCTAATGTCACTGCCCGTCCATTCGAGATCACCAAGGAATACTTTGAGGACGTCTATCGACTCACAAATTCCCCCAGAATCGCCCATATTCTGGCAAACTGGGAGAAATATGAAGAGGGAAATGAAACTGCTTCGCGTGCGCCTGGTACTTCTACTACAGCTTAAGATTCTAGAGCTCGATTTATTTTCATGGCCACTGCTTCCTGTTCCTCTTTTTTTTGTTTTTGTATCATTTTCATGACTTATCTTAGCGCTGGATATCGTGCTACTGCTATTATTGTATTCGTTTTCGTCATCATCATAAACACAAGCACAGGATCTTGCTAGAACTTTATTATATTTTATTAATTACAAGGTTACTAAAATATTAATAAGTTTTTTATGATAAATAAATTTATCTTACTTGAGCTTTATTATATTTATCTTTATAGTAATCATCTTTATATTAATCTTTTATTATGTAGTTAGTAATTTTTTATTTTTATTATTTTATTACTAATCTAGAGAGAGATGTGCACCTAAAGTTTTGGGGGGGCTTACAGCTCGGCGTGGGTAGAAAAAAACTCTGCGTGGGTAGAACTAGCGCTAACTATTTTCTACCCATAATAAACTCTGGACTTTAGTATGGGTAGAGCTAGCGTGGTCTAACTTTACTATAGGTAGAAAATTAATTCTTTATTTATAATAAGCTTATTGTAAGCATCTTGCTGGCGAGGTGCTTGGGTATTGATAGTGTTAGTAAAGGAAGCAAAGCTATATATAGTACAAGAATAGTAGGAAGGTATTAGAAGTAATAAAATAAAGTACTTGCCTCTTAGTATTTTAGGGGATTATTATATTACTATTTATATTATCTAGTTAAGTTACTAGTATAATATAGATAAGTTAATTATTACTATTCTTCTAAATACTCTTAATTACTTAGTATATAATTTAGTATATAGTTATATATTATATAGTTACTATAATAACTACTTTCTTTCTTCTTAGTAGTATATCCGCGTGCTATATATATTATACCTAATCTAGATTAGTACCTTACTAAGAAAGAGCTAGTCCTAGTTAATATAATATAACCTACTTTTTTATTTAATATTAGAAATAATAATAATATATATAATACTATCTTTATTAATTATACTTTATTAAATAAAATATAAATAATATTATCTTTTACTTTAAGTAAAATAATAGATAGAAATAAGTAATTTATTAGATATACTAGTAATAAGTAAAGATATTATTATAATATAAATATTATAGGAAAATATTTCTCTATATATATATTTCTTAATTTAATTCTTATTTTAAAAAGTCTTTTCTAATAGATTAATATATTATTTTAAATAGATTATTATTACTTAAGTATTATAATAATAATTAATTATTTATAAATCTTATAGCTCCTTTTAAGTATTTTTTATTAAGTACTATACTAGCTATATCTCTATAAAAGAAAGCCTATCTTACTACTATTATTTTTTTTTATAAGTAATTTTATTCTAGTAATATAGATTTATTATACTAATTATTTATAAACTCTTATACTAAATTCTTTTATATTTATACTAATTATAGTACTTATAATCCTTACTATTACTAGTATATTTCTTATAATTCCTATTATTATTACTTTATTATCTAATAGAACTATATTTCCTATATCTTCTACTATTATAGCTACTTTTAATATTATAATAACTCCTACTACCTTTTTCTTTACTTCTTTAATTACTATAACCCTAGCTACTACTACTATTATTATTATGCTAGCTCTAGTTATTCTTACTACTATTATAGCTTTAGCTACTCTAGCTATTCTAGTTATTCTTACTAGCTTATTTATTATTATATGAGTACTATATTATCTATATTATATTAAGTCTTAGTAATATATAAATAATAATTCTATAAAAGTTTATTTTTATATATACCTAAACTTAAAATAATAATATATTTATTATATTTATTTATATAAAAAGTATTTCTCTATTATCTTACTTATATATACTAGTCTTAGTAAGATCTAGGTAATATCTAGTAAAGTAGCAGGTATAATAACTTATCCTTACTAGATTTATACTATCTAGGTTTTTATTTATTACTTTAAAATTAAGAACTAAATAAAGAGGTTACTATAATCTATTAATTATAATTTATTTTAATTACTTAGTATATAGCATGTTAGGAATAGTATAATAGAATTAGAGAATAGTAATAAAGAAATTTAGAATAATTATAATAATTAGGAAATTTATTAATATTATAATATTAATACTTATTATTTTTATTTTTATATAATAAAATTAAATTATTTTTTTAAAATTTCTTAATACCTATAGAGTACCCTTATTAAATCTTAAAATCTAGTAAGAAAAAGAGAAAAGATAGTATTATTAAAGTATCTTTATAATTTTTTTAATTTTTTAATTTTATTAATCTATTATTTTTATATTTTATTTATTTATAGTATTTTATTAATACCCTATTTATATCTTATTTTTATAATAAAATTTATTTAGAATATTTTATATATTTTTTAAATTCTTTATTAATTACTATATATTCTTATATATTAACTATTCTTTTTATTTAATTAAATATTAGTCTTTATTATATAGCTTTTATTATATAATAATCTATTCTATCTTCTATTCTTTCTTATTATTAATAATAACTAGCTAGAATAATACTAGTAAGTTACTATCTCTTATATTTTATTTTTTAAAAAATAATATATAAAAGATTAGATAAATTTTTTTATATAATCTAAATAATTATAAATAATATATTTATTAGCCTATTATCTTTATTATTTTAAATAGTCCTTTATATTTAGTATCTAGCTTTTTACTAGATCTTTATATATAAATATTTTTTATAAATAGTAGTATTTATTAGCCTATATAATATTTAGTTAGGTAATACCTTTTATTATAATTTCTTATTTATTATTTAATAGTATAGTATAGGCTCTCTTCTAGTTATTAGTATTTTACTTATAATTAATTAAGCTATTCTTTTACTACTATAACTATACTAGAGTCCCTAATATTAATAAGCTTAAATAGTACTAGTTAGTAGCTATATTATACTTTATAAGAGAATATTCTTAATAATATATTTTTTATATTATTATATATAAATTCTATTATACCTAGCTAGTTTACCTAGTTAATTTATTAATAACTAATATAAGTCTTTAGATAGGTCTCTAATATCTAGTTCTAATATTCTATTTAGCTATCTATTTAGGAGTAGAATATAATACTTAATTATTCTTTAATTTAAAGCTCTTAATATAACTAGATCTAATATTTACTAGTAAAGAGTAAGCTATAGTTACTTACTAGATTCTTTAATACTTTTATTTTAAGTATAATCTTTTCTATAAATATATTAGCTAGCTTCTTAATATTAATATTTCTTATTATTAAGAGATATTTAATTCTCTTAATATATTAATCTATAATTATTAAAATAGTATTATATATATATTTTTTTTATATTAATAGTAGTAAGTTTATAATAAAGTCTAGAGTTAAGTCTTATTAAAGATATTCTAGTATTAGAAGCTTTATAAGCTAGCCTTATAAAAGTTATTTAAATATTTTTATTTTTTAATAAATTAGATAATTCTTTATATATTTTTTAATATTATATTATAGGATATTCTAGTAGAACTTTTATTTAATAAGATTTAATATCTTTTCTTAACTAAAATAGCTTATATATAGATTATTATAGTATATTTATAGTAATTTTTAGTATATTATTTAATTAAAAAAAATATAAATAATCTTATTATATTATATTAATTTATTATTATTAATATATTATTTATTCTTATAAATTTACCTTTATTTAATATTATTTTTAAATTACTTTATTATTTCTTATTTAAGTAATTTCTTTACTAGTTAAGTATATTTCTAGTATATTAGATATTTCTTATTAGTATTACTTTAAATTTAACTTATATAAATATTTTTATATTATATTTTTTAAAGTAAGTCTTATAAAGTAATTAATAATATCTTATAAATTTATTTATTACTAGCTACTTTTTATACTAGTATTTTTTAAGTTAAAAGTTTTAAATTTTTTAATTATATAATTAGAATTTCTTAGAGAGTTATTATTTTATTTTTATCTTAATTATTTTATAAACCTCCTAACTTTACCTAAAGTATAAATAAAAGTTCCTTAACTATATTTTATTAGATAAGTTTATAATCCTTTTATCTTAAAGATATATTAGCTAGGTTAAGATTACTAGACTAATATTTAATCTAGAAATTATATATTACTAGGAGCTTAACCTATCTAGTCTAATATTAATTTAGGATCTTTATAATATAAAAATATTTTAGATTTATATAATTTATTTATATATATATTATATATAAATTATTTTTAAAATAATAATATTATATTTTAAAATATTTTATTATAACTAGAAATTCTTAATTATAAGTCTTATATCTTTTTTTTACCTTAATTAATTTTCTTAAATAGAAGGCTATAGATTATTAAGTAATATATTATATTTTTATAAACTAGATATTATTATATTATATTAAGATTCTTATAATTATAAATCTTAATATATTAGTTACTAGGAGTATCTCTTATTCTAGATTAAAATATTATAGTACTAGAGATCTAAAGAATATTTATTTTAATATCTTAAAAATACTTTAATTATTCTTTATTATTTTAAAAGAGCTACTTTTTTTCCCCTTTACTATTTTTTTTAGCATGTTACTTAATAAAGTAGTAATTTTAGAGTATTAGTAAATAAATTATTAAAAATATCTTATAAATCTTAAGAATATTTAAATATTATAGAATAAATATAATTCTAGCTAGTTACTTATAATATATATTTACTTAAAATTTATTTAAATTTTTTTAATTTTTATAATAAAGTTAAGGAAATATACTTTTTTTTAATAAAAATTATACTTTAAAAGTTTTATATAAAGATTATATTTCTAGAAATATAATAATATTTTATTAATATAATATTTATATTCTTTCTTTATTTATAAATAAATTAGAATATTATCTAAATATATTATATAAAATTTATTTAGAATTTTTTTTATTATTTTATTAATATATACTTAAAAAGTAGCTAGAATATTATATAATTTAAAAGATATAATTAAATATTTATAGTATTTATATTTTATATAAAATATTATTTTTTACTTATTATCTTAATAAATATAAATCTAGTAATAAATATCTTATAAATCTAGTTTAATAAATTATTTAGCTTTAACTAGTTAATTTATTAGTTTATTAATTTATAGAAGAGAATATTAATT